TAGCTCGAAATTTTTCCCAGTTATTTTCGTTAGTATTATTGTTTTTATTCCTGTAGCTTCCGAGTGGAATTTAGGGCATCAACAACACATTTTCATTTCATCTTGTTTGTTGTATTCCTCCATAGCTCCTGGTTCTACGATTGCCCACTTCCTCCTCACACGATCTTCTTCATGTGACCCTCAAATCCACGCCTAACTCGTTGTCGTTTCCCATTTGGATTCCACTTGAGGATCTACCTAGTGTTTGATCCATCCATCTTCATTTTCTTCGGCATATTTGTTTGTCGATAAGTTCTTGGTTGATGGTCCGTTCCCCCGCCAGATTTCCTTGTTACTCTCTCTGAACCATATATAGAAGCACTGATGGACTTGATATAAGTGTTGAATAGAATCCGAATCTTGTTCTTTATGCTTAGCTCAGTAATTAGATTTCTAGACTGAGTTCACTTCCATAAAGATTTGTCTTGCTTTTCCAAATCTGGCTTTGAAATCTTCATACCTGCCGCTTGTAGGTGAAACGATGCCCTCTATCCTTCCTTCCTTCCCTTTGATAGTGAGCTAGGTTAGGTGTCTTCATCAAGGCTCGTCGATTAATACACTCTTTATGGTCTCTATCAAATCCCCATTTGTCTCCATATTCTTTCTGTTAATTTCAGTTTATTGTAGTTGCTTTATAGTGTGTCGGTAGTTATCAGCTGTAGAACGCTCGTCTACCACGCAAGTGGTTTGGGGTTCGATCCCTGGCCGGCGCACTCCCCAAACACACCTCACTAAGCCGGTGGTAGTAAGTCTAGTAAAAAGGGGAAACTGGACGTGAGGTTAGCGACCCGCACCCTGTAAAAAGAAGCATCACTGCTACTGAAACTTCAGATCTCTAACCTGAAGCCCTATGTTCCACTTGAGACGTACAGGAATAAGATTTAAAAAGAAATAAGATTAGTTGCTTTGCACTCCTCGTTTTCTACCTACCTTTGTGGATATTTTATGTTATGTAACAACTTGAACTGCTACATCTTAGTGTAAATTTCTACGCTGAAAACTCTGTTCCCTTTGGTTCAGTTAGTCAGCGGAATCATTTTGAGTTATGGTTATTCTCCTGACCGATAGCTGCCACCTTGAAGTGGTGATTCTGTGTTACCCACATCACCTGCATCATCTTACTCCCCCTCGTACTACAGTCAGTACTATTCTTTCGCTTAGTTAGGCATCTTCACTCTACTCTGTGACTATAAATAATGATGAAAGGCATAGAAACACCCCCCGACAGCCTCTATAGTTACAATTTTTATTGGATATTGTATTTCCCTCTATACTTCATTGTTCCTACATTTTTTTGTTTTTTGGATTGTGAGAAAAAACGGATAACACGTGGTCAGTAGAGAAACACATGCGATTTCAGTGTAGAACCATTTCCTCTCATCAAGATTATGTCTGTGACCTACCTAGTTTCCGTTGATTATCAAGTGAATTATTGGCAAATAAATTATAAGTATATTTCAATATAAAACAAACAATAAAGCAGGATGTAATGAATTCATCAAATTTCGGGTAGGACTCTTTCTCAGATGGATAGATACTCTACATACAGGGACCCATATAAAATTAAAATAAAATGCATTGTACAGTTTAATTACATCACTTAAATAAATAAACTTGAATATATCAAGGATTGCTAACCAAATAATATTGGTAATAATAGTAACAATGATAATAGTAATAATAATAGTAATAATAGTGTTAAAACGAATTAAGATAATGGTAATGATAAAAGATAGTTTTAAGTCGATCAGAAATAGTAATAAGAAGAGGTTGAATAAAATAAAGTGTGCATAATAACCGTTAATAACTAAAACGTATTACTATGGTAGATTCAGAGTGACCACCATTTCCGGCGAAGTTCAACAATAACATCCCAGGAGTACGAACGCTCCAATAACCTTGAACGCATGCTTGTCGTTGGCTAACAGCACCTGTCATTATCATAGCTGAAATATCTATGCTATTCACCGGCTAAGGAACAAATTTCACCCAGCTCACATTTTTAAGTACTATTTGGACAATGTCTTAATATCTCGTTGGGGTTAGGATTACGGTCATAATGTAGACTAGGGTTAGTTTTACGATTGTCATTAGGGTCAGGATTAAGGTTACGGTTACGATTAGGGATATATTTAGAGTTGATGTCATTTATTTTAATTTGTTTTCTTATCCACATTTTCCTGCTAAGTAGTCGTCGATTCTCTTATTGAAAATCATAGTAATCCAACCGAGAGCTTTCGCGGAAGACTGCACAACAGGATAAGAGAGATAAACAATTCACAAAAACAGCTCGTCATTAGTCACCTCCGTGAATACATGTACAGAAACTAGTGTAACTTAGCAACTGATACTCCTTATTATTATTATTATTTTTAAGTCATGTCAGAGAAAGATACCTTACTTAATTTGTTTCCATGCACTTTCTTGTAAACATATTTCATTTTTTGTGCAAAAATCCTCACTTTTATGATTGGTCGGCTCAAGGTCACTCGTGCGTTCGCATCCCTTGGGACGCTATTGTTGAACTTCGTCCCATTTCCTTCTGTAAACAGTGACCACCGGGTTTATATATTCTAATTACACAAGCCTCGGCAATAGCAGTCATCTTCTTGTTTGGTTGTCTGCTGACTGACAACAGTGAATGACTTGACAGTGCGTCCATATAATCTCCGTAGTTCAGGAGATGCTTTATTACTGAACTTTTTGAGAATTTGACTTCAGCTGTTTTCAAACATTTTGGAGAATGCTCCATCATGTGAGTAGATAATCGTCTTTCTGTACAACCTATGTATTTGCTTCCACAAACACACTCATCAAATTGACATACGTAGTTTGAAGTGTCGAGGATTGCGTACTGGTCGTTCCCAGATTGTTGAAGCACTCGCTTGTTAGTGTTAAGGAAGATGAGTTTCGCAGAATAATAGGTTCTCTCGGTTTGATAGCTTTATCGATTCTTCGTTTGACTACTTCTTTTACACATCTCCTTTGAATGGCAAGTTGATATATACAGACTTGATTGAATGGAGGATTTCATCATGAGCTGACATCAGTTAGAGAACCACTGGAAAACCTGGGAGTACTGGACAGCTCTTTCGTCCTAGTTTGGGATGGGTTTGGAATCCAGGACATTCTGGTTACCAGGCGAGCTCGTAGACCATTGAGCCACTGGGACCCGATCCAATGGCCAGTCCATGAATTCTAAGTCCTACCAATTCACGACATGGCGTGACCATTTCGCGATGTCTTCTTCGATTATTTACTGCCTCCTCTTCATACATATACAGATTTCTTTGCAGCGGCTCATTTCTTTAGAGTATTTATTATTGAACTTCTCAGGATATCTATCCTTACATAAAATATCCTTCAGAGCCTTTATTTCATGTTCAGTTGTACTGTCAGAAAAAATTTTTCGTGCTATACTGAACAGTGTTCTGACTAAGTTCTTATATTTTTTTTGTTTTCCTTCACATTCCCAGTGGAACATAGGGCCTCGAGCTGGTGGCTTGAAGTTTCTGTAGCAGGGTTTATTTTTACAGGATGGGGTTGCTAGCCTCATGCCAAGCCTTTCCTCTTTACCAGCATTATTTCTGGCCTAGCGAGGTAAAGGAGTGCGTCGGCCGGGGATCGAACCCCGGACCATGTGCATGGTCGGCGAGCGTCCTAACCTCTATGCCACCGACGCACATTCTTTTTATATTGGATTGGAATAAAAATTTTAATTCTTGATATACTGAAGTTCTTCCACTGACTGGTAACTAACTAATTGCTTATTTAAGTGATGTAACTGAATCGTATAATGCATTTTATCTTAATTTTATATCGTTCTCTGTATATGGAGTATCCATCCAGCTGAGTAAGAGTTCTACCGAAATTTTGATGAATCCATTAAATCCTGCTTTATTACCACCTTTTGTTGATTGTTTCCTAAATTCATATCGGGAAATATATTTCAATAGTTTACACACAGTGATAATATTTCCAACAAATCACTACCTGTGATCTTATATTCATAAATTTTTGGTAAGAGAATGCACTTAAACCATTCAGGTGATCAATAAAGTGTGGGTGGAGATATGTAAACGACACGTTAGTAATAATGAGAAAAAAACGATGTTGAGAAATTCTTCTCGCACATAAACAGTCGTGTCGACACAAATTCACTATGGAAATAGAGAATGAAATTGGGAACTGCCTATGTTAGACTGCAAAATACAAAGAGTAACAGACACTATATAGAAAAACAACACCTTCTGGGAGATTCCTTGAATGTCACTGAGGTCATCCACCTACGGTAAAACGAGGGTTAATACAAGATCTTGCAGATAGAATACGTAGACTTACAACAACACCAGATGACCAGCGTAAAGAAATAAACGCCCTACTCAAAATGTTCCCATCCCGTCCCTGGGCTAACGAACAGAGACCTGTACAAAAGCCTCTGAGATGACATTCGTAGCACATGTCCAAGCCACCGAGCCTGGTGTTTCCAGATGACGATACTCATCTAATGGTGGCCTCCACTGTGTCTAAACACACGCCGCCGGACCTCAGAGTTGTTCACACGATGATAACACCATCAAACGCAAGCAGTTCTATGGAGACAGTGATGATCGAATACACAGAGTCGCTGCACATCCTCAGCTTGGAGAGGTCAGTTTTCTCAGGTGTAGAGAAAGACAATGCGCACTAAAGCATAGTGAACCTGACCTCTGACAGCCAGGCTAATGTCACGAAGGCACCAGAGGTGGCTCAAGTTGACGTATTCCACTCTAGCTTTCATGATACAGTTGGTTATCTAGTTTGTCCGTCCGTCCTCCAACGAAATCAAAGATGATATACTATCGCATAATTTGCACAAACCGCTGTTGTTGTTTTTGCTTTATTCAAATTCATAAAAGGCGGGAATCAGTGTATGAAATAACTGTTTTTGTCGGTTTTGTTCACTTCTATTTTTCTTTAAGAACCAATGAAGTTGTTCATAAGACTTTACACCAATATACAGTGCGTGCAAAACAAGGCGGTGGACAGTCATCGTATGATGCATTGTGTAGTGGTCTTGGTATGTCGAAATCAGCTGGTGCTAATCTCCGCCGTCATGGTGAAATAGCTATACGCAATGTAAGTATTATCTGTTGTTATTAGTATGATTATTATTTTTTCACATACTGGTTTATTGTTGACACACTTGTGGTGAGAGCTGTCTACTAGCCAAATTGGTAGACAGTAATTTACGTCAATATTTACGTTCCCAAGATTTGTCGTGAGAAAATGTGAACAAAGATTGATTCAAAACCGACCACAGCAGACTTTACGTAGGCGGATGCAGTTAACATATAGAGGATTTGACATTCAAGAAACAGTCACAAATAGATGAAAGATTAACTTTACGTGAGAAACAACCAATCGGAAGACTGTGTTTGTTTGCTTAAATAACCATAGTAATGTACATGAAAACATATATAAATATGCGTTGATTTCCTTATTAAATGATCTGTTGCCTGGCCCTTGTCTTCGGTTGTTATACACTGACTGCTTGAACTCCTAGACTGAACCAGGTGGTTGTGTTAACGGTCCCAACTGTCTTCGAGCCTTCGACTTGGATTCTAACCTACAAGGTGGTGGAGTAGCGTCAGGAGCTACGTTCCCATAGTTTGTGATGATCAAAACAGGTTCACAGGCATTTCGGTCCTTTCGGCTTGTGGAGCCCAGTGTTTCCCAGCTCGCCTAGGTGGACTGGGATGTCCACTAGTCTTGCTGTAAGCGCTCGACGTTTGTATTTGCCCTTTTACTTATGTAAGGGACACCTGTGCCGTGTGAAAGCATCGCCTTTGTCGACGGGCAATGTTAGCTGACTGACAGAATCAGGTTGGAAAAGAGCTAGTTGTAGCCGAACCAAAACATGGCTTCACCAACCAATGAAATCCATAACATCCAGGTATTGGTTTGTAGGGATTTGACTGATCGGTTACAGCATTTCATCGTGAGCTGATATTGGTTAGGGAACCATTGGAAAACCTGGGAGTACTAGACAGCTGTTTCGTCCTAATGTGGGACTCTATCAGTAAGCATCCATCGGGGTTCGACCCAGGACTTTCCAGTGATTGTGTACCGATGAAAAGTCATAAACTAGGACGAAACAGCACTCCCTGCATGTTTTCCAATGGTTCTCTAACCGATGTCAGCTTACGATGAAATCCTGTAACGAAATCCACAACAGTTAGTTTAAGCCACGTAAGGAAGTGTATACTTTCTGACTTGTTGGGTTGTTGGCGGATGAAGACAAATGGTGCTATGGCTCAAAATCCTCGTTCTTAATGGATGGCGTAGATGCATTCACTCTGTGATTTGTCATATCCAATGAAACTCTATTGTTCTTCCATATTACTATTCTTTTTCCCTCACTCACACTTGTGTTTCTTATCTCTCATTTGATGAGTCTCTCTTTACTCTCTTCTCTTGGTTTATGTGCTACCTGGAGAGAGAGTGGGGAATGGGACTGCTGCAAATCTGTGCAAAGTTCTATCTATGTTGAAACCAGTCAGCCAGTCAGTCAGAAGGCAGTGAATAGGACTTTGTGGAGACTATGAATGCGTGACCAAATGAGAACATTTGCTGAGGGAAATTGAAGTCTACTCACACTGGACGCTTCATACTCCTAAGATGGTATCAAGTAGCATTCCCGAATGCCTATGGTTACTTCACTTTGCTCAAGTGGATGTACTGACAATAAGATCTTAGGTGGTGATTGAACACTCCTGACTTTATTATTATTTATTTATTTAAACGCATTAAAACTTGGTACAATATGGCACCAAGAAGGATGCGCCACACTAACTTTATTATACACAATGGTTGATATGTGTATACTATCCTGTGTTTGTTTTAGCCATCTTGCTTCCAAGACGCCAAGGTGTGGTAGTGTTAGCAATGATTGAAGGTGATGTGAAGTAGTGGATCCATTGGTTTGCGGATCGCTAGTCAGGTATTCTACGGGCTGCATTAAGAAGTTCAGTTAATGTGGTGTGTGCAACCGATAAGATTTATCAGTAGTACATAAAGAGACCTTCATCGGCATAAAATATCAAATAGTGGAGAGATAGATTTAACGTCAAAGAGAGGTTTCGCGTGCGTTTCGGATTGTGAGGGCGATTGTTACTTCCCGGCTGCCCACACCGTAGAAGTTGGTTGCGTGACCGCAGAGCCCAGGGGACAACTGCTTGAGGCCGGTCACACGCGGCCCGTTTTTATTTGTTCTTTTTTATTTGGTGTGTCTCAGTAGCATATTTATCACTTTTGCCCTGTGACACGGCAACAGGAAGCGCGGTCATTGTTAATCCGGGCCCCAACCGATCCGGCACGATATTTTGTGATTTTGTTTGAGTCATACCATTGGATTCGGTAACTGCTTTTTGTCTAACCGCTATCCAAACAACCTTTCTGGCATGGTAGGACCTCAAGTGACATAAGTCTCAGCCAGTACAGCACTCCTTTACCTCGCTAAGCCAGACATAATGCTGGTGAAGAGGAAAGGTTGGGCATGAAGCTAGCAACCCTATCCTGTAAAATAAACACTGCTACAGAAACTTCAAGCCACTAGCTTGAAGCCCTATGTTCCACTGGGGGAACGTGAAGGAAAAAAATCCAAAAAGTATGGCTTGTTGGGTCATTGCGGTGTTCAAGCCTGACCACCACGTCAAGGTAGCAGCTTTCGGTCGGGAAACGTCAAATAGAACAAATGATTCAGTGTTGCGTCAAAAGATGGGATACACGAGAAGAAGACAAAGAAACACACACACACACACACAATACAAAGGAAGGGCAGAAGTAGCATGACAACACGGAACAGATCTGTGCCCATGACAATTTTCGCTATATAGAAATACCAAATTCCAAATAAACATTCCGTTACCAGAAATCTTTTGTCTTCTGCTGTTATACTACTAATGTGGTCTTAATTTTATTTAAACTATCGTAGGTTTTTTCCCAGATGTTATATGAGTGACTGATACGTGACTCTCCGATCTACTTAATCTCATATCAACTATGTATTGTATGATAGTGATCGATAATGTTGTGTCATGTTTTTGGTTGCTGTACTTGTATCATTTGACTTTTTGTATTTGACAATCAATGTACTCTGTGTCTGGCGTAGACGTGATTTCTGCCCGGCTGTCGACCAAAGAGCGTGTGTACTGCTCAGCAGCAGTTCACTCCAGCCTCCTTTATGGCTGTGAGAGACATGGTGGGTCATTGAAAGTGGGATATGCGAAAAAGTTAGCTGTCTGTGATCACAGCTGCTCGCGTTCTATCTCCCGTGTTAAGTGGCTTAATAGGGTGATTAAGTAATATTGAGTTAGTCAGGTGTTATGACCGGAACCACGGTCTAGTAGACTATGAGCGAATACCAACTTAATGTGCTGGCTAGTCTGTCTTAATTGCACGTCAACACCGCAAAAACAAGAGAAGACTGGACGTTGATAAGGGAGCTTTTGCTGTCTCAAGACAACAGTCGAAAAAGGTTGACAGTGCTTGCGCATATATGTGTCTAAATTGACCCTGGGAAGCACGAATGTCATTGATAAATTTATTACAGCGAACAAACAATAGGATTTCAAAGGTCATAACTAGCGTGAGAGGACATGTGTTACGCATGCCTAGCCATTACCTTCCTCGGTAGGCATAGGGTCAGGTTGGAAAAGAGCCAGTGGTGGTCAAACGAAAACATGACTTCATCAGCTAGTGAAATCCACAACAGTTAGTTTTAGCCAGCCAGCCATGTAGGGAGGTGTAGACTCCCTGACTGGTTGGGGTCATCGGGATGATAAGAACTAATGAGGGCTGAAGACAATTGGTTATATGGCTCAAAATCGTTCTCACTCAGTGATGGCGCAGATACATCCACTCCTTGTGACTTATAATTTCCAATAAAACTATATTTTTCTTCGATATTACTGCTATTTTTGCCTCATATCTCTGTTTACTGTCTCTATTTTGCGTTTCTTTTTACTTTCTTCTTCTTCTCTTGCTTTTTGTGCTACAAGGAGGGAGTGTGGCGACTCGAGCTGCTACACATCGCTGCCAGGGTCTATGTTGAAATCAGTCAGTCAGTCAGTGAGAGAAAATTTGGTCATAAATTAATAAGTGGGGTGAGAGTAATACAACAAACATTTAGAAATGACACGTAGAAAGTTAGGTCTATATATCATTAGGCGTTGAGGGTTTGGTAAAGAGGGGAGACCAATCGATGAGGTTGTGAAACTACATCGATTGAGATGACTAGGACACGCGTTGCTCATGATGAGCTATCACCTTCGTCAACAAGCAATGTTAGCTGACATAGGATGAGGTTGGAAAAGAGCGAGTGGTGTTGATCAAACCAAAATCTGGAATCGGTGCATGAAGTCTGACAATTAGTTTAAGCCAGTCACGTAGGGAGGTGTAGACTGCCTGACTGATTGGGATCCATAGAATACTAAGGACTATCCCCGTTTCTCTTCAATTTAATCATAGATGTACTAATGGACTTAAACCTAAGCGACTTCAACGACTCAAGGGTTGACTTGTTAACAGGGAATAATAGTATCGTTGACTTAGAATATGCAGATGATATAGTCTTGTCTCCTAGGTGAAGGCGCTGACAAAATGCAGAGTCTTCTGAACACCTTGAGCAGCAGTCTTCGAATATTTGGCAGGCGATTCACTCCCGCCAAATGCAAGATGATGTTACAGGATTGGACTACACTGACTCCTAGTTTAGAAATGGGGAGTGAAGTGGTAGAGCGCGTTGACCACTTCACTAATTTGGGAAGTTGCACCAGCCCCGACGGGTTGATCTCTGACGAAATCTCAGCACGGATACAGAGCATATGCCAGTTTGCCCGTCTCTGGCTTAGTAGACGTGATATCTAGTTGGATATCGACCAAAGGGCGTGTGTACTGCTCGGCAGTCCTCTCCGTCCTCCTTCATGGCTGTGAGACCTGGCCATTGAGAGTGAAAGGCATGAAAAGGTAAACTAACTGTCTTTGATTATAAGTGTCTGCATTCTATCTCCCGTATGTGCTAAGTGGTATAATTGGGTGAGCAATATTGAGGTTAGGCATCAGTCGAGTGCTAGGTAAGGCGGGGAAATCAATAGACGAGACTGTAAGGTTACATCCATTGAGGTGGTTAGGACATGTGTTACGCATGCATGTCTAGTCATCGATCGCCTTCCTCGACAATTGGCAATGGTAGCTGACTGACATACAATCAGGTTGGAAAAGAGCTGGTGGTGGTCAAACCAAAACATGGCTTCATCAGTCAATGAAATCCACAACGGTTAGTTTAAGCCAGCCACGTAGGAAGATGTAGACTTCCTGACTGGTTGGGGTCCTCAAGACGGCAAACACCAATGGCTGGAGACAGTTGGTGAAATGACTCAAAGTCGTTCTCAATGGCTGGCGCAGATGCATTCACTCCTTGTGACTTATAATTTCCAATGAAACTATATTGTTATTCATTATTACTATTCCTTTTGTCTCATATCCCTGTCTACTGTCTCTATTATGCATTTCTTCTACTTTCTTCTCCCTTACTTTGTGTGCTACAAGGAAAGAGTGTGGCGAGTCGAACTGCTGCACATCGATGCAAAGTTCTATGTCGAAAACAGACTGACAAACTAGTGGCTTGAGATAATTAGTCAAATGACTCAAAGTCGTTCTCAATGGCTGGTGCAGATGCATTCACTCTTTGTGATTTCTCACACCCTTCAAACCCTAATGTCTCCTATTTTTCCTATTTTGTCTCCCTCAATTTCCTGCCTTTGTGTGCTACATGAAGATGGAGTGTGTCAATTTGAGGTGCCTCACTTCTGTACAGACTTCTGTGTTGAAATTCAGTCATTCACATTTCATCAAAAGGCAATCAATTTTTCCAGATAGTATCATTATTAAGTCACAGTTTTTTTTTGAAAAAAATTACATATAGAACAACACATTTAAGCGAACAATACTGTTTTCAATTAGATGTCATCAGGCTTAACTCTAATATATATAAGTTTACAAATAAAAATTCAAATATAAACCAGAGCAGAGAAAGAAAGATATGTACGGATGACCTCTTACGAAAGGAATTTGAATATATTCACGGTTCCTTGATGGAGATGGGCTATCCGAGTAGTTTCATAAAGAAACATATGAAAACATCGGAGAAAAAACCGAAGACTCTGACTGCACGTAAGAAACCTCTATTTATTAAGTTACAATTTAATGGTGACTTATCAAGTGAGATTCTATTCCAAAGACTTTCAAGGAGTGTGCGAAGAACATTTTATGCAGCATACCTATGTTTGTCATTCTCTAGCCGATGGATGATTGGGATGCAAACGAAGGATAAGCTTGATAGTTTTGCCACATCCGTGTGCATTTATCCATTCAACTGCACCTGCGGTGACAGTTATATTGAGCGTACTACTAGACAGCTTAGCCAACGTGTTAGTGAACATCTCGATTCGTGGTTTGGCAAAGGACAGACAAAAGCAATCCGTGGCTCAATTTTGTCACATTTAGTTGATATTGGTGTTCATATAGGAGAGAAAACGAAAGCTTTCAAGGTAATTCAATGCATTCCACCGAATCTTTCCGACTGACTTTGTATTTGTCTATTGCACACAGCTGAGGCGATAGCCATTCGAACCATTAAACCTAAACTATGTATCCCTTGGCCTATTAAGACATAACCAACTGATGACTTCTACGCCACCCTTTGTTTATATTTTCAACCCCTTTCTTATCATCCCTTAATCTTATCTTCATTATAAACGTGTTTCATTTCCTTCCCTTACAATCTAACATTACTTAATCGGTTCATTTGTTTTTACTAGCGTTTATCGACTACTTCCACCTGAACAGTTGTTTGTTTAATCATGCTGTTTTTTATTATTCGTGTTATCACAGATTGCCTCACTTTTTCATCCTTATTATTGATAAGACCACTTTTATTATTGCTATTATTATTATTATTATCATTACTACTATTATGACTAATTGCACAATTTATATTCACCATCTTATTATCCTATAGACAAAACACCGTGATGATTGGTTTATATTTGAATTTTATTTGTAAACTTATACATATTAGAGTTAAGCCTGATGATGAGATCCAATTGAAAACAACATTGTTCGCTTAAATGTGTTGTTCTAAATTTTACTATGGGAATATTTAATATATTAAAAATTACATTATTTCCATATTTATGCCTTTTCAGCAAATCAGTGATCTTCTACATAATAAATGGCGTCATTTACTTCAAGCTTGTCAGCTGATATTTTTATGGTCGCCTAAAGTCCATCGAAGCATATTCTTCAATCCACCTGTATCATCTACAAACAGTGGATTATTGTCTAATCAAAATTCAAGTACAACCGATGAAAATACTCCAGTCTCACCGAGTTTTTCTACACCTCCTCCTCCTCCTACTCCAGATCCATTAGCTGCACAAGCATGTGATGCTCGACTTGGTATGATAGCGGATGATTTAAGAATACGTCGGATACCATGTCGTAGTAAGCATATCACTTATACACATGTTAAAGAATTACACAAAGAACTGTCTACGTTTGATGTTTACGGTAAGATTATTTTCCAGGATTATTGTATTCCATGCGCAGATAAAGTTTTGTTTGTATTAGTAGAGTTTATCGTTTTATTTATACAACAGATCTATTTTAAATGTCGGTCTGAGATGGATTAGAGGACCATCGGAAAATCTGCTGTTTCGTCCTGATTCGGGACTCTTCAACAGTACGCATCCATTGGGGTTCCAACCCAGGGCCAAAAATCCGTAAGACCAATGTGCCCTTAAGACCCATACTATCAATGATGAACTCACCATGCCACAAACTAGCTCGATAGCTAGTTCATTCATTGAAGCCAATTCAACAGAAATTCGCAAATCACAGCTTGAATGACACCTTCCAATTTTCTAAAGAAGTTGACCATGTTGATATATCGAATAAACGAATGGTGTTAAACGATGCGACTGCCTTATTTACAAATGTACCAGTGATGGAAACAATAGACATCATTTGTAAACAAACAGATCTATTACCATTACCGGAAACTGAGATGAAGTGCCTACTAATTCTCTACACAAAAGACGTCCAATTTAAATTCAACAACCAATTCTATTGACAAATTCACGGGGTCGCCATGAGTTCACCTCTAGGACCTAATCTAGCTGACATCTTCATGGGTTACCTCGAACAGATGCGACTGAGTGATGCTATCAATGAAATAACATACTATCGTTGATATGTCGATGATACGTTTGCTGTTTGTAACGACATGAGTGAGGCATCCGTATTATTTGACCGCCTTAATGAGATCCACCCGAACATTAAATTCACCATGGAATATGAGCACAACGACGAGTTCAATTTCCTGGACCTAAATGTAAGAAGAAGAAACGATGGAACGGTTGAAAAGTTCATCTACAGAAAAGAAACCTGGACTGGACAATACCTTCTGTACAACAGCTTCTGCCTTATAAGCGGATATTAGTAAGGACACTGTACGACAGAGCCAGGAAGCTATGTTCATCGAACAAGGTGGAAGAAGAATTAGGTTTCGTTGGGAAATGCCTAGGAGAGAATGGATATCCAAAGGGATTTATACAAAAGTATAGCAGAGGAAAAGATAAGAAAGAAAAACACCCAACTGTAGAAAAGTAAAAAGTGTTTATTTGTCTCCCATTGAAAAGAGATGCAGTGTCACAAAAGACTGACGAAAGACTAAAAGGTGCAATAAAAAGAAGCGCACCCCTGCAGCTAAACTCATAACATTATACATCATCACTTCTTCTATAAGCCACTCAAGACTGGATAAATACCCTGCTGATGTCATCTCCAACTGCGTGTATGAATTTACGTCCACTTGCGTGAGCAAGTACATTGGAAGGACAGAAAGAAGGGCTTCTATCCGGGTTTCTAAACATATTCCAAGAAACCTGTGCCTGAAAGGAAGCAAATATTCTCGGAGTGCAATTACCATACATATTGTTGATACTCGTAGGGATCTTGTAGAGATTTCTAAGTCCTTCAAAATATTAAATATACAAAAGACGGCAAATTTACTACGATTTGACGAAGCCATCGAAATCAAACGATTTAAACCAACCAGACTTATGCATACAGAAACAGAGTGTGGTTAATCTCTCACTCTCTCGCTAACTGAATTTCCATTTTGATTACATTAATTAAATTAGTCGTCTAATTCAGTGATCTCAACTCACTGAACAAATCTCAGTCTGAAAAACTGTGACCGCTTTTGTTTTTGTTTTGAGTTGCTATGTGAACCTACAAGCTAACACTGTTAGTTGATTTTTTCTGTTTTCTGTCTTACCCCTCCCCGCCCTCTTTTCTACTACTTTAAAAGCGTATAACTTGATGATGAAAACTTAAACTAAAAATTGTAACGCTGCTTACATTTTGGATGTGTCAATTTCATATTATTTCTTTCTTCTCTACTACCACTTAAACATTAGAGTATGTTATCATCTATATGCGTAACCATTGTAATTTCAGGTAGTCTATGGCAGCTGATGAGAACCTGTGAAATAGAATGATGATGACATCATTTTATACCGCAAATCTTGTCTTTCGTTCTCTATCGCAATTAATACTATTAATTGAATTGCAACCTAAAAGTTTTGAACACAAGTGAAGCAGTTCAAGTTATCATAGTTCACAAAGTCATATGGAAACTGCTCCAACACTGGAGTACCTCACTCCTTTATATAATGATACCACATGCTGAGCGATTTACAACAGAAAATTCAGCGAAGCCTTTGAAGTGAAGCCAAAAGTGAGGCAAGGCTGCTGTCTACTATCACCAATGGTGTTCCTGATTTTGGTGAACTGGATCATTCGGTAGGCGTCACAGGAGGAGCGAAAACTCACATATACGTTGGATTGACGAGAAGACTCTAGAGGACCTAAACTTCACGGAAGATTTATGTCTGATGTTGCATAAACTCGAAGATCTACAGGTGAAAACCAACAGGATGGCAAAATAAGCAACGATTTCAGGGCTTCGAGTGACGGAGGTGATGAGGATGCCTAATCCTCATAACAACTGGCACCAATCACTATTAACTTATCTAGGCAGCATCGTTTCAACTACAAGTGGTGCATATGAAGGTGTCTCGAGTACGTCATCCAGACAGGTTATACCTCCCTGTGTGACTCACATCAACGACCAAATACTTTGTGGATTGGCTCGAATACCCTTAACGCTTTCTCTCAATGAGAAATGCGATGGCTTGTCATGCATTGTGCTATTGTGAATCGATAATTTAAAGTGAACTTCGGGATTTGAATTTTATACACTAACCCCGTCTTAGTGTTTTGTCTTCTCAACTATTTTGAAATATTCGCTGTCCTGTTCAGTCGTCACATTGTTTTTTTGTCGTTTTTGTTTTTGTTGTTGAGGCATTTGTTAGTTTGAGTAGGGCGATAGGTGTAATCTCAATGAAGTCTTTTATGATTTAAATTATGTAGGTTAATTGTTAGAATATTAGGGGGTATAAAACATATTAACGTGAGTATTAACTCTCACTGTCTCATCTACTATGCATATTATTAAATGGTTGGAGGCAATCGGCCACAGGAAGCCTTGGACCTTGGTTTCGTGCTAGTTGTCACTCACCAGTCAGCAAGGCGTACCTGCAACCTTGAGGGAACTCATGTCATTTCTGAGATTCGAACACGCGTCACCCAGTGAGTGGTGCAGTCAGACAGGACGTTACCACTGAGCTATTCGGGTTCGCAATTGACCTCCTGTAGGACTGCATTGGATACTAGAATGGTGACCACATTGCAAACTTGACTGATAGAATTCAGTCAGCACCAAAGAAAAGACTAGACACATCACACTAGTTACTGACTAGTGTCCGATCAAAGTATCTGCTATGCACATTGCTCGTGTATGGTGTGATTGTTAGAATTAAATGTCTTTTATGTCCTCTTCACACGATCTCCTCCATGTTATCCTCAAACTGATGCCCAACTCGTTTTCCATTCGGGGTTTCGCTCGAGCGATGAACAGGTGTGCGATTTCACTCAACTGTCTCCTATGCATGTTTCCGACCCGTCTCCATTTACTTCTACATATTTGTGAAGCAATTGGCTTCTTGATTAGTTCGTTCGTCCCCAGAGTTTATTGTTGCTGATTCTTTCTGACCATCTGGCCATCTGATTTTCAGTATCGAGTGAGGGCAGTATTCTGTTGGAAATGTTTTTTGTGATGCGCAAAGTTTTTCAACGATACAGAAGAAGTCACATAACATTGGTGCTGAAAATCTAAAATTTGTTCTTTATGCTGATTGCAGCAGATTTCCACACTGATTTCGGATTAAATGAAGATCCGTCTTGCCTTTCCGATTCTGGTTTTGATATCCTCCTCCGTGTCAACTGCTTGTAGTTGAAACGATGCTTCCTAGACAAGTGAAGGAAGTTACGTCTTTTAAATGTCTCCCGTTGATGCTGATTGGTGCATGTTGTTGTTATTGTTGTCATTGGTCAGGTGTCAATATCTTGTCTGCCTTCTTTATGTTCACTTGAAGTCCTGTCTTGCTGCTTCCTTTGGAAACTTTTTGGTTTTCGCCTATATGTCTTCGAGTTTGTATGACATTAGGCGTTAGGTATAAATAAGTCTTCCGCAAACTTTAGAGTTCCTAGAGTCTTCTTGTCGGTGTAACTTATTCCTGCCTTCTCTCACCCCACATTCTGTCGCATGATCCACTCCACCACAATGAGGAATATTATTGTTGGCAGTAGGAGGCCTTGTCTTACTGCTTTCTTCACTCCAGAAACCTCTGTGATTTTTCCATTGTGGATCACTTGACATATAGCATTGTAATGTACCTGTTGAATGGGGTTGTTAATGATTTGAGGCTCTCTGTAGAGTCGAAGTAGTTTCCAAATTACTTTGCAGTCAACGTGCTGTCGAAGGCGGTTTTAAAAGTCGATGAAGTTAAGATAGAGGTTTGACTAGTCAGTAACTAGTGTGATGTGTCTAGTCCTTTCTTTGGTGCCGACTGAATTCTATCAGTCAGTCAAGTTTGTAATGTGGCCACCATTCTAGGTAGCTCGCCATCACGGTGCACATTGATTTGATGATATTAGATGGTTGGGGGCAATCACACTTCCTTCAAGGTTGCAGATACGCCCCGCTGATGAGTGCCAGCTAGCACGAAACCTAAGTCAGGCGAGGCTTTCTGCCGATTGCCTCCAACCATATAATATTCTGTGTTCTGTTCGACGATGATGCGTAAACTTGCTATTTGATGCTCATATGACTTGCTTTTCCTGAATCCAGCTTGTTCCGGACAGCCGAACTTCTGCATCCAGTGCGTCTTCTAGCCTGTTTAGGATAACGTGACTTAGTATTTAACTGGTGTGGACGAAAGCACGAGTGTGCTCCAGTTTTTTGCAGAGGCCTAGGTAGCTCTAATTTGGTAGTTTGATAAGGTAGTCTTTCTTTCAATCTGTAAGTACCTTTTCTTTCTTCTAGACGTTTTGCAATAGTTCCTTGAGCATATCCATTGCAGTTTCTGCGTCTGTTTTCAGTGCTTTAGAGGGAATTTCGTCCGGTCCTGCTACTTTCTCGGCTTTCTATAGCTTGATCGCATTCAAAACTTCTGCTTTTGTTGGAGGCTTGTTGCCCTCTGTCATTCTGTGACTATTCGTAGTATTTCTGGGTAAATTGTAAGCGATGGTCGACTAAGGAGTTCTTTGAAGTGATCAGCCCACTGTTTTCTTTGCCCCTCCTCTTTTGCAAAGAAGTATATATCTTTCTAATCAACTCACCAATAAGTCGTCAGATAGCTAAATGACATCCATTTGAGTGCTGTTGAAAACCAGGAAGTACTGGATACAGATTTTTTATCCTGGCGTGCGATTCCCCAGCAATACGCACCCATAATTTTATTTCCGGTCGAACCGCTGATCCACATATTACGAAACGAGCCTGTCAATGGTTCTCTAAGTCATATCTCTAATTTGAAGTCATTCAAATACCTGTAAAAAAACATATGAAAGTATGGAGAGTAACTTTTTAGGAATTTGGTTTGTTTGATCATGGATTAATGCCAGTTTGGAAGACCATTGAAAATCAGAGAGTACTGAACAGCCTGCTATTTCTTCCTGCTTTGGAACTCTTCATCGGTACACATCCAGTAGGGTTCGAACCCACAACCTTTCTGTCACAGGGCAGTTTCGTAGATCACTCAGCTATTTGGTCTACGAATTCTAACTTCCAGCAATCCGTGATTTTTAGCGCCACCTCCAGCCAATGTCATTGGCGAGTATTTGTCCTCCTCTGGGTTTGAATGATATACGAGCACGCCTAGCAACTGGAAGGTCTTGTGTTCGAGTCGTGACCAAACCTGTGAAGTTATATCAGACAAGTTAGTAACCCGGTTGTAATAAGTTAATATGTGAAGTAAAGCATGCATGGAGTGACGAGTTGTCATGGAAATCAATGATGATACTTAATCTGTAATAGTTACCATCGCTTTTATTGTTTTTTTTTCGGACTTTTTAACAAAATGACAATATGTGAGCTTTACTAATACTCAGTGTTATTAACATTGTGTACGACGCCTTTAATATTATTTTCTTTAATTCCATGACAGATCCTGATGCTAATCTTGAATTCCTGAGTCAATCTGGTCGTAATCAATGGCGAAAGTTATCTGAAAGTGGAGATGAAACACTTTTAGAGACAAAAAGTGGTCGACTCATCTATGGTAAGTATTTATTTTAAACAAATAATGTGTGTGTGAGGACAGAAGACAAGGGCCAGGCAACAGATCATTTATTGAGAGAATCAAGAGACATATATATCGATTTTTATGTACATTATTGTCAGCGGAGAAGCAATGTCTTCTGATTGGTTGTTTTCCTACTGAAGGTTATTCTGTACTGCTTGTGACCGTTTCTCAGAAAGTTGAGCCATATATCTGCGAATCGTATTTGCACACGTTAAGTCTGCTGTGATTGGTCGGTGATTTCCTCAAGGTTAGGCTTTGTTATTGTTTTTTTCTCATGACCCCGATTCGGCATGTGAACATTGACGTAAATTGTTGTCTACAATTTTGGCTTGTTCGCAGACAGCTCTCACCACACTACTACTTCACTTATTTGGGAAGAAGTTGTATCAGTCGCAAGAAGACTGATTACTGACGGATATAAAACGCTCATGCGGCATTTTTCAGCTTACGTCATCTCTGGCGTAGACGTGTTATCCGGTTATTGATAAAAGGATATGTGTACACTGCGTAACAATTCTCTCTATCTGTCCTTCCTTGTGACTTTGAGACATGGCTGTTGGAAGTGGTAGACTTGACGAGGCTTAGATGTCTCTGGGGCCACATATTTACGTTCTGTCTTTCGTATTAAGCGGCGCATGATATGGTGATTGACTGTTGGTTTGAGTCATGTTGTAGGGTGCTGACTAGTTGGCGCTGGGGGGTCATCGTGACTCTAAGAACCGATAGTTTATGACCGCCGATGACATGGCTTAAGATTGTTTTCAGCTGGCACAGACGCATTCGCACTCATTGTGGTCGTCTAGATCCAGTGAATTCTCATTATTATCCGTGTAATTATTCTTTGTGCTACACATTTCCGTTCACTATCGTTTTCTTGAGAGTCTTTTCCACTTTGTTTTCTATGGTGTGTGACAAGTGGTTGGTTTTACGTTGAAAATTCAATCAGTCAGATTGACAGCACTAAATGTCGCAAAAGTATGAGTCGAATCCAGAACATACTACCTAGAAGCTTATTATTATTGTTTCCTTTAATTCCGAGAGGAACATAGGGCTTCAGCTGCACATTCCCAATGCGTTCGGTTCTCCACCAAGGTTTTCATCACCTGGCTCCACGTCTGCCCATATACTTTTGTCCCCTCTTCACATGACCTCCTCCATGTCACCCTCGCACTGACGACCAACTCGCCGCTTCCCATTCCGCCGGGTTCCACTCGAGCGATGGCCTGGCGTGTGGTGTCACTTTATGCTTTCCTCAGATTATGGACATTCCACCTCCATTTCTTCCTGCATATTTGTTGTACAGTCGGTTCCTGGTTGGTTCGCTTCCAGAGACCCCTGTTGCTGATGTTTTCTGGCCGGCCATCTGATCTTGAGTAGTATTGAGCGAAGACAGCTGTTGATGAAGGTCTGTAGTTTGTTCGGAGTGCCCTTTGTGACGCGCTAAGTCTCTGATCCGTATAGTAGCAGTGACTTCACATTGGAGTTGAAAGTCCGGATTTTATTTTTCATTCTGAGTAGTGCTGTTGAACTCCATCCAAACTTGATATGTAATAAATGCTTGCCTGGCTTTCCAGATCCTCTATTTCATATCCTCATCAGTTCTGTCCGCCTGTAGTTGAAACGATTCCTCCTACGTAGGTAGGCGAAGGAGGTTGCTTCTTTCAGATTTCTTCCACTTACGCTGATTGTTGTTGTTGCTGTTGGCCAGGAATCTTCATCACCCCTGTTTTTTCTATGTTCACCTGAAGTCCTGTCTTTGATGCTTCATCTGCCAACTTATTGTTTTTCACCTGCATATCTTCCAGTTTGTGGAATTCAGACATATATCATCGGCGAAATCCAGATCCAGTACTTATTTATGCCAGTGTCACCACATCTTCACCTTGAATAAGAAAAACAAGATCTTCAGCAAACATTTCAGCCTATAGTTCCTCGTGACTTTGTTGATCGAGTTATGATGCTCTGTCGCTGACTTTGAGCAATCAAAAGTTTGCCTAGTGCTTTCATGTGAAGACTGGGTGTGTAACTAAACTGACTGTTCATTTGTCAGAGAACTACTGAAACCGAAGAAGTATTGGTTAGCCAGCTGTGTTTTCCTTCTAGTTTGGGACTGTTCAGCGCTCCGCACTCACAATCCTTCTACGACAGAGATCGAACGCAACGTGTTGACGACCCAACCACTGTCACTAGTGTTACGGAGAAAATGGGTACAAAAAGCAGACTTAAAGACTTCAAATGAAAGAATCTTTCGTTCCGTAGACGGCTAATTGTTCAGTCCCCTTCTGTTGTTCTACTTCTCTTTCCCCCACCCCCTTCACATTCGACGTTAAGCATTGAAATTGTTGTCCAGAAGGAAAATACAGCCTCCGTAAGTAAACTATCCAACTCACTGAACATTACAACACCAAAAATATCAAATCCATCCAAACCAAAACTGGATAATCAATCTGGTGCTCATTACGGACGGACTGTATACAGGAAATTACCTGGAATTCTAGTGAGAAGTCGTAACCAACGGTTTCCACGACGATGTCAGGCAGGAGAATAGTCACTCGTCTACAATACTAGCTGGCGGTTGGTAGAAGTTAGGATTTATAGGCCATTATGTTGGGTCCCGGTGGTTGAATGACCTACGAGGTCTCTTTATAACCGGAAGGTCCCGGGTTCGAACCCAGGTGAACACGTACTGCTGAAGACTCCCAAACTAGGACGAAACAACTGCCTATCCAGTACTGCCAAGATGATTTCCGAATGGTTCTCTAACTGATATCAGTTTGTGGTGAGACCTGTAACCTATGAAATCCCTGCAAACATACTCTCGTAAAACCAAAAATATGAGCTACAAATCTTCTAGATTATTTTAAGACTCATTTTGTCTAATCCATAATATTATGCTGGTTAGCTCTTGTTCAGTTTTAATCTGTTTCTTACGTAATGGACTGTATAAATAAAAAATAGAACTTTAGAAGTTGACATTATGGATTATCTTTCACATTCCTGGTTGCTAATTTGCTATAACATAAAAACTAATTATATTAATTAGATGACAAAATTTTTGAGTTCATATTGATTAGTTATATGGTGTTGGTGGCGGTGGGGAGGGTTGCAATTAGTGTCACGTGTCTGATTACGCCTTTATTATTACTCTGCTTACTGAATTCACCATATTGATTTGACTTCCTTCAAGGTTGCGTATACCATCTTGCTAATTAGGAGGAGGTCAGATAGTAGGAATATTATAATATCTATTGTTATTATTATTCTCTATTGTTACCCCTTAGTTCTTCCCGGGCTACTGAAGAAAGACTGTAACATATTACGCAGGGTGTTAAAGGTTGTCAGCAGGGTAAGCAACATGCCACTTAACCAGTTTGTTAATATTCTGGTTGACGGGCACATGGACTCATGTGAAAAATGGGCCAAATCCATTTTATCTAACTCACACCACCCTCTTCACTCACAACTCTCCCCTCCCCTTGCATCTCATCAGGCACAACCAGAAGCCTATATAGAAAACTATATGCTCGCACCAGCAAGTACAAAAACTCAACCATACCCTACTTAGCTCGTGTTCTGTGCGATAAAGAAAGCATTAGGCGTGACACCTATAATTCATTAAATAGTCAGTAGAACAACTGGACCTCGTCTTTCCAACTCATATCATTTATAGGTACAACGTTTTCTTTCTTTCTTTTCCTTTTCTCTCTCTCTCTCTCTCTCTTTGTTTTCCGTTATGTGCTGCTTTGTTTCTTTCTTCCGTTTACGCCAGTAAATATGATAGCACCTACTTTTCTAACACCTTCAAACACTGTTCAACTTTGGCTTTGCTACTGACATGCCAATATGTTGTTGTCATAATGAACTGAGATTTCCTTAATCTATGTAGAATTCTATTTATTGATAATGTAGTAGCTGGATGCAATACTGTAGTAAAAATGCTGAGAATTCCATTCTGTATCACAAGTACTGTTTTGGAATAAAGCAAATTATTATTATTACTGTAGGATTCCTACCGATCGCTTCTGACCAGTTTGTAAGAATAATGAGTCCATATAGCATAGCAAATTATAAATATGATCAATAAAGTTACGTAATTGCTCTACAGCTAATTGGGCATAAATTCCTGAGTGTCAAGGCGTAGGTAGTTAGTTAGTGAAAAGAAAGTTTACAAAAGCTAAAATAAATCAATACTATGGTGAAATAACTCTGTAAATTGATGACATTAACTAAGTTAAACTATTCAAACTTACTCTGTTCTCCTTCGTGTTTTCCGTCTACATCACTAAGTGACGTTTGGTAGTATGTGGTGTTGGTATTTGGTTAGCATGTTTCAGTCCCGTCGTATGAAATATGGACTTTCGCCATTGTGAGGCCTACCAATACGCTATATGAAGTGCTAGTCGTCTCATTGGCTATAGTGCGCTGGATTTTTCACCTATTCACAACTCCCGATTGGTTGGAGTCCTTCTCCAGCCTCTCCCTACCAATGAACCAACGACAATTTTCTAGTGTAGGGGTTTTATTACGAACTGAAATCAGTAAGGCAAATCAGTGGAGGTGGGTGGGTACCTAACGTCTGTTTCGTCCTATTTCTGCACTCCTCAAAAGTAGATACTCACTCCTGACTGTTCTATTGATGTGGGACTCAGAACCTTCAGGTTGCAGGGTAACCAATTGGGACGAAATCTTATTGGCCACGAATTCTAATTTCTGACGATTTGTGGCAATATCATCAACCAATATCGTTACTGAGTATCTGTCCTCAAACCCAACTTGGTCGACCTCGCTGGCCAAAATTTGTCTTTAGAATTCTAGGAACACTATTTTGATCTCATACTGTTTCAAGAATTGACATTTTTTTTACTGTAGTTATGTTCTCTGAGCTGGATGGCTTACTTGCTAAGCTTTCATTGCCCTACTAGGCAACATCCTGCACGAGTTTATTAGTCATCTCTCCTGGTGGCTCACCTTGGACGTCGTGATTGGTTATTTTTGTGTGTTTTCACACCTTCTAGTCTACTTGTATTTGATATCGAGTGTTTCCTTAACCTGAAGTTTAAATTTTTGTTCATGTGATTCCCTTCTTATGGATTGGTAAATCGTGTCTATGTCAGTGTGTCTATTGATTGACGATTCACTGGAATACCAGGTTTCTAAAAATTCTCTAGCATTCTTGTTGTTTCCTCTGTCTAATATTTGAACGTTGTCCCAGTCGAATTGATGTCCGTGGTTGTCTGTATGCAGTGAGTGATATGAGGGAGTGTATGTCATGTCTTTTGATGGCTAGCTTATGTTCGTGGATACGAAGACGAAGGGGACGTCCACTTTGGCCAATGTAGTGTTTTTCGCAGTTGATACAATCTATTTTGTAGATGATGTTGGTTTTATCTTCCTTCACTGTTGAGTCTTTTGGCTGACACAGATTTGAGTGGAGTAATTTTGTTGGTTTGTGTGCGACATCAATTCCTAAAGGTTTGAAGAGTCTTGCAGTGATTTCTGAGATGTCGATTATACATGGTGTGGCGGTTTTCTTTGTACTTTCCCTGGGGTCTTTGATTTGGTAGGTTGGCTTTTAGGTAGATATCTTTTGATGACGTTCTGTGGATATACATTCTTTTGGAAGATGTCCATGCAATATTTTTCGTCAATTTTCCTCAAGATAGGAGTGCTGCAATGAGTCCTGGCTCCCATAAATAGTGTCTGTATACCACTCCTCAATAGACGAGGCTGTGGAGTTACATCGACTGAGATGGTTAGGACATGTGTTACGTATGCCTAGCCGTCGCCTTCCTCGACAATAGGCAATGGTAGCTGACTGACATACAGTCCCGTTGGAAAAGAGCTAGCGGCGGTCAAACCAAAACATGGCACCAGTAAGTGAAATCCACAACAGTTAGTTTAAGCCACGTAGGAAGATGTAGACTTCCTGACTGGTTGGTGTCCTCGGGACGGTAAACACCAATAGCTGGAGCCATTTAGTGATATGGCTCAAAGTTGTTCTCAGTCAGTGGTTGCGCAGATGCATCCACTCCTAGTGGCTTATAATATCCAATAAAACTATATTGTTCTTCGATGTTACTATTCCTTTTGCCTCATATCTCTGTTTAATGTCTCTATTTTACATTTCCTTTTACTTTCTTCTCTTGCTCTGTGTACTGAGTGAAGTGTGGCGACTCGAACTGCTGCACATCAGTGTAAAGTTCTGTGTTGAAACCAGTCAGTCAGTCACTCCTTTTGTGTGTTATTGGGTTGTTGCTGTTGTTGTAACTACTAGAGTATTTGGTCTGTGCCACTTGATTTTCTGCATATATGAGTTTCTAATTTTCCTTTAGTTATTCACCTCCTTCATCAACAAAATCATCCACCTGAGCCACAAATTTTCTCCATCATATCTGGAATTGATATTTGTTAAAGAACTGTCGAAAACAAATGAAGAGTACTGGGCAGCTGTTTTTTTTAGATTGACCCCACTGTCAGGGATCAAATCCAGGATCTTCAACTTACTAGGTGAGCCCTTTCAGAAACACTGGGACAGCACGGATACAGAGGGCTAGTTTCGCATATGCCAGTTTACGCCGTCTCTGGCTTAGTAGACGTGATATCCACCCGGTTGTTGACCAAAGGGCCATTGTACTGCTCAGCAGTTCGCTTCGTCCTCCTTTATGGCTGTCAGTGAGACATGGCCATTGAAAGTGGAAGACATGAAAATGCCAGCTATCTGTCTTTGATCATAGGTGCCTGCGTTCTATCTCCAGTGTAAAATGGTATAATAGGATGAGCAATATTAAGGTTATGCATCAGTCGAGTGCTAGGTAGTTGGGAGGGGAAATCAATTGACGAGTCTGTGAAATTACACCGACTGAGATGGTTAGGACATGTGTTACTCATGTCTCGCCATCGCCTCCCTTGACGGATTGTGTTAGCTGACAAAGGATCAGGTTGGAAACGTACCAGTGGTGGTCAAACCAAAACGTGGCGGCACCAGTCAATGAAATCCACAACAGTTAGTTTAGGTCACGTAGGAAGATGTAGACTTCCTAACTGGTTGGGGTCCTCGGGACGGTAAAAATCAGTGGCTGGAAATAATCTGTGATATTGCTCAAAATCGTTCTCAGTGATGGCTGGCGCAGATGCATCCATTCCTTGTGGTTTATTATTTCCAATGAAACCGTATTATTTTTCGTTATTACTATTCCTTTGTCTCAATTCCTTGTCTTGTACTTTCTTCTCTTGCTTTGTGTGCTACAAAGAGGGAGTGTGGCGACTTGAACACTGCTGCACGTCGATGCAAAGTTCTATGTCGAAAACAGACAGACAGACAGACACTGGGACAGAATTCTATTATCCATGAAATTTAACTTCAACCGATTCTGAGTACATGTCTTCATACCTCACTTAGTGGACCCCGTCCCTCCATAACGTCTCACCAGAACTGGAGGATTACTCTCCTGTAGTCAGTCCAGCTGGAGTAAATGAAGTCACAGAAAAAATTAGTGTCTTTCCTCTGTACTACTTGTTCTTATTCCCATCTCTTTTCTCTTTATGTTTTCTTTCTTCCAGGTCCCCTTAGCTTACTTTCTTCATCAGCAAGTAATTGTAAAAAGAGCGTATTGTCGTCTAGTTCTTCAGAGATCTCTGATCTATCAGACTGTGTCAGTTCAAATGATGACGATGATGATCATAATGATAATGATGTCGAAGAACAGCAAGACGAGGAAGAAGATGGAGATGTAAAAGAAGCAACGAAATTAACTCCTTCTGAGAACAATGTTAAACGGATATCTGCTTCGCATAAAACTGTTCAAAATACCAAAAATATGAATAATGAAAAGAGTAAATTACCACCTACTTCTAATACTGAAGTAAAAGAACTTACGGATAACTTTGAAGGTTTGTCAATTTTGTCTTCTTATCCACGTGTTTTTATTGTTTTCGTTTTACACGTTTTAATTAATGCCTTTTATTTTCTATAGTATGGTTTGTAAGGGTTAGTTTTGTTTTTACGAGTTGATCAGGGATTGATATCAGTTAGAGAACCATTGAAAACCAGGGAGCACTGGGCAGCCAGCTGTTTCATCCTAGTTTGGGAATCATCGTCAGTACGCACCCACTGGCAGGGTTCGAACTCACAACCTTCCGGTTACAAGGCCAGCTGGCTCGTATACCATTCAGCCAGTGGGATCCGATTCAATGGCTGAATGGTATACGAGCCAGCTTGCCTTGTAACCGGAAGGTCGTGGGTTCGAACCCTGGCGGTGGATGCGTACTGCCGATGATTCCCAAACTAGGATAAAACAGCTGGCTGTCCAGTACTCCAATGCTGGTTTTCAATGGCCTTCTATTTTATTTTCAACCTAATGATAAAGAAAAATTTCTCAAGTCTACAATACACGTCTTGAAATTTTACCCTGAATCTACGTAATTTTCAGATGGTTAATTTTTGATTCGATATTTTATTAATCCGTCTAAGTAGACAGCCACCCATCCACACACACACACACACAAGAAACTGATTGTTATTGTCTATTGTAATGTACAGCTATAATGACGAAATCGTCGGTAAGAGGATTTTCTTCTCTGAATTCTTTGTTTTTATATCATACAATGGGGATTAATAATTTAAATAAATAAATAAATTTAAATAAATTCAATTCAATTCAATGAGAAAGCAGTCTTTGCTTTCTCAGTTTGTCAATTCCTGTATTCTACCCATTCCTCTTTACTGCTCCCCATTAATCTTCCCTCGACTACTTAGGAAAGACTTTGCTTCGCTGCATAGGGCACTAAAAGCTGTTAGTAGGGCAAGTGGGATTTCGTTAAACCAACTGGTTAAAACAATTGTGGATAGACATATAATGTCATGTAAGAGACTAGCGAATTCTATATTGTCAGACCCCGAACACCCTCTCCACACGCAGCTCTCTCCTTGCATTTCATCTGGTAGAACTAGAAGCAACTATAGGAAGCTATATGCCAGGACTACCAAGTATAAAAACTCCACAATACCTTATCTGGCACAGCTGTTATGTGATGAGAAAACTGTTAGGCATGACACGATCAACTTACTGCGGCACTCTAACAAATAGTTCCCATTAGCTTTTGTTCTCCTTTCTTTGTTATTATTATATTGTTGCTCATATATTCTATTTACAGACCAATCTTATATATCATATCCTGTGGTGCATTGTTTATATATGTGAATGCAATGCTGTTCTTTTTTTATTTCTTTTATTTCTCTTTTTTCTTTTTGTTGTTGTTGCTTTATATTTTTAAATCCTTATAAAATTTATGAGGTAATTAGATGCAATATTGTAATGAACGCTGAAAATTCCATACCTGTACCACAAATACTGTTTGGAATAAAGCCATTATTATTATTAATATTGTCTAGCACACTCGAATCGGATTACAAATATATACTTTTAATATATATGAAACGTGACATTTTGTAAGATTAACTCAAGTACTCAGTTTCATTTTCGTCTTTGTTCTTCCTCTACTTCTGATTGATTACTTACTGATTAACGTTGAACAGAGAAAGAATAAAAAAACATTGGTGCAGACAGAGTATTGAATTAGTTGTGTTCTCCGAGCTCCTGGCTGATTTCATTGCGAAGCTGTCGTTGTCCCCCCCCCCCCCTCAAAACACCATCTTCAGAGCAGGTTTTGGTATAAAATGAACTTATTTAGATTCTCCATGAACGATGATGTACTCGTATTTCCTGGCAATCGCCGTCGTGACTGGTTGTTAATTTACATCTCTGCTGATCATATTTTTAGTGAATTGGAATTCTCTCTCTTTCTCACGTTAGGTGGCATAACAAGGTAAGTAATGTTGCCGTTAGGCGTAGAGTGTTGAGCAAAGAGGGAAAATCAATCGACGAGGCTATAAAGTTACATAGATTGAGATGGTTAGGTCACGTGCCGCGCATGCCTAACCATCGCCTCCCCCGATGGGCATTACTAGATGATATAGGTGCAGGTTGGAAAAGAGTAAGTGGTGACCAAACAAAAACATGGCCTCATCAATCCATGAAATCCTTGACAGTTAAACTGAGTCAGGTAGGGAGGGAGATGCAGACTTCCGGGTTGGGGCCCGCCCTCGGGACTCTAAGAATCAATCAGTGGCTGGAGACGATAGGTGACATGGCTCAAAATCGTTGTCAATGGCTTACGCAGATGTATTCAGTTTCTGTAATCTTTCATATTCCTTTCTACCATTACGCACTCTGTTTCACTCTTATACTTGTCAAAACTCTATTGATTCTTTTCACTCATTTTCTTGTCTACCTTTGCGTGGTATTTGGAACGTGGCAACTCGAACTGCTGCACTTCGGTGCCAAGTTCTATGTTGAATCCAGACAGACAGACAGAGACAGACTTGGAATTCGAAATTTCTTGTCATGTGATGATTTACTTTTTATTAGCTGGTAAATTTGGTCTCTGGAGGTAATGTATTTGTTAATCGCTGGCTGATTCACTTTAGCACCAACCAGGCTTCTAGGAATTCCCTGACTGCTTTTTTGGTGTTTCCTCTATTCTCCCAATCATCGAAATTGGTGTCCATAATTATTCACATGCATTGGTTGATATGAAAGAATATATATCATGTCTTTTTACAGGCAATTTGTGTTCTTCGATTCGGAGTCGAAGGGGATGCCCACTTTGTTGACCGATGTAATGTTTATTGTAGTTTATGCTTGCAATTTATTTTGTGAATTGTATTAATTTTATCTTCTTTTTCTGTTGGATGGATCTTTCGGTTTGCACAATATCGAATGAAGTGATTGTACTGGCTGGCTGGGTGGCTGGGTAGCTTGTGGTGTGCTATATATATTTCAAACAACGGTCGTAATATCCTAGCCGTTATTTCAGAGACAAACAGCGGTCAATGAGGAAACAGGCATAAAATGGACTCACACAAAAAACCTGGAGGATCTGGACTTCGCCGATGATATATGTCTGATTTCCCAAAAACTGGAAGATATGCAAGCGAAAAGCAACAAGTTGACAGAAGAAACATTCAGGGAAGATAGGACTTCAGGTGAACATAGAGAAAACAGAGGTAATGAAGTTTCCTGGCCAACAGCAACAACAACGGACAACAATCAGCTTTAATGGGAGGAATCTGAAAGAAGCAACCTCCTTTACCTACCTGGAAGGCATCGTTTCAACTACAGGCGGACGGAACTGACGAGGATATCAAAGCGCGAGGACCCGGAAAGCAAGGCAAACTTTCATTACTCTCAAGTCTGTGTGCAGATCAACAGCACTACTCAGCATGAAATTGAAAATAAAATCCGGATTTTCAACTCCAATGTGAAGTCAGTGCTACTGTACGGATCAGAGACTTGGCCAGCGCATCGTAAAGAGCATCTCAAACAAACTACAGACCTTAATTAACAATTGTTTTCGCTCAATACTCAAGATCAGAGGAACTGCCAGAAAAGATCAGCAACAGGGATCTTTGGGAGCGAACCAACCAGGAACCGATTGTGAAATAAATAGGCAGGAAGAAATGGAGATGGATTGGCTGGCCATACTCTGAGGAAACCATCAAGTGAGTGACATCACTAGACAAGCCATTGCTCGAGTGGACCCTGGCTGAAAGGGAATCGGCGAGTTGGTCGTCAGTGCAAGGGTAACTTGGAGGAGTTGATGTGAAGAGGAGATGAAAACGTGTGGGCAGACTTGGAGCCAGGTGAAGACTGTAGCAGAGAACCGAACGCAATAGAGACGCACGACTGAAGCCCTATGTTTCTCTAGGAATTAAAGGAAACAATAATAATAATATTTCAGGAATTAAGGGAAACAATAATAATAATTTTATATCGTCGTTGGTCGTCATCTACGTAGAACCTATAATACTTAGTGAAACCAATTATAATATATTTCTAACGTACATTTTATTCGTCATTATGAATCATTCCTCCAATAATTAAGGATTGTTGTAAGAAAGTCATAGTGAAATCAAACATAAGCATGATAAGGTAGCGAGCTATCCTACCCTACAAAACCAATCACAGACTGCTACACAAACTTCAACGCACAATAAAAAAGAATATTAAAATTACAAAAACTTCAAATAACAACAATCTTGTACTTCGTTGGAATCGGAGAGGTGAAATGACACAGCAGGCTGGTGAAAGCGGGCTTTTGGGAAGCCAGCCGATGTTTCTTCTTTCGATGAAAGCAAGAATAAGAATGGCGACGTGGAATGTACGTAATATGTACAAGGCTGGGAGGGCTGCCCAGGTAGTCAAAGAAATGAGAAGATATGGCATAGAAGTGCAGGGAATCTGTGAGAGCAGATGAAGTGGATGTGGAACACATTGGTCACTTCTCGATTGTTTTTTTTTTATTGCGATATCTTTAACAAACCGAACAAAGATCTAAGCTATTTTTTTCTCGATTAATTATTTTGAATGATGTCATTGCGTTGTCCACTTGGTTTCTTGTGCCTATAAGATGTTTCGCATAATTGATGGGTTCAAACTATTTGGTCCTTTTAATCGAAGACTGTATGTGGTACCTGTTCTTTCTGTGATCCTAATTTGAGTTAACCTTTATCCCTTCTCATGTTTTGTTTCACGACGACTTTCTTACAAACAATCCTTACTTACTGGAGGACTGATTTATGACGATGATAAACACTGACTTTGTCAAAATATTGTATGGGTCGTATGCAGCTGATGAGAACCAGTGAAATAAAATATGATGCATATTATTCTGCAGCAGTGTTTCTTTCTCTCCTTATTCAAATTCATAAAAGAGGAATTAGGTATGAAGTTATGAATTTTGAATGGACACTAGTAAGTAACTAGTGTAAGCGCAATATCGCTTGAAATTAAGTCACGCGTAGATAAAGGCTATCCCGGTCCAGAACAAACAAGAAGCCGGTCACTGTTTCTACGGTACTATTAATTATATATATATATATATATACAACAAACCTTAACGGTTTCAAGAGTACAAAGCACAACGCTTGACAGAAAGCAAGGTACCGCTATCAGAGCGGAATAACGTTAAAGCCAAAATTGCGAACTAGCCGGAATCAGACACGACCGTTCAGGTAAGCAGTCAGTAGAAGAATGAACCCAAGTAAGGCAGGGCATAGAACAGAGAGTGGTTAAGAGATAGACAGAGCATAGTCACAAAGATAGAATTTAATTGGCTACTTAACCAGATAGGCTGATACAGATGAAGATCAATAAATAAGATAAACTCGACAGAATAGTACAAAGTAAGACATGGGTCAGCAAAAATAACAGCTCACATAATACTCTGATTGGGTCATGAGTTCAGCGGTCTGACTAAACGGATCGATGTAAAAGAAAACACACACAGACACAGTTCATTAAACAAGGTGGGATAGACACGTTAGGCATGGATAATTGGATTGCAACAACGCTAGGCTGATCCGGGACAGGTTGACTTGATTCAAGGATGGGAGTTGAATTGATCTTACAACTAGTTTAGCCTGTCTAATCCTCTGTTTGGTGCAAATTGAATTCTATCAGTCACATTTGCAATGTGGTCACTATTCTAAGTGGTTCGCCATCACGATGCACTGTGAATTGTCGGTATTAGATGGTTGGAGGATATCGGCAGGACGCCTTGCCTGATCTAAGTTTCGTGCTACTTGGCACTCATTGGTCAGCAAGGTGTATCTGCAACATTGAAGGAACTCATGTCCCTTGTGAGGTTCGAATTCACGTCACCCAGTGAGTGCTGCAGTTAGAGACGTTACCGGTGAGCTATTTCGGCTCTCGATTGATCTCTTGTAGGACCATGTTAGATACTCTGATTGGACACTTAGTAGTAACCAATGTCATGCGCCTTGTCCTACGTTTGGTGCAGACTGAATTCTATCAGAATGAACATGAGTTCCTTCAAGCTTGCAAATAGGTCTTGTCAGCAGGTCCCAACAAGCATGGAACCGAGGATCAAGACTTCCTGCTGGTCTCCTCAAACCACCTAACAACAGCAGTTCAGAGTGCACCGTGATGATGATGAGTCTCCAAGGATGGTGTGGCCACATTGCGAACTTGACTGATGGGATTCAGTCTCCACCAAACAGAGGGCTAGACGCATCACACTAGTGACTGACTAGTGTGCAATCAAAAATATCCAGTACAGTCCTAAAGAAGGTCAATCGCTAGCCTGAATAGCTCAGTGGTAACGTCTCTGACTGCAGCATTAGGTGGGTTCGAATCTCAGAAGGGACATAAATTCCTTCAAGGTTACAGATACACCTTGCTGACTCATTGGTGAGTGCCAACTAGCACGAAACCTATGTCACGCGAGGCTTCCTGCCGATTGCTTTTAACTATCTAGTATCAACAATTCGAAATTATGAATTACTATTATCATTATTATTATTATTATAGATTTCGTGGTCGGACATCGACCAGTGGTCTAATCTAAATGGTCTTACTTTAAATCCTTCTAAATGTCAGACGCTTAACATCACCTTTAGGCATGAACGTGTGATCTACACATACTTCTCCGTTCACAATATGTTTGTATCATATAGGGTATTGAAATAAAAACATAAGTCTAGCTTAAAATGTGAAAAATTATATCTGTAAAATCTCAGCCAGATTGAAATGAGTAATTCCAACGTTTCGTTCGGCAATCTGGTCCGAACTTCTTTAGGGTAATTAATCGAAATTAACATAACAGAAGTTTATGTATAATAAAAAGGACATCTCTTGTTTTTAAAAACTTTATCCAATCATGAGTCATTCAACAAGTATAATAAACAAAATTTTATGAAATGTGATCAAAATTTGACCTCGGAGCAGATTGCCGAACGAAACGTTGGAATTACTCATTTCAATCTCGCTGAGACTTTACAAATATAATTTTTTACAAATGTCTACTTCTCACTCGGCGCCCAAATATTTTAGAACTATTCTGTCAAATCTTGACGACAGTTCATTTGAGCATAAAATGCCTTGGAAATAGTTCTATTCTCTGACCTTTCTTCACCATCAACTCATATGTTATCAATTTCTAGGAAAATGTTTCACCTAACCTACTACTACATTAAGAAGTTAAGATAATCAGTCATCGTTCAGCCTCTACTAATACAGTTTGTGAACTCTTGCATTTTATAGATGTCCAAACCAAGTTCACTCTTAACAGTTTGAAAAAAGTTTAGCCATCGGGTATATGATATTCACCTGAATTTCTATTCATGATTTTCCCCACCCTTGTATCTCATCAAGTAAGACTAGAGGTCATTATAAAATATTATATGCTCGTAAAACCAATCAGGAAAACTCAACTATACACTGTTTAGCTCGTGTTCCCTGTGATGGAGATGGTGTTAAGCGTCAAAACCTAAGAATTACTGTTATTAGTGAAATATCTGACTCTTTTATCCTCTCCTATTCGTAATTTATGGTGACACTGTGATGAGAGCTGTCTGCCAGCCAGAATTGGTAGACAGCAATTTACGTCAATCTTTACTTCCCAAATCTTGGTCATGCGAGAAAACAAGAACAAAGACTTTGCGTGGGCGCATACGATTTACAGATATATGGTCTGACCTTCAAAGAAATGGCCAGAAAGAGATGACAGAATGACCTTCAGCAGGAAAACAACCAATCAGAAAACGTTGCTTCTCTGCTAACAATAACGAATAATAATGCACATAAAAATCTATAAATATCTGAACAAGACATATAAGCGAACAATATTTCTGTTTTCAATTAGATCTTCTTCGGGCTTTACTCTAATTTACATAGATTTACATATAAAAATCTTTTACCAATGACGGTGATTTTGTGGATGAAATAATAATAATGTGGTAAATGTTTTGAACGACATTAATAAGGATGATTATAATGATAACAAAATATTGATAATAAGGTTTATGCAGCAGGTGGCAATAAGAGGATTAATGAAGGTAGTAATATGTGTATATGTAGACAATTCAATAAATAAATAAATTAGGTCAAATCTTAAAAGTTACGTAAAGTTACTAAAGGTGAAGTGGACAGATAATCAGAGTTTAAATAAATATCATAAAAGTACGAAGGAGATGGAAAATAAGAAAGGTTTGGAGGGTTTTGAATAGAATTCACCTAGGCCAGGGGAGAGACAAAGGTAGAACAAAATTCTTTTGTTTTATGCAAAGACTACGATTGTTCTCTCAAATTAATTCCCATAGCTTCTGATATGTGTACAAGACGGGTTCTGATTCCGTTCGAAATGCTCGCTGGAATGCGATAGATAACTTTGAAGGCACTATTTTTGTCCACTTGGTGACCATGAAGGAAGATGCTCATTAATGCGTTTGTTAAGCTGTCTAGTTGTTCTCCCTACATAGCTCTCTCCACAGGAGCAACTAAATTTATAGATACACATAGAAGTGGCACAGCTAGGTAGCTTGTCTTTCACTTGAGCAATCATAAATTGTTGGCAGCTGGAAAATGACAAACAAAGGGTGGAGGCAGTATAAGTCCGTTTTAACGCTCTCGATAATCTCAGACGTAAGATTTCATTAGCCACGTCCCCCATTAAATTGCAATTTCATGAACAGTTGTTTCTTTTCAACTGTTGTCAGTTTCTCTTTATTATACCCAGTGTGTTCATGTGTCCGTTTCCTAACAAATCTACTAGGATGACCCTTTGGACCAGCGTATTTTGGATATATCCTAGCTCATTTTCTAGGGAGTCATCTGTACAGATACGTCTTGTTCTATTCGTGAGGCATCTGACCAAATTGACTTTGCATCGGATTGGTACAAAACTGAGGACATGTGTATATTGTCCTACAGACGTAGGTTTTTTCTATAGACATCTCTCTTGATTGAACCATCCTCTCTTCTGCTCAATTGGACGTCAAGGAAATGTAGTCTACCATCATGTTCTTCTTCACAAGTGAAGATGAGCGATGGATGTGCATCATTAAACTTTTTTAACATTTCATTCTTGTCAGCTGTCACATCAAGAATAATAAACGCGCCATCAGAATAGCGAAAATAAGAATCCGTTTTATCGATTACTTGTTTCAATGGACCATTTTCAACCTTGGCAAGAAAGAAATCTGCCGAAATTGGCCCCAATGGGGAACCCATGGCAATACCGTAGATTTGTCTGTAATAAAGATTGTTGAATGTGAAGTGTACATTCATAGTGCATCTTAAAAGCACATATAAATCTATGTGTAAATTAGAGTAAAGCCTGAAGAAGATCTAATTGAAAACCACAATATTGTTCGCTTATATGTCTTGTTCTATAAATATCTGTTGATTTTCTCAATAAACGATCTGTTGCTTGGCCCTTGTCTTCTGTCGTTAAAACACTATTTTTAATTAACTTATCATTTAAGCTATTAACATTAGCTATTATCGTCATTATTTTACACTTTAAAAAAAAACAATCTTGACTTTATTGTCACTGCAAATACCAAAAAAGCTGCTATCATATTAAATCCTGTATTATTCTTCTTTTATGGATTATTATACCAAATGTTGAGAAGTCTACACTGTTTATCACATGAGTACTGTTTTGGAATAAAGCAAATTATCACTATTATTATTTATTATTATTGTAAAATGTTTCTCTCTTCAGATTTATACCTAACGCATCAAAATTGGCATAGACGTGTACGCGTAGCCATAGCTTCAGGTGATGTGGTGATTTTACGGTCTCTGTTGCCAAGGTCTAGTGTCCCCAGTGTTGTAATGAATCAAAATCATGATTCCATTGAATCAGAAAGTGTTCACGGTGCAAGTGTTTCTCCGACGACTACAACAACTAGTAGTACTACTACTACTACGCCGACAGCGATTGCTACGACTCCCCCGCCTCCTCCGACTACTAATACGTCAACTCCCGGTGAGTAGTGTAACATTTCTAGTGTTATAATTATAATTAGTTACGTCTTATAATTTATTTTATTCTATTTATGCATGCAAGAAAGTGTCTTGTATTTTTTGAAATGAGTTGAACTTTCTTAAAAATTAGAGTGCACATATACTACTGATTGTTATATAAGTAGTTGGATGCCAGTCATTATCAACCCGTAAGTAGTGCTTGTCAGTTACCCCTAATGAAAGTGATGTGAACATGCGGATCAAGTTCTTCTTATGTAACCTGAAGGTCCTGGGTTCTATCCCCAGCGGTGGGGCGGTGATGAATGCGTACTGATGAAGAGTCGCAAACTAGGACGAAACAAATGACTGTTCAGTAGTACTCTTTGGTTTTCGACGGTTAGTTAGTGGTGGTTAAAACTTGAAATGAATCAAATCGCTGCAAAAGCAACACTTGAAAATCAGTCTACTGCTCTCTAGTAACTCACTACAAGATGAAATCGCCTGACATTTTCTGGTAAGAAGTCGTGATCAATAGAATACATCAAGTTGTAAGCATGATGAGGTCTTATATTCATTGGGTGGCATTGGCTGGTGGTCGCGCAATATCGTGAGTTGCCTGCGTTCTATCTTCCGTGTGTGCTGAGTGGTATAAAAGGGTGAGCAATATATTTTGGTTAGGCGTTGAGTGCTAGGTAAGGAGAGGAAATCAATAGAAGAGGCTGTGAAGTTACATCCATTGAGGTGGTTAGGACATGTGTTACACATGCATGTGTAGTCATCGATAACCTTCCTCTACAACGGGCAATGTTAGCTGACATAGTGTAAGGTTGGAAAACAGCCAGTGGTGGTCAAACCAAAACATGGCTTCATCAGTCAATTGAATCCACAACAGTTAGTTTAAGCCACGTAGGAAGGTGTAAACTTCCTGACTGGTTAGGGTCGTCGGGACGGTAAAAACCAATGAAGGCTCGAGACAATCGATGATATGGCTCAAAATGATCATTCTCAATGGCGCAGATGCATCCACTCCTTGTAACTTACAATTTCCGGTGGAACTATATTGTTCTTCGTTATGACTATTCCTTTTTTCCTATATCCGTGTCTACTGTCTGTATTATGCATTTCTTCTACTTTCTTCTCTTGCTTTGTGTGCTACGAGGAGAGAGTGTGGCTACTTGAACTGCTGCACATCGATGCAAAGATCTATGTTGATTCCATTCAGTCATTCAGTTGGATTTCGTTTCAGTGACTGTGAATGGTATACAAGTTTGCGTAGGCGTTAGGATCATTGGCGCGCACCGCTAAAGAGTCGCAGCCAAAGACAAAACATTTGGCTGCCTAGTACTCTTTGGTTTACAAGTATTTTCTAACTGAAGTCAATTCGCGATCAAAATTAAAATCAGTCAAGTACCTATTGAAGTTAAAATCGCAAATATTATTTCTTCCAATATTCTACTTAACACAATAGGTTAAATTTTAAAAAGTTAATTGTGGTGGATGGTGACTAGCAGTGGAATCTAGGATACACATTTCGTCCTATTTGGGACTCGTCACTGGCTAAGTTCTGTTTGAAGAATGATTTAAATAGTAAATAGTGACGATGGTTTCTGGAAATGAAAACAACGAAATGAATATTTTTCCCGGTCATATATTCACATTCCATTGTATATAACGCTTTTATAAATAGGTAAAGAATCAATATTTTGTATATCTCTCTATATATATGTACATATATATATATATGTATCTATACATTTATCTGTCATAGAGTGTACATCCCCTGGATCCACCATACCATCACCTGAGACATGTTCAAAGCTAATCAATTATCCACTCACTGATGGACGAACACTTTTACATGTAGCTGTTGAATTTCAAAGTGATCCTGAAGTACTTCTATTATTACTTGAATGTGGATGTGATCCTGCTGTCAGGTTAGTTTGTGTGTGTGTGTGTTTTACGATGTGATTTTGTTTGACTGAGTGGAGGTCGTTCCGGTCATAGGAGTGTCTTCGGGAATGGTTTATGTGTGACTCTTCCTGGCAGAGTTTTGACTCCACCCTGTTGGGAATATTCGATTTGATTCTAAGGTGTACTTCTTACGGTCGAATTTTGGCTAACTGATTTTCTCCTATATTACTTCCTGATGTTATTATTGTGCGTCGGTGGCACAGCAGTTAGGACTCTCGCCGACCATGTACATGGTCCGGGGTTCAATCCCCCTGCCGACGCACTCCTAATATCTATGGTCGGCCTGCAAAATTTGGGCTACCGATATCACAGGCTGAAAATTCCATACGTGTACCGAAAATACGGTGTGGAATCAAGCTGTAATAAAAAAACCCAATTAATTTCCTTTAAGAATTTTGACAAAGCAATAAGAAAAAAAGGTCAGTTATCTGAATCGTGTAGTGGATTTGCACCTACATATATCGAACAATCTGATCGTACACATACTATTATTAGCAATAAATAACAACTTATAATGACTGGCTACAACGAAGTTGCTTGGAGTTCTTGTTCTAGAGAAATTCTGACTAGTGGGACTCATCCGGTCGGGGGTGAGGATAAAAAACTCGCCGGAGGTGACTTATAAAGTCGTACATGTGAGGAAGAAAGTCTCGACCAACTTGAGTCGCAAAGATGATGGTAATCAAGTATACTGAGACATATAGGTGAAAATAAAAATAAAATGGTAGAATGCTCTCCAACCACAAGCACACAGACGTGTTCTCCATATATTCGATTCCTGTCCGATACTCTCCTTGTAAATCTCAACCGGTGGCTAATACGTCCGGGAAAGAGGCTGGTAGTGGGGGAGGTGAAGGTTTGTCGTGAGGTTAGCAACCGGATCCTGTATAAAAGACATCACTACTATGCTTCTAAAATTCCAAAACTTAAGCTTGTGAAGTGCCCCCTGTTCCACTCAGAATGCAAAGGAATGTACGAAAAAGTTGATCTGGCGGTAGACGACTTCCGGACTAGTAATTTAAAGGCCACGATCCATTTCTTATTCATAATCGCATTTGATTTCAATTCTTCATTTTCTTTTCTTTAGTGATTCTGATGATGTAACACCCTATCAATTGGCAATACGATTGCATAAAAAAGCGATGGCCAACGTGTTTCGACGTTTTCGGTTTCATCAACCAGATCGTTATGATTATGATAAAGCTCGTGTAAGTATTTTTTCTTTTCTTCCTTTTTTTGTTGTTGTAGTTATTGTTAGTCTGAACTTCCTAATTGTTTGACGCTTGTTCTCTGTTGTTATGTCAACCCTTCGCAGAAGACGCTTCGGCGATGCCTTGAGATAACCACTATATGCTCTGTTGCTTATTTGTTAATGGCTAAGCAGAAGAATCAACGCCGATGGTTTCGTCCTGTTTATTTCTCGTCAACTGGGTGTAATTATATCTCCGTTGTTTCAAATGCCGTCATTTACTAGATACGTGTAGCAGCTGACGAGTCACAAGTGGGACGAACTGACTGACTGGATTCTACTTAGAATTTTGCACAAATGTGCACCAGTTCCAGTTGCAGATTTCCCTTCATTTAGTACACAAAGCAGGATAAGAGAGTGAAGTGAGGTGATAAACTGAAATGTGAGGCGAAAAGAATCGTAATATGAGAGAACAATGGAATTTTACTGGATATTATAAATCACAAAGAGTGAGAGAATGCATCTGCACCAACCGTTGAGAACGAATTTTAGCCACCACACCACACGTTCAGCACTTCCAACTTGACTGACTGGTGGACGTCTGAAAAACCCTAATTCCAAACCTACGGTGGTGTAGGTGGTCTGAATCCTGAATCCGAACGAATCAGATGGTGTATGAACCTGTTTTGTTCACTGGAAATCTTGGGGAGGCAGCTGCTGACACTGCTCCTACTACTTTATAGATGACACTTTAAGTGATCGGCTCGGAAGTGGCTGCTTAAGGCAACCGTCTACTTCGATCTGAGTGTCAAGGCAGTAAGTATTCCAGCCCTTGCACAAACTGAAATTTTGTGTGGTGCGTTTGTTGGTACCCATAATGTATCGAGTTTGTATTTTACTAAGTCGCGTCGTCCTGGGGAGAATAAAAACTGCACTAGAGGTAGGACACCGCCCTCCAGAACGAACTGGATTCAGCAAAGGTAAGTCATGTGCTGATCAAATTGCAACTCTACACGTCATCATCACAAAACAAAGCATAGAATAACTTCATCAACTTCGAAAATGCCTTCAACAGACGGTGTTGACCGGGGAGTAATTTGGAAGCTGCTTCGAAACTACGATGTGCAATGCCCAAATCTTTATCAACCTCATTCAACGTTTGGCTATATGACAATGTTTGCCACGTTTCAGGTGATCTGCAGTGGGAAACTCAGCGAGGCATTCGAAGCGAATACAGGGGTAAGACAAGACTGCCCACCTACTATCACCGATGATATTCTTTATTCTTGTGGACTAGATTATGCGTCAGACTATGCGTTGGAAGCGAGTAGACGAGAATGTGTTGGACCGACTATAAAACTTCAGTATATCTGGATTTCGCAGATGATATACGTCCAATGTCACACATACTCAAAGACTCGCAGATGAAAACCAACAAACTGGTTGAAGAAGCAAGCAACTAAGACATTACTCCAGGTGAACATAGAAAAGACGGACGTAGTGAAGATAACCAACGAACCGTAACAATAGCAACAACCAGCACCAATCACCATCAGCAGGAGAGATTTTACACAGGTCGCTTCCTTCACTTGTATAGGAAGCATGGTTTCAACTACAGGCCGGTGGAACGAATGTCTGTCTGTCTGGATTCAACATAGAACTTGGCACAGAAGTGCAGCAGTTCGAGTTGTCACGTTCCAAATACCACACAAAGGTAGACAAGAAAATGAGTGAAGAGAATCAATAGAGTTTTGACAAGTATAAGAGTGAAAGAGAATGAGTAATGGTAGAAAGGAATATGAAGGATTACAGAGACTGAATATATCTGCATAAGCCATTGACAACGATTTTGAGCCATTTCACCTATTGTCTCCAGCCATTGATTCTTGGAGTTCCGAGGGCGGGCCCCAACCCGGAAGTCTGCATCTCCCTCCCTACCTGACTCAGTTTAACTGTCAAGGATTTCATGGATTGATGAGGCCATGTTTTTGTTTGGTCACCACTTACTCTTTTCCAACCTGCACCTATATCATCTAGTAATGCCCATCGGGGGAGGCGATGGTTAGGCATGCGCATCACGTGACCTATCCATCTCAATCTATGTAACTTTATAGCCTCGTCGATTGATTTTCCCTCTTTGCCCAACACTCTACGCTTGACGTCAACATTACTTACCTTGTTATGCCACCTAACGTGAGAAAGAGATCGTAGACATCTATGATCAAAAACAGATAACCTTTTCATGTCTTCAACTCGTATTGGCCGTGTTTCAGAGCCATAGAGAAGGACGGAGCGAACTGCTGAGCAGTACACACGTCCCTTGGTTGATAGCCAGATGTCACGCCTACGCCAGAGATGGTGTAAGTTAGCGAAAGCAGCTCGAGCTTTCTGGATCCGTGGTGAGATTTCGTCACCAATCAATCCGTTGGTGCTGATACAGCTTCCCAAATAGGTGAAGTGGTCAACATGTTCTATCACTTCAGTCCCTATCACTAAGCTAGGAGTTGACGTAGTCCAGTTCTGTAGCAGCATCTTACATTTTACAGGGGCGAATCGCATGCCAAACATACGAAGATTGCTGCTCAAGGTGTTCAGAAGACTCTGCATTTTTTCAGCATCCTCCCCTAACAGGACTATGTCATCTGCATATTCTAAGTCTACGAATGAAGGTGTCAAAACCAGAGAAGATAAGAAATGGAGGATACACCTTCGTCAACCTGAAACCAGCATAAAGAGCAATATTCGGATTTTCAGCACTAATGTTGAGTTATTTACTACTTCTTCTATGTGGATAAGGAAACTTGGTCAACGCGTCGTGTCGAGCATTTGCAACAGGCTACTGCGGACTTTTATCAACAGCTGCCCACTTCGCTGGCTTCATATTGATGATCAAATGGCCGGTTGGCCAGAAAGCATTAGCAACAAGAAACTATGGGAACAAACTAACCAAGAATCTATCATCCAACGAATATGTCGACAAGATTTAAGATGTATTGGACAAAAACTGAGGAGATTGTCGAGTGTCATCGCGCGCAGTGCAGGCCAGTGCTCGAGTGGAATCCCATTGGGAAGCAACAAGTGGGTTGTCGGTGCGAGGGTGTCATTGAAGAGATCGTGAAGGGAGAAGGTGAGAGATTATGGGCAGTCGTGGGTCTAACTATGAAAGGGAGAACAGAAAGTAGAACAAAGTGAAGATGTGTTGTTCCACTCGCAACCCAAAGCAACAATAGTAATACATTATTGCAAAAATATTCATTTAGACATCTATAAAACACAAAATAATCGAGCAAAGAATTTTTTTTTCGATAAATTCCTCTTCCAGGCTCTACAATTATATATACATATGTTTATATACACAGAATATTTTAAATTAGTAGTTAATAACAATATTAGCGTTTTTTTAAATAATATCGATTTGTAAAGTATGATCAGTGCTATTGCTGTTCATTAAAGATGCTTAAATTATAATAATAATAAAGACATAACGGCGAATAGCATATCAACTAAAATTAGGGAAATTTCACAAAAATTCTGGATTATTCAAACCTGGATGGCCAAGGTAATGATAATGACTGAACTAACTTCTTTTGGGTGCATAAATTAGGCTCATTAATATGAATCCCCACAGCCTCAGCAATATTTAGAAGTCGAACTCTTAAAGCGAAATTGAGATTCGTAGGTACGCGGTAAATGACCCTGAAAGCACGATTAACGTCAATCTTGTGTTCTGTCTCCACAAGATGCGCCAGAATAGCACTGCGAATAGATTTTGTTTGACCTCTGCTTAACCAGGCAGGGTGATGTTCGGAAATTCGATGAGAAACATGCCTAATTGTACGGCCTATGTAACTGGCTCCACAGGAGCAGTTAAATTGGTATATACACATGGAAGAGGCTAAATTAGACAGTTTGTCTTTTATTCCCGAACGCAGAAGAGAAGTGGTTTTAAAGATACAGCATAATTGAGCAGCAGGGAATGCTCTTTTTACCGCATTTCTGAGGCGATGTATTAGTATCTCACTTGTGTTGTCTCCTAGGAACTGCATCTGTAAGAACAAGGCTTTCTTTGGAACTGTTGGTAACTTGGACTGTTTTGGTTTTAGATTCATATTCTTATCAATAAACTTTTCAGGATAACCGTTCTCACTTAGCAACCGTTTAATATTGTTAAGCTCCTCGTCAAGACATTCATCCGAGCAAATCTCTCTTGCTCTGTGGACCAGGCACTTTATCAGATTGCGTTTGTATTTCAAGGGCACAAAGCTGAGAAAGTGTGTGTTCTAGCCCGTTGATGTAGGTTTTCTATAAACACTTCTTCTTATTGTGCCATCCTCTTTTCTGGTCATAAGGACGTCTATTACATTTTATAAAAGGATCCGGAGTATATAAAATCTCTCTTTCCTAATTCTATATGTCTTTTGACCATACATTTTGATTTGGTTGTTTTTGATGTTGTTTGTTTTTTCCTACCCCCCCCTCCTCCTCTTTAGATCCCTACACCACTGAATCCATCAAAAGAGGCTGCTAAAGCTGAACGTGAACGAGAACGTGCTAAACGTCAGAAACAACGACAAAAAGAGAAACGTGCAGCTGAACGTGCCTTAGCTGAACAACGAGAGAAAGAGGCTGCTGAACAAGCTCGTTTCTTAGCGTTATCAGATAGAGAGAAGGTAAAAAAAAAGGAAAAAATCTTTTATGACTTTTTCGAATTTTTAAAAGTTTTAAGAAATTGTAAATTTATTCAACGATGAGAAGTATCAACGGTCGGTTGCCTGATACCAGAATGCAGAAACACTTATCAATATTTTCAAGAGTTGATTAGTGGGGGGGTGTTTTATTTGCTTTTCAAATTTGACGATGGATTAATATGAGTTAAAGAACTATTAAAAGCCAGTAGAAAGTACTGAACAGCCATCTATTTCGTCCTAGTTTTGGACTCATCATCTGTACTCACCCACTGCTAGGGTTCGAATCCAAGATCTTCAGGTTACAAGTCAAGCTCGTAGATCATTCAGCCACTGGGAATCCGATTCAGTGGCCAGCTTATGAATTCTCGCTTCTACCACTTCGTGATTTTAGCGCATACCTGGTAGGTGCGTACTGTCCATGACTCTCAAACTAGGACAAGACATCTGGCTGTCCACTACTTTCTGTGGCAGCTGGTTTTCAATGGTTCTCTGACTGAGATCAATCAGTGATCAAACTTCAGAAACTAGTGAATATTCTTTGAGTACAACAGAAAAAACAACAGTGGTTTGTGCACAATAAGATGGTACCATCATTAGTTATTTCATTGGCGTCTCATCAGCTGCTTACAGCCTAAAGATATTCATTAATTAGGTTTATATGCAGAACAATTTTAAACAGTAGGCTTCAAACGTAAAGGAGTTACGTAATCAACAAAGGAGCTGAGTAAGACAATGAGTAACTCATAAATTGAGTAAGAATATACCAAGTTTAACTCACAGAAAAAAGAGACAAGTAGAGTCACAATGTATCCAAAGCGGGGTTGGAAAAGAGGTTGAAACCAAATATTACCTAATCAGATAAAAGGGAGAGTAAAGACAGTGAGGGCAAGGAAAGACTGATAACTACTTCTTTCTCAACACATAAATCCGCTTTGGAGATTGCTTCAGCAAACGTGAAGATTTCATGTTGTCTCGTCATCCGTATCAAGGAGATTCCTGGCAATGGCACTATTGTAAGCGTTTGTTCCCCTGAGATTTCGACCGTTTTGATGCATGTTCTTAAGAAAATCAGTGATGTGCCCTTCTTTCTGTTCTCCCAGTGTAGCTGCTCCTGGAAATAAATGTTAATTTGTATACACAGTTAGGGTTAACATGAGATGGGTGGATATCTGTCGACTTTTGATTGCACCAAAGAGCATGTTGTCCGATAGACGGGAACTAACTCAGCTTCAGGATAGGCTCTTGGCTAATGTCTTACTCAATCTTCTGTTGGCAATCGCCGCAATATGTTCACCCTTAAAATCGAGTTCAATGAAGACAGGTTTTTTTCCCACTGTGATTTGTTTCATGTTTAAGCATTGACATCTTCCACATTTGTTGATGGATCTCTGAGGGTAACCGTTGTTTTTCAACATCTTTTCGGGAATCACAAATTCTTCCTCTAATTTGTCTGTAGAGTATATTCTCCTGACTCTATAGAACAGTGATTCGATTAGTGCTCGTTTGGACAGTTCCGTTCTATGTCGGCTTTCGGTAAATTGATCTCTGGATACTACCATCTTCCAGGAGTTGCATGGCAGTGTCTTTCATTGTACTCTTTTTCTAACATGTTGGCTCACAGGATTTTGATCCGTCTCAGGATCGGTCATGTGCTGACTTCAGTTCGAGGATCAGTGAATACCAGCAGGTCATACTGAACAGCTGTTTTGTCGTTGTTTTAGGAACCCTTCAGCAGCACACACTGGTTACCCCATCAGGTATTGAATATCAGCACCGTCAGATTACATGGCAAACTCATAAAGCATTCAGCCACTGGGACAGGAAGTAGTTTGCTTATGAGTTTTCATATCCTGAGTTTCTTTGGTCTTCTCTGTTGCGCACCTCTTGGTGTCCATATTGTACCAATTTTGTTTTTAGATGCTAATAATAATAATAATAAATTGGGTGAATTGCAGATGAGTTTACTGGCAAATTAGAGAAACTGCCATCATTCGTCTAAATTCACTTCGATCTAGCTAGTAAAGTAGTTATTAATTAATAAATAATACAATAACTACTTATATTGTTATTAAGTAGTGTGCATCATCTCGTTAATTTTTATTCCTCTCTCTTTGTTCTTACTATTATAAATACTAACTACTAGCGTGCTTTAGCAGCAGAACGTCGTTTGAACTCTGCTAGGACAGCAGCAGGTGAAACGCCTATGGTTTTCAGGTAATTTTATTATATTTATATCAATGACAGTTATGCTTGTTTGTTATAGTTTTGTTCCAGTTATCATTGTTAGTATTGTGTATCTTTAAAAGTGACTCTTATAAATCAAAGTAGCTTTCACATGGGAAACCAAAGAGCAATGTACACCTGTTTCGTCCTGGTTTGGGAATCCTCAGCAATATGCGCAGAGGTCATTGGATTCCAACCCATTTGGTGATTGGTCAACAGATTGGCGTCGTAGCCTGAAGGGCCTAGATACGCTTTATAATAGTTTTATGGGCGAGTTCACATTGATGAAGAGTCTTGAATTAGGACACATCAGTTTTTTTTTCAAGTGTGTAAATGAGAACATTTGTATGAAGTTAAAAGTGAACCGTTCTACCTTTCAACTATATGGGATCTTCAAATGATCTGATGTGTTAAATTTATATGTGCCATCTGATAGATGATAGAGTTATACTTGGAGTCTGTCGGTCAGTTGCAGCGTGAATTAATACCTTTAATTTTTAACTATCCCGAAAAATTATTAATATTGTTCCAATAAAAGCATAATCACTTTGGATTACTTCTGGAGATATCTTCCTGAATGCATCTTTGAATAAGCGTTGTTCACAGAAAGCATTATAATAATAATAATAATAATAATAATAATAATAATAATAATAATGGCTTTATTCCAAACAGTATTTGTGGTACAGGTATGGAATTTTCAGCGTTCATTACAATATTGCATCTAATTACCTCATAAATTTTATAAGGATTTAAAAATATAAAGCAACAACAACAAAAAGAAAAAAGAGAAATAAAAGAAATAAAAAAAGAACAGCATTGCATTCACATATATAAACAATGCACCACAGGATATGATATATAAGATTGGTCTGTAAATAGAATATATGAGCAACAATATAATAATAACAAAGAAAGGAGAACAAAAGCTAATGGGAACTATTTGTTAGAGTGCCGCAGTAAGTTGATCGTGTCATGCCTAACAGTTTTCTCATCACATAACAGCTGTTCCAGATAAGGTATTGTGGAGTTTTTATACTTGGTAGTCCTGGCATATAGCTTCCTATAGTTGCTTCTAGTTCTACCAGATGAAATGCAAGGAGAGAGCTGCGTATGGAGAGGGTGTTCGGGGTCTGACAATATAGAATTCGCTAGTTTCTTACATGACATTATATGTCTATCCACAATTGTGTTAACCAGTTGGTTTGACGATATCCCACTTGCCCTACTAACAGCTTTTAGTGCCATATGCAGAGAAACAAAGTCTTTCTTAAGTAATCCAGGAAAGATTAATGGGGAGCAGTAAAGAGGGATGGTTAGAATACAGGAATTGACAAACTGAGAAAGCAAAGACTGCTTTATACCAGACTGCCTAAACTTCCTAAGGTAGAACGTTAAGCGAAACATCTTTCTAGTCACTAGCAAGATGTGAGAGGACCAGGAAAGGTCTGAGGAAATACTCAGTCCAAGGTACTTGACATTAGATGTAGTTTCAACCTCTATGCCGTCAATGATAGTGGGACCATGTGAGCTAGCTAGTTGTTGAAGGTCACTTTTTTGTCTGAAAGTAAAATTTACTACCTGCACTTCGCCTTAATATTTTATGAATTGATTATGTGAACCAACTAACACCTTATCGATTTGTAAACTCGATGGTGAAAGAATAATGTCAGCCTTTTAAATGACCCTAAACACAACCAGTCAGAAATAGTAGACATTCATCACTAAACATTGCCCCACAGTACCTCTCGATTGACAGAGTCGAAATGCCTTCATTGGGCGAAGAAATATAGAAATGTTCAAGATTTTGATCACGAATCGATATCAGTTCATGAAGTACTGAAAACTAGTAGGTTGTACTGAACAACTGTTTCGTCCTTGTCTGGGACTCATCATCAGAATTCATGGACCATTGAGTCGGGTCCCAGTTTGTCTTGTAACCGTAAGGTCCTGGGTTCGAGACTTGGTGTGTATGTGTGTGTACCGCGGATGAGTTCCATACTAGGACGAAATACCTGTTTGTCCAGTACTTCCTGTTGCTGGTTTTCAATTTTGTCAAACTGATATCATCAATCTGTGATGAAAATCTTCAAACCAATCAAATCGCTACAAATAAACTCTTGAAAAGTATGGAAATTACTGGACGCCAGTTTTAGGATCTGTTGAAGAGTGAAATTACTAATACATTTTCCAAGTTCTACACAAACACACAAATATTTAATATTCGCTTCTCTTCTGTGTTTCTTTCCTAGTCGTTGCTTTCAATGCGCTTGTGATATCACCGGTAAGGTACCATTCACTTATATGGATTATAATTTTTGTACACCAACTTGTTTAAAACAACATCGTCTATCATCATCGTCGACATCTACGTCGACTGCTTCAACAACAACAACAACTCATCGTCCAAATCTGACTACTGCTAAATGACATAGATGAATGACATCCCTCCTCTCCCTCCCTTTTTTTCTTCGTTCCTTTTCCCATGATTATCTTTTTATATTCAAAATTTCAGATGAAATGCTTACGAAGAAGAAGAAAATAACAGAATTAATTGTACTACTTAATTAATCTCTTATTATTACTACTACTATTATTATGTATGACGTAATAGTGTTATGTCATCTTTGTGAATGAAGTGTATGTACGTATGCATGTGTATATGTATGTCTAAGTGGATATATTTTCAGTTAATTTGATGATACCCCGCTAACGCCCACGCCCCCGCCCCCATCCAGTGCTAACCCTCGCCTATTATCTCCATCAATATTATGTAATTTAATGTATGCAGAGCCTCAGTCACTTTGTGTGTGTGTATTCTCGCCTATGCCTTACTCGACCAACCAACCAACGGGTTGAATTTTTGATTTTATTTTGTTTGGAGGAGACAAAGCATTTTTGAAAGAACATGGAGAGACAGTCATGCTTTATTTGTCTTTCATTGGCTTTCTTGTTATACCCTTCCTTCCCCCACCTTCCCCGGATGTTTTTTATTGTAATAAGCATTTATAAATGACAAAAAAGCAACAATAATAATAATATTGCAGTAAAGAGTGTTTTTGATCTTCTTTTTGTGTACATCGGGATTAGTCAGTTAGCTATCATAGTTCAGTATGTGTTAGATGTTCGGAAGAGCCAGTGCCAATCACCATCAACCGGGGGAGGGATTTGAAAGGGGTTACTTCATTCACTTCACTTATCTAGGGAGCATTGTCTCAACTACAGGAGAAACGGACGAGGATGTCCAATAGAGAATCAGGAAGGCGACAAAAACACATTCATCAACCTGAAACCAATCTGGAAATCTTCGTCACTCAGCATCAACAACAAAGTGATTCGGATTTTCAATACAAACGTCAAGTCAGTCAGTTCTTCTATACGGATGGATCAGAAACTTGGCAGATCACAAAGAATATTTCCAACAGCCTGTTGCAGACCTTTATCAACAACTGTCTTCGCTGGCTCTATACTGAAGATCAGATGGCCGCCGGAAAGACTCACCAACAAGAAACTATGGGAACAAACAAACAAAACAAGAACCAATCGCCCAACAAATATGCGGGAGAAAGTGGAGATGGACTGGGCAGTCGCTGAGGAGGCCGCTGGGTGACATCGCGCGTCAGGCCATTGCTCGTGTGGAACTCGAAAGGGAAGCGGCGAGTGGAACGTCCAAGAGTGACATGGGGGAGATCGTGTGAAGAGGAGTTGGAACAGTATGGACTAACATGGATGCAGGTGAAAAGTACAGCAGAAGACAGAAGCAAGTGGAGATGTGCAGTTGAAGCCCTATGTTCCACTAGGAACCCAAGGGAACAATAATAATAAAATAATAAAGAGGCAGTTGATAGGAAGCCTTGGGGGACACCTACGTGCCTAGTTTTCGTACTTGTTGACACTTGTTAGTAAGCAAGGCATATCGACAATCTTAAATTCAAATATTTATGTCCTTTCTTAGATGTGGACCCGGGTTATCATCTAGTGCAGTGTTGCAGTCATAGACGGTTATCGCTGAGTTGTTTGGACTGTTCAAGTCAGTGACGAGGTCGAATAGCTTATTCTTCAGAAAACTGACCAGTTAATACAACATCCACAGGAAAAACAGGGATTACTGGACAGCTGGTTCATCCTAATTTGGGATATGGGACCTTTCGGTTACAAGGCAAACACGTTGACTATGCAGCCACTGGGACCCGATTCCGTGGCTCATGAATTCCAACTTCTATCGATTCGTGATTTCAACGCGACCATCGCCCATTGCTATCGTTGGGTTAGTATTTGTCCTCACTCGTGACTGGGTGAAACCCACTGCTCACAACTTCCCACGCGAACTTCAGGCAGCTGCATCCTGTAGCCAGTCAACTAGCGAGTATCAGATTCATTGGTCGTTGGATAGGTTCACAGTGGATGCATGGTCTACAAGCTTGCTCTGTAACGGGTTAGGTCTTAGTTTCGAACCTCGGTGGGTGCATACTGATGAAGAGTCTCAAAATAGGATGAAGTAGCTCTCTAGTACTCCCTGGTTTTCCAGTGGTTCCTTAACTGACGTCAGCTCGTGATCGCCACGTAGTTTGGTGAGAGCTGTCTGCAAGACGAAATTGTAAACAACTACTGACGTCAATGTTTACATCCCAAATCGGGGTCATGAGAAAAAACAAAGCCTAACCTCAAGGAACTCAACAACCAATCACAGCAGACTTAGCGTGGGTGGATACGATTCGCAGATATATCACCGGACTATCTAAGAAACGGCAACAAAAAGATGACAGAATAACCTTCAGCAGGAAAACAACCATTCAGAAGACGTTGCTTCTCTGCTAACAAGAATGCTAATAATAATGTACATAAAAATCTATAAATATCTCTTGATTTTCTCAATAAAGGATCTGTCGCCTAGCCCTTGTCTTCTGTTGTTACAGTACTCCTATAATTAAATAACGTTTTACCTTATACTATAACCAGTCACTTAAATGTTGGGAGTAACAGTTAGTGGGATTATTATTATTATTGTATCCTTTAATTCCTAGAGGAACATAGGGATTCAGCCGTGCATCTCCATTGCGTTCGGTTCTCTGCTAGAGTCTTCACCTGGCTCCATGTCTGCCCACACGTTTTCATCTCCTCTTCACATGACCTCCTCCAAGTCACCCACTCTTGCACTGACGACGAACTCGCCGCTTCCCTTTCGGGTTCCACTCGAGCAATGGCATGTCTAGTGATGTCACTTGATGGTTTCCTCAGAGTATGGCCAATCCATCTCCATTTCTTCCTGCATATTTGTTTCACAATCGGTTCCTGTTGGGTTGGTTCGCTCCCAGAGATCCCTGTTGCTGATCATTTCTGACCGGCCATCTGATCTTGAGTATTGAGCAAAGACAACTGTTAACGAAGGTCTGTAGTTTGTTTGAGATGCTCTTTATGACGCGCCAAGTCTCTGATCCGTATAGTAGCACTGACTTCACATTGGAGTTGAAAATCCAGATCTTATTGTTGACCTCACCTCTTACTGTTGACCTCCACACAGGCTTGAGAGTAGTGAAAGCTTGTCTTGCTTTCCCGATTCTTGCTTTGATATCCTCATCAGTTCAGTCCGCCTGTAGTTGAAACGATGCTTCCCAGGTCGGTAGGTAAAAGAGGTTGTTTCTTTCAGGTTCCTCCCATTTATGCTGATTGTCAGTTGTTGTTGGTGGTGTTGCCCAGGAATCTTCATTACCTCTGTTTTCTCTATGTTCACCTGAAATCCTATCTTTGATGCTTCTTCTGCCAACTTGTTGCTTTTCGCTTGCAACCTATAAACAAAGCTGCTACAGAAACTTCAGCACTACGAATTAGTGGGATATTTGTTGGTTAAGTTAGCAATAATTTATCATTGAATAGTCTTCTCTCCTAGTCCGTCCCCCCTGTTTGTTTTGGGAATTGTTCTGAATGTAATCTACTTTCTCACTAATCTCATCCAGAAGAATTAAATAGCGTGCGTTAAGTTGAGTTATTTTCCAAATGTTATACATCTTCAGAACTTTTCAAAAACCTCTAAACTGTATTTGAGTGAAATGTTTAGTCTGCTGTTTATACTATTCACTTACAACAAATTATGATTAGGTTTGGAGTGGTATATAGGGCTTCATCACCCTGTTCTCTGTGGTCGTTCTAAGTTCGCTTCTAAATTGATCATTAGCCTTAATTTCTCCTTCACACGACCTCCTCCGTGTCATACTGGGATCCATGCGCGACTCATCATTTCCCATTCAGCTTTCACTCAAGCAATGTGGCCTGGTGCGCGATGTCACACAACAGTCTCTTCAACATGTATCCGATTCAACGCTTTCACGATGATATAGTCCTTCTAGATGGAGACGCTAACAAAATGCAGAGTCTTCTGAACACCTTGAGCTGCATTCATCTAATGTTTGGCTGCGATTCGCTCCCGCCAAATGTAAGATGACGCTGCAGGACTGGACTACATTGACTCCTAGCTTAGAAATACGCAGGAGGTGAGGTGGTTGGTGAAGCGTGTTGGCCACTTCACTTATTTGGGAATTCGCATCAATCAAAGCCAATGCTGACGAAATTTCAGCAAGCATACAGAAGGCGCGATTCGGATATGCCAGTTTACGCCGTCTCTGGCTTAGTAGACGTGATATCTGGTTGGCTATCGACCAAAGGGTGTGTACTGCTCAACAGTCCGCTCCATCCTCCTCTATGGCTGGCTGTGAGACCTGGCCATTGAGAGTGAAAGAAATGAAAAGGCTGACTAACTGTCTTTGATCATAGGTGTCTGCGTCCTATCTCCCGTGTGTGCTAAGTGGTATAATAAGGTGAGCAATAATGAGGTTAGACGTCGAGTGCTAGGTAGGTGTGAGGGGAAACCAATCGATGAGATTGTGAAGTTACATCGACTGAGATGGTTAGGACATGTGTTACGTATGCCTAGCCATCACCTTCCTCAACAACGGGCAATGTTAGCGGATAAAGGATCAGGTTAGAAAAGAGCCAGTGGTGTTCAAACCAAAATATCGCCTCATCAGTCAATGAAATCTACAACAGTTAGTTTAAGCCACCTAGGGAGGTGTAGACTTCCTGGTTGGGGTCCTCGGAACGGTAAAAACCAATGGCTGGAGACAACTGGTAACGTGGCTCAAAATCGTACTTAACGGTTGGCGCAGATGCATCTACTCCTTGTGACTTATAATATCCAATAAAACTGTATAGTACTTTCATATTACTATTCTCTTTGCCTGAAATCTCTGTTTACTGCCTTTATTTTGTTTTTCTTTTTACTTTCTACTTCTTCTCTGGCTTTGTGTACTGAATGAAGTGTGGCAACTGGAACTGCTGCACGTCTATGCCAGGGACTATGTTGAAACCAGTCAGTCAGAAGGTCCTAGGTTCGAACCCTGTCTGTGGTGTGGGTGCGTACTTCTGAAGAATCGCAAACTAGGCTGACGAAACAGCTGGCTGTCCAATACTCCCTCCCTGTGGCTGCTGGTTTCCCAATGGTTCTCTATCTGATTTCAGCTCATAATGAAATCCTCCAACAAATACAGATGAACTGAAACACAATCGTTTGGAGATAGTTTAAAAGACACTTTGGAAATTACAAATGGTATATTTTTCTTTTATGCTCATGAAAGTAAAATATAAATGAATATGCTGAGGGAGGAAAACTGAAGTACGTACGTACGTGCGCACATACACATTTAATCTGTTTACAATAAAGCTTAGCTTGCTTCCCCTTTATTTATTTATTTATTAAGCTACTGGTAAGCGTAATAGCTTATAACACATGAGATAACTGTATGAATTACATTTTGCATAACTGATTTTTATCTCTCCAGTTTTATAATCAAATGACCATACAAGACCATATTTCATAGGGGAACTAGATGTCCAATCGTCACATCCAAAATTTACTCCACCTCCAAGCCAAAATGTTCTGTTGTAAATATAAAAGAAGTATATATCTATATGAACATTCATCAATATTTATTGTATTATATACATAATGAAAATCAATTACTCAACGGAAGCATTCTTATCTATATTGATTCTTCGGGTTGTGAGGGCGATTGTTACTTCCCGGCTGCGCACACCGTGGAAGTTGGTTGCGTGACCGCAGAGCCCAGGGGACAACTGCTTGAGGCCTGTCACACAAGGCCTGTTTTTGTTTGTTCTTTTTTATTTGGTGTGTTTCAGTAGCATATTTATCACTTCTGCCCTGTGACACCGCAGCAGAAAGCGTGGTCGTTGTTAATCCGGGCCCCGACCGATCCGGCATGATATTTTGTGATTTGTTTGAAGTCATAGGATTGGATTGGGTAACTGCTTTTAGTCTAACCGCTATCCAAACAACCTTTCTGGCATGGTAAGACCTGCAGGAACATAAGTTCCAGCCAGTATAGCTTGTTGGGTCATTGCGGTGTTCAAGCCCGACCAAGCCAATAGGTGACATGGCTCAAAATCGTTGTCAATGGCGCAGATGTATTCGGTCTCTTTAACCTTCATACTCCTTTCTACCATTACTCATTCTGTTTCACTCTTATACTTGTCTAAACTCTATTGATTCCCTGCACTCATCTTCTTGTCTTCCTTGTGTGGTATTTGGAACGTGGCAACTGGAACTGCTGCACTTCGGTGCCAAGTTCTATGTTGAATCCAGACAGACAGACAGATCTATATTGGTTAATCTTTAGGGAGTAAATAATATCGTGTATGCAGTCCTTGGTGACGGTGTTGACTCCCTTTTCATGTCTTCCATTTTCAGTGACCATCTGTCTCACAGCCATAAAGCAGGACGGAGCAAATTGCTGCTCAGTACACATGTCCTTTGATCCATAACCAGCCGGATATCACGTCCAGGTCAATGATGATGCCAGTCGGCAAATGCTACACGAGTCTTTTGTAGTCAGCAATTAGTCTGATCATTTGGAGGATTTCATGATGAGGTGATGCCAGTTAGAGAGCCATTGGGAAACCAGCACCAGAGTACTGGACGGCTGTTTCCTACATCCTAGTTCGGGACTCTTCATCACTACACCTCCCCGCACTAGAGTTCGAACTCAGGACCTTCTGGTTACAAAGCTAGCGAGCTCGTAGACCATTAAGCCACTGGGTCCCTCTCGATCCATTGGCTAGCCCATGAATTCTAACTTCTGCCAGCCAATTCATAACATAGCGCGACCACTCCACAATATCTTCTTCGATGAGTTACTTACTCATCTCCAACCTGCTGTACCCTATTGGTCATGGCTTCCCACTAGAACCAGCCTAGGTGACTGTCTAAATAGGGCCAGTCGCTAGTGTGCATAAGATTACACGATTTTCATCATGAGCTGACATTAGTTAGAGAACCATTGGAAAACCCGCCTGGAAGTACTAGACAGCTGTTTCGTCCTAGTTTGGAACTCTTCAGCAGTACGCACCCACCGCTAGGGTTCGAACCCAGGACCTTCTGGTGTCAAGGCGAGCTCGTAGACCATTAAGCCACTGGGACCCAATGCAATGGCCAGTTCATGAATTCTAACTTCTGCCAACTCACGACATAGCGCGACCCCTAGCCAATGTCTTCCGTGGCGAGTATTTGTCCTCACACCCGACCTGCTGCACCCTACTGGTCACGACTTCTCACTAGAACCCCAGGTAACTACCTACCTGAATAGGGCAAGTCGCTAGTGAGCATCTCATTGATATTCAAGTGTTGGTTTGTAGGGATTTGATTGATTGGACTGGACAGCTGCCCTTTGGCTGGTTTTCCAATGGTTCTCTAACCAATGTCAGCTCATAATGATGAAATCCTGTAACAAATCAATCAAATCCCTACAAGCCAGTACTTTAATATCAACCAGTAGTGCTTGCTAGTCAGATCATCATGATGTGAACACCGGACGTACGTTTCTCTCGTTCGAGGCAGAATTCAGTAGCGGTGTACTTCATGTAGGAGGACTATATCATCTGCATGCTCTAAGTCAGCTTGACTGTTCCCTGGTAATATATGAACACCCAGGCAGCTGAAGTCAGTTAGGCTTAATTCCATTAGTACATATAGGATGAAATTAAACAATAATGGGCATCCCTCCCTGGTGGAAGCCACTGGTTGTCATCATTTCAGATGAAAACTCTCCATAGCCTCCTGCATGGCTTCGTGAGTTCGAGTAGAGTGCCTTGATTAGTTCAACAGACTTTCTCGGCATTCGTATCATAGCCAAACATTGCCCTACATCACCTGTAGGTCAGGAACTCTGAATAGTGTTGACCGTCGATAGATAATTACGCCCATGTTTGAGAATCTTTGAAGGGGTAAAGATATCATTAATACGTCGTCTTCCTGGCATAAAGGCTGCCACACCAGTGTAATGGAACCACCTCTGATTCTCAGACGTTGTAAAATACCTTAGTTAAACAAACAACAGTTAGTGACCACCGAAAGTAAATACCTCTGGAATCATCCCATCGCGTCCTACTGCTTTACATCACATATAGACACCCTCCGCAACCTCTGTTCCAGATACAGGACCTATGTCTCTATCCCAGTCAAGTAGGTGTTGGATGCTGGGCAACTTCAGCGTGGCTGTAGGTAAGTTAAATTGCTCCTCAAAGTGTTCTTCCCAACATTCCAGTCGTTTCTCCTGAGAGCTAATTAGGGTGGCATTTTTCCCAGAGGTTTTTTTCACTTATCATTTCCCTTTCATAACCGGTTACTCTAATAAGCCTAAACAGTCGTCTGGTTTTATCTCTCGCCGAAGCCTTTTCCATCTCCTTCGTTTTGATCACCCACTACTGTTGGCTGTAGTTGTGTTGACTTTTGGTCAGATTGGTTTTGAGCAGATTTCGCTCCTCATCATGTTCGGAATCAGTCTGCGTCCGCGATTTCGCGTAGTTAGCAATGAAAATTCTTTTGATCAATTATTTTCCAGAATTAAGCCATTCATTTCGTGTTACCGCTTGCTGCTGGTTGATTGTAAAAAGTCTCTATATGGCATAACTGTACCCAGATAATCTTTCAGTGGTAAGTATCAGAACCGATGTTCTTAGTTTTATGCTAATCTCTTCCGGATATCTGTGGTGTGCTACTCATAAACAGATTTAAGCAGTATATCCCGTGACATCTTCCCAGAAGAAGTGTCAGCAGATTTGACAACTCTGGGAAGAATCTAATAAGCAATAGGCAACATTATACATAGCACGCCCGCCCCTAGAGAATGGCAGCCAATATTTCCAAATTATGAAGTTACCAAGCTGCAGGCCTTCGAGCGTAACCCCAGTGGTAAACGACGAGTCTTGTCTTCATCAACCTCTTTCCCTTTACACCAAAAACTTAAATGGTAAGATGACATAACTAACTAATATAGGGAGGTTAAAGAATGCAATGCAAAAATACGATAAGGATTTAATATGATGCGTTTTGTCACACTTACTTTGCAGAATTTTGAACATCAGGCATCCCATTTAAATCGTAGAATGGTACATTTATATTTGAACGAACACCATAGAGGAAATCTCGCCATTTAGGAAATATTGTTTGACTCTATGAAACGATGGTTGTATTAGATAAGAAGAGAGTTAGTAATCCTAAACAGCAACTATTCTTATTTATCAAAAAATTAAATATTACGAATAATCGTGGAAAACTTCTTTTATTTTCAGTTTTACTGCACAAACTGTTGTTTCACTTGCCACATGAATTATCAATCGACGAATTAATGTTTCAGTGTCAAGCTAGGCATTATTATCAGTCCTGTATTTATAGAACACTGTAAACTTATTATTGTATTCAAATGAACTGTCGTCAAGATTTGACCGAATAGTTCTAAAATATTTGGGCGCTGAGTAAGAAGTAGACATATGTAAAAAATTATATTTGTAATATCTCAGCGATATTGAAATGAGTAATTCCAACGTTTCGCTCGGCAATCTGGTCCGAACTTCTTCTGGGAAATTAATCAAAATTAACATAACAGAGGTTTTATACATAAAAGGCACATCTTTTTTCAAAAACGAAACGTTGGAATTACTCATTTCAACATCGCTGAGATATTACAAATATAATTTTTTACATATGTCTTATTATTGTATGTAGAATAATTCATGAGATCTGTGATAAATCAAGCCGCTTCTTAGAGAATAAGTTGACTGGAACCCCAGGATATCAGCTATAAATTGGCTATGAGTTTCTAAAAACCGTATGATTCACTCAGAACTCAAAGAACTGAATTTGGAAAAAGGCAAATATATATACAGCTTAGGTCATAAAATTCCTGCTGGTATTTCTACTGGGTCGGTTGTCCTCAGCATCTGGACACCGTGGTACAGCTTGCCCATCGGAGTGATACTATTGTTATCTCCTTTAGTTCCTAGAGTAACATAGCGCTCCAGTCGCACATCTCCATTGCATTTGGTCCTCCACCAACGTTTTCACCTGACTCCAAGTCTGCCCACATGGTTTCATCTCTGCTTCGAATAACCTCCTCCATGTCACCTTCGCACTGACAACCAACTCGCCGCTTCCCATTCAGTCGGGTTCCACTCGAGCGATGGCCTGGCGTGTGATGTCTCAGAGAATGGCCAGTCAACCTCCATTTCTTCCTGCATATTTGTTGCACAATTGGTTCTTGGTTGGTTTGCTCCGAGAGATCCATGTTGCCGATCTTTTTTGGCCGGCCATCTGGGCTTGAGTAGTATTGAACAAAGACAGTTGTTGATGAAGGTGTGTAGTTTGTTTGAAGTGGCCTTCGTGACGCGGTGCCAAGTCTCTGATCCCTTTAGTGGCAATAGCTTCACACTGGAATTGAAAATTCGGATCTTGCTTTTCATACTGAGTGCTGTTACTGTCTACACAGACTTGATAAGAAGAGGTAAACTAGCTGGAACGATTATTCCTGAAAGTTTTTGTTAAAATGGTAAGATCCCTTCAGTCGCAGTAATACAAACAGTGGTAACACCTCGTTGAGGTTTCTGTGGCATATTCCTTATGCTGAGGTTAGAAGCGTTTAATAAGAGTAAGGTTGGTAGCATTTTCGAAGACTAGCAACCTGTCTGTCCTAGCCTCGCGTTCTGGAGAGAACCTCCAACAAAAAACCCACCCTCAGGAGTTTTCAAGACACTTTCATAATCCAAGTAGTAGGGATACTATTTGGAAATTTGCAGTGTTACGGGATTTGGTCAAAATGAAAGGAAATCTGCCGAGAAGTAAATTTTGTTTACCAAACTGACTTCAGTCACATTGAGAGGGTGATAGTTCAAAGGTTTATGGAATGAAGCCTATTAAGAGACAGAGATTTCCGCTGTCTACTTCACTGAAATGTCGGATTTTGAATGGTCTAACCAAAATTGTTGCCTTTTGTCTCTGATTTAAATAAGTTGCTGAAATCAGTGGTATTGCATTGGTATATCATATTGTAAAAGAAAGCTATATGGTCGGAATTCCTTGAATCAAGGTTTCGTGTTTATCAACACTCATCAGTAAAATGTATCTTCACTCTTAAAGAAAATTACATTCCTTCTGAAATCCGGAAACTTCACCAATAAGTCATAACTAACTCTCCCAATAACTCGATGTTGTAAACAAATAGGTATCTAATGCAACTGTTTACTAACCTCTAAATTTATCACAGGAATATTTTGATATTGCCATTTTACTAGACGTTCAACTGGAAAATTTTTATCTACAAGAAATGCTTTAAATCGTGGAATTCCAAGACGATGTAAAGCAGTTTGATGACAATTAGCATCAGCACCATGCCAACCAGAGAAAGATCCACCAGTAAATGGTATAGGATGAAATGCAAATACAATCTAAATTTTGAAGAAAAATAATAAATTGAAAGGAAAAAATGCATTCTACTGACGATTCTAAATAGTAGTATAATGGTAAATTAAGAAAAAGCTTCTAATTACGATTGCAATTTCTAAGTGATCTATGCATGATTGAGGATCATGATGGAGCTCTCAGAAATCTAGATCTAATGAGCGTTTAGAGGCTGCCCGTAGGTCGACAGAGATATGAGATTTGCGCTTACGAGTATCGATGTCCACTCGAACTCGCGTCAACCAGTGTTTGATGAATATATTGCAAATTTGGTTGATTGAATTCAGTTGGCATTGAGGACTTGACACATAATTCTGATTTCTCTTCACTGGCTGACTAATATAAATCCTGGATAGAGAGAGGTAGAGAAGATTTGTAGCTTAGGTGGTTAATTTTGATGTCGTTGTGTCCCCTATGGGAATAAACCAACACACCGAGGAGACCGTCTAATAAAGTCGCTTGCCAGGCCACCGTCGGAGTGGGACGCGAATGGGAAACGATAAGTGGGCCATGTGTCCTTGGGTGATTTCGAGGAGGTAGTGAGAAGAGGAGATGAGAGATTATGGGCAATCACAGGCTCAGCTAAAGAGGATAGCAAAACCTACATCAACGGGTCAGTATACTCATTTCTTCAGCTTCGTGCCCTTGAAATACAAACGCAATCTGATAAAGTGCTTGATTCAGAGAGCAAGAGCAATCTGCTCGGATGAATGTCCTGGTGAGGAACTTAATGATATTAAACGGTTGCTGAGTGAAAACGTTTACCCAGAAAAGTTTGTTGATAAGAATATGAATCTAAAATCAAAGCAGCCTTATTCTTACAAATGCAGTTTCTTGAAGACAACATCAGCGACCTACTAATACAGCGCCTTCGAAATGCCGTAAAAGGAGCATTCCCTGCTGCTGAATTACGCTGTGTCTTCAAAACCAATCTTCTTTTTTGTGTTTCTCGTTGGATTTCCAAACATCACCCTGTGTGGTTAAGTAAAGGACATACTGAATCTATTCGTAGCGGTATTCTATCTCATCTTGTGGATACAGAACACAAGACTGATGTCAAAGAGGCTTTCAGAGTTATTTACCACATACCGAAAAATCCTAATTTCGCCTTAAGAGTTCGACTACTGAATATTGCTGAGGCTGTGGGGTCCATATTAAGAAGCCTAATTTGTGCGTCCGAAAGAAGAAGCTGGTTCAGACTTTATCCTTACCTTGGCCATGTAGGTTTGAGTGATCCTGAATTTTTGTGAAATTTCCCTAATTTTAGTTGATATTCTATTTGCTTTTATATTATTATCATTATAATTTAAGCATCTTTAATGAACTGTAATTCTATTGTGATATTACTTTACAAAACGATATTATTTATAAAACACCGATATTGTTATTGACTACTGTTCTAGAATATTCTATGTATATAAACATATGTATATATAATCGTAGAGCCAGAAGAGGAATTTATCGAAAAGGATATTCTTTACTCAATTATTTTGTGTTTTATAGGAAAAAGAGAACAAAGTGGAGACGTGGAGAAAACCGTTGTTAATGATTATCGAATTGTTTCGTTTTTAGGCTAAATATGAGTCTTCAGCTCATTGATGGCTACTGCGTAGATGTTCTGAAGCTGTAATGTGCAGTCTTGAACAGTGAGGTCCATCATGTGTCAAGGTGACGTGGATGCTCTTCGAAGGCATTAGCCTCGGCAGCGTTATATCACGCACAAGTTGAGGAAGTTAGAATTCATGGTCTGTTGAATTCCGGTTAAAATGGCTGAATTGTCATTGATGTCGTACTCGTAAACAGGAGGTCCTGTATTCGATCCCTGGTGGGTTCGCGGGCTGGCGCTACTGAAGAGTTCCAAAATAGAAGGAAACAGCTGTCCATGGCTCCCTCGTTTTCAGTGGTCTTTCTAACTGGTGTTGATTTGTGACCAGATGTAACAATTGAAATTAAATTAATTTAAATCCTTACAAATTATTATTATTATTCCCTTGGGTTCCAAGTGGAAAACAGGGCTTCAGCGGCACATCTCCATTTTGTTCTATTTTCCGCTGTTACCTTCAGCTGGCTACCTTCACGATTGCCCATGACCTCTCATTTCCTGCTCCTCAACTCACCATCTCCTCTATGTTACCCTCGCACTGACGAACCACTCGTCGATTCCCACTTGAATTCCACTCGAGTAATGGCCTGCACTGTGCGCGATATCATTCGACGGTTTCCACAACGTATTCCCGATCGATCTTCATTTCCTTCTAAATATTTGTTGAGTGATCAGCTCTTAGTCGGTTTATCGCCAGTCAGAGTTTCTTGTTGCTAATTCGTTCCGACCATCCATTTGATCCTCAGTATGGAGCCAGCGAAGTGGGCAGCTGTTGATAAATGTCTGTAACTTGTTATAAATCCTTTTCGTGACACGTAGTACTAGGTTTCGAAAATCCCACCTTTTTTCTTCATGCTGGCTGAGTGACAGCAGAAAATGTCCCAGCTAGTTTCAGTTTGATAAAGACGTATCTTGCCTTTCCGGCCTTGACACCTTCATCCGTTCCAACTTCCTGTGGTTGAATCCGTGCTGCCTAGCCAGATAAGTGAAGGAAATTACTCATCTCTGTCGCATCTCTCCTGCTGATGGAGACTGATTTTGGTTGTTGTTGCTGTTGGTTGGTTTGTTATCTTCAACACTTCCTTCTTTTCTATGTTCACCTGGAGTCCTGTTTTCGCTGTCAGTCTCTTCAACCAGTTTGTTGGTTTTTGCCTTTGAGTCTTCGAGTTTGTGTGTCATGAGACATATATCATCTGCGATATCCAAATCTGCTAGAGTCTTACAGTCGGCCCAACGTATTCCTGTCTTCTCACTACCAAAGCACAGTCTTCCTCGTGATCCAGTCCACCACAATTAGGAATATCATAGGTGAAAGTAGGCAGGCAGCCAGCTTGTCTTACTCTTGTATTTACTTCGAATGTCTCGCTAAGTTTTCCGTTGTGGATCTCCTAACACGTACAACTGTCATGTGACCATCTATTGAATAAGGTTGTTAAGAATTTAGGCACTGCATTTTGTAGCATTGAATCAGTTGCCAAATTACTTCTCGATCAACGCTGCGCTGTTGAAAGCCTTTCCGAAATTGATGAAGTTGAGTTAGCGGTTTGATTGCCATTGTATGCTCTGTTCGATAATGATGCGTAGAATCGCAATTGAGTGAGCACACGATTCACTTTTCCTGAATCCAGCCTGTTCCGCTGGGCGGAGTTCTGCATCCAGTGCATCCTTTATTCTCTCTGGGATGACGCGACTTACTATTTTACTTGGCGTGGACAAGACGGTTGTAATTTCTAAGTGATCTGTGCGTGATCGAGCGCCATGACAGAATACTATAAATTCTAGGTTTACTGTATGGTTAAAGACGGTCGCCGGGATGCCAGAGACCTAATATCTGTTCTTATTGCTTCCGGTGTCTCTTAGCAGACTCGGCCTCGCGTCAGTGAGTTTTCATTGAACATAGTGCAGACTTCAATGGTAGATTACAGTGGACAAAAAGGATTCAACACACTATATTGGATTATCCCAAATGTCCCATCAATATTAGGTCTGCAGTTGGAAACAGTCGAGAAGATATGTAGCTCAGATGGATGATTTTGATGTATTTGTGTTCTTTGCAATGGATGGTTTAATTGCGAAAGTTCCATTATTCATCCTTGACAGCCACTGAAACGTAGTCCATTGGCCTATTACAATTTTAACCACCACCGATTCGCGATACATATAGCCAGTGTCATCATAGACATCTGTCCTCACATTCAACCACTTGGACCCCACTGTTCATGACTTCTCAATCGGACTTCCAATGAACTTTATCCTGTAGTGAGGCAGTAGTGAACAGTAGATTTATCATAACAAGAAATAGCAGTTTTTAAAAGTTTGAAGAATGATAAAAACATGGTAATTTTCTATCAGTGATCTAGGAAGTTCATTCTGATGCTGCTCACTGATTTTCATGATGAAATACACCGTGAGAACATTTCAGAGTGGTAAATTCGTTTACGAATTCAAAAGTAGACAAAACACACAACTTACTTTCTCTTTGTATCTTGCAGTGTCAGTTGAAGCAGGTGATTCTCTTTTATGAGGTAAATGATTATGCCTTTCTTCAGTATGCTAAATTTAAAAGAGAGAAACAGAAAAGCAGGATTTATTAGTAATAATTACAAGAGTGATTCGATGATTATTTCTGCGTCGGTGGCACAGCGGTAGAATGCTCGCCAACCACGCCCCAGGTGGCTCGGGGTTCCATCTCGAGCCGACGCACCCCTCTGCCACACTATGTCAGTAATAAGAATGGTAAGGAGGAAAGGTTGGGCATGAGGCTGGCGAGTAACCCCATCCCGTAAAAAGCAACTCCACTGCTACCGAAACTTGAAGTCTCTAGCCTGAAGGTGCCATATATCCCACTCGTAATGTAAAGGAATATAAACCAAATTATTTCAGCTTAGCTGTTAAAAGGGTAGCATATTTCAAGTGGGTGATTCAATCCATTATTCAGGAACCATTACACCCGTTGAAAGTTTAAATTCAGCTAACTGTATTAACCTTTATGATTCTATGTCTGTATTTGTTTCCAAGTCAACACAGAGGACACACAGGTAATGAAAATATCTAACCAACGACGACAAGCGTTAATCACCTGGCTTTGTCTTATTGTTTCAACTACAGAAGGTGGCACAGATTGGGGTGTGAAAAGTGTGATGAATCAGAATGGCAAGATAGACCTTCGTCAATCTACTGCACTCAACATCAGCAACCAATTTCGGATCTTCAAGACTAATGCAAATTTAGTAGTTTTATATGGTGCAGGGACTTGGTGTACGTGTGCCTGGAAGCATTTCCAACAGGTTACTACAGACTTTCATCTGAAGATGCCCACAAAATATTAGAACAAGACATACAAGTGAGCAATGTTGTTGTTTTCAATTAGATCTTATTCAAACTTTACTCGAATTTACACAGATTTAGATTTAAACATTTGTGGATCAAAAAATAATAATAGTGTGTTTTATGAGTTGATCACGAATTGATATCAGTTAGAGAACCATTGAAAACCAGCACTGGGGCACTTTACAGCCATCTGTTTCATCCTAGTATGTTGGGAATCATTGGCAGTACGCACCCATCACAAGGGTTCCAACCCACGACCTCCCGGATACAAGGCCAGCAAGCTTGTATACCATTCAGCCACTGATGGGATTCGATTCAATGGCCACTGCATGAATTCTAACTTATACCAATTTGAAATTTAGCGTCATTGGTGGGACATCCATCCTCACACTTGACCGGATGGACCTCACTGGTCATGACTTCTTACTAGAACTCCAGGAAACTGTAGCGAGTCACTAACGAGCTACCTGGTTTTCAATGGTTCTGTAACTGATATCTATCCGTGATCAACTCGTGAAAACAAATCTAATCCTTACAAACGAACTATGGAAAATAATAATGCGGTAAATGTTTTGAACGACATTATTAACGATGATTTTAATGATAAGAAAAAATTATAATATGGTTTAGGTAGGTGGCGATGGGAATAACGAAGGTGGTGAGTGGTATGTGTATATGTAGACGATTCAACAAATAAATAAACTGGGTCAAATTGTAAAAGTTACGTAATACTAAAGGTAGGAGAAGTGGACAGATAATCAGAGTTTAAATAAAAACCATAAAAGTACGAAGGAAATGGAAAATAAGAATGGGTGTGGGAGGGTTTGGATTAGAACTGACTTAGGCCGGGCTAGGGGGAGACAAAGGTAGAACAAACTTCTTTTGTTGTATGAAAAGGCTAGGAGTGTTCTCTCGAATCGATTCCCATAGTTTAGGCTATGTGTAAAAGGCAAGTTCGAATTCCCTTCGAAAGGCTGGATGGAATGTCATAGATAACTTGGAAGGCACTACTTCTTATTGAGAGGCTAACAAATGTTTCACAACTGTTAACTGATACACACACACCATTGTATACTGCATTTACACATATATTTTCATATTCAGTTATCCACGATCATAAACGTTTAGTCGAACGTAATCTGATGAAAGGTACACTTTGTTTAGTGTGCTTAACAAAAGTAGACTAATATATGAAAGTCTGAGGTCAAATTTTGATCACAGTTCATACAGTTCTGTTGACTGTACATGTTGATATCTGTTTCATGAATCATATGATTGGACAAAGTTTTTTAAACAAGAGATGTCCTTAAAATAAAGGTTTTTGTATTTCCCAATGAATGGAAAACAAAACGATATTGTTTTTACTGACGCTTGGCTATTTAATGCTAATAACTTTATCAAAGTATTATATAAGTATTACAGTATTACATAAGTATAAGAGATGTCCTTCTTTATATATAAACCTCTGTTATGTTAATTTTGATTAATTTACCTGGAGAAGTTCGGACCAGATTCCCGAACAATACTTTGGAATTATTCATTTGATTTCGCTGAGATTTTATGAATATAGTTTTTACGAAGGCATAACTTCTCCTCTACCTTTGTCTCTCCCTAGCATGGCCTAGGTCAATTCTAATCAAAACCCTCCCACATCCTTTCTTATTTTCCATTTCCTTCGTACTTTTATGATATATATTTAAACTGATTATTCGCCTACCTTTAGTATTCGGTACCTTTTAAGATTTGACCCAATTTATATATTAATTGAATTGTCTACATATACACATATTACTACCTTTGTTATTCATATCGCCACCTGCATAAACCTTATAATCATTATTTTGTTGGCACTATAATCATCGTTATTAGTGACGTTCGAAACATTTACCACATTCCTATTATTATTATTATCATTATTATTTGATCCACAAAATCACCGTCATTGGTTAAAATTTTTATATGTATAAATCTATTTAAATTAGAGTAAAGCCTGAAGAAGGTCTAGTTGAAAACAACAATATTGTTAGCTTGTATGTCTTGTAGTAATAATAATAATAAGGTGCCTACAAAATATGCAAAAGGAAGTATAGATGAACTAAACATACGCTGAGGAGATCATAAAGTACCCCTTGGACGCCAGGTCCTCGAGTTAGATCCAGGTGGAAAACATCGAGTTGAACACGTGGGGAAGAAATTGATAGTGTACAGTCAACTGTGAAGCCAGCTTAAAAGGACTACTGAGAAGAATAGGATGATTCTGAAATATTTTCAAGTATTCTTTTTGTAGGGATTTTTTTGTTTGATTGCATGGAGGATTTCATCATGAGTTGACATCAGTTAGAGAGCCATTGGAAAACCTGGGAGTACTGGACAGCTGTTTCGTCCCAGTTTGGGACTCTTCAACAGTACGCACCCACCGCAGGGGGTTCGAACCCAGGACATTCTGGTTACAAGGTGAGCTCATAGACTATTGAGCCACTGGGACCCTGAGATATACGACTGCAACCTTCTATTCCGTTTGGAACCCAAGAGTAATAATGTAGCAAATTTTCGTTAACTGTATCACTTCTTATTACACGTTAATACTGTCTAAGTTTTTATATGAGAACACTCGTCAAGGTGCATGTTCTGCATTCATTACCTCGTTATGTGAATCAGTTGAGAAGTGTAGAACTAAACAGCACTGAGCTATTTACTTCTTTCCTAGATGAGACGTATTAACAGTGAGCACAGTAAATTGACATCTACATTCTACAATACACATAAAACCATTGAAACATGTTTTCTAAACCTCCAAAAACAAGCAATAATTTCAAATATTTACTGAACCTTGAAAATTTGTGGTGAGATTTTATAGTTATACTTCAATACTACTGACAATTTTAATCAGTAGACAGTGCTGACTTCTATAATATTTGTAAGTAAAAGATGTGAACTCAGAAACAAAGATATTTGACAATTGTTACTTACTTCAGGAATGCCATATGTAACTTCTCGTTCGAATTTCTGTAAAGAATATTTTTGATAAAGAGGGAAAGATTAGATTAGTATTCATACGAGAAATAATCGATTATCAAGTGTTAGTTTGCCCTTGATTTGATTGGTTATAAAGTTTGTTTGATCATTAGCTGATATCATCTGTTAGATAATTAAATATAAAAAATATTCCCATGGTAAAATTTAGAACAACACATTTAAGGGAATAATAGTGTTCTCGTATTCCTGTCTTCCCAAAGTGCACACAACGGGTGTTTCTCTTCACTCATAGATATGTATAACTCTCCATTTCACGGAACACTAAAGTGGTTAGTGAAGATTCTGGAACCTTTGGACAAAGAAATTGTGTGGCATAGAATTAGTAACGTCTTCGACTTCATTTCTAAAATATCCGAGACCAATGTGGTGGATAAATGTATATTATCCATGGATGTATATATATATATATATTTATTATTATTATTATTATTGTATCCTTTAATTCCTACAGGAACATAGGGATTCAGCCGTGCGTCTCCATTGCGTTCTGTTCTCTGCTAGATATATATATATATATATAATATATTATTCCTTCACGTTCCCAGTGAAACATAGGGCTTCAAGCTAGAGGCTTGAAGTATCTCTAGCAGTTTTCATTTCTACAGGATGGGGGAGCTAGCCTCATGCCCAAACTTTTGTCGCCATCAGCTTTGTATTTTGATTTGACACTAGTAACTAGTGTGATGCGTCCAGTCCTCTCCACTACAGTCCTACTGGAGGTCAATCGCGAGCCCGAATAGCTCAGTGGTAACGTCTCTGACTGCAGCACTGGGTGACGCGGGTTCGAATCTCAGAAGGGACGTCAGTTCCTTCAAGGTTGCAGATACGCCTTGCTGAAGAGTGCTAACTAGCACGAAACCTAGGTCCAAGGCTTCCTGCCGATTGCCTCCAACCATCTAATATCATCATCAGCTTTGTGTATGGCTCAGCGACGTAAAGGAGTGCGTCGGCCGGGAATCAAACTCCGCACCATGTGCATGGTTGGCGAGCATCCTAACCCCTGTGCCACCAACGCACTACATATATATACATATATATATATATATAAATCTAGGTAAATTAGAGTAAAGCCTGAAGAAGGTCTAATTGAAAACAACAATATTGTTCGCCTATATATCTTGTTCTAATATTAATAATGGAAATATTTAAAGATTTGATATAACTAAGGGACAAATTAATATAGAAATAGATGTGACCATGAGCTGATGTCATTTAAAGAACTACTGAAAACTAAGAAGTACTGAACAATCAGCTGTGTCGTCCGAGTCTGGCAATCTTCATCAGTAGACATCTACGGCTAAACTCTATTAAAGGATGCATTGGAAGCTGCGTGATCATTATTTACTGTTTGTTGTAATGCAGATGAATTAACGTCATTATATTGTCATTTGCGTCTATGGCACAGTGGTAGAATGGTCGCCACCAACTCACTCCCCTACCTCACTAAGCCAGTAATAAGACTGGTAAAGAGGAAAGCTTGGGCATGAAGCTGGCGAGTAACCCCATCTCTTAAAAATAAACATCACTGCTACTGGAACTTCAAGCCTTTATCTTGAAGGTGCTCTATGCTCCACTGGGAACGTAAAGTAATAAAATCAAATAATAATAATATTCAAGTGTTGGTTTGTAGGGATTTGATTGGTTACAGGATTTCATCATAAGCTGACATTAGTTAGAGAGCCATTGGAAAACCTTGGAGTACTGGACAGCTGTTTCGTCCTAGTTTGGGACTCTCATTATCTCTCTCTCCCTTCATTCTCATTTGTCCATCCAAGCTAGGAAGTGTTTTCTAACGCGTCGATTTATGTTCCTCAATGGATGTTCCCCTATGTCTGACCCTAAAAGAACAAGTCAACTTATACACATGGAATTCGACAGTCAAGGTAACATTCCCTAAATATTATGATGTACCAGTAGACGACTAGAGTAGGTTATTCATAGAGTGCCAGAAAAAAATGTACAGCTATGAAAACGAAAACGTAGGATATTTCATTAGGCATTATTAATTTAATACAGCATTACTTCATAAAAATATGAAAGGACTTACCACAGGTACTCTTATCCATGTATTGTTAACATATTCAGTTTTCATGAATAAACCAAGTGAATTCAATTGATTTATTTGTGAATCCCATTGAAATGTGTATTTATTCCATGACACTGTTGTTGGCATTTCACTAACAACTAAAGCACCAACTGGTAAGCCCGTACCAATTGTTTTCAATTCATTTATATTGTGAATTATTTTAACCTAAAACATTGAACATTGAATGTAAAGACAAAGCGGTTTTAGTGAAATGAAATTTATTCTGGCGGTTAGTTTAAATCAGCCAGATGACTAAGTTTTCAAGCATGAAAATGAATCAAATTCATTCTGTTTCATGTTATTTTGAATCATCTACTCATGTATTTGAATAGCGATCTGTACTGACTCATTTACCATCCTGGAAAGAATAAAAGATGCACTGGATACAGAAATTCGCCAGTCCCACCGGAAAAAGCTGGATTCAAGAAAGGCAAATCATGTGCTGATCAAATTGCAGCTCTACGCATCGTCATCACAGAACAAAGCATGGAATGGTAGTCAAAACCATCTCTACCTCAACTTCATCGACTTCGAGAAGGCCTTCAACAAACAGCGGTGACAGAGAAGTAATTTGGAAACTACTTTAACACGACTGCATACCTAAAGTCTTTATCCAACTCATTCAACATTTAGCTATATGACAACGCCACGTATCAAGTGATCCACAAGGGGAAACTCAGTGAGGCGTTCGAAGTGCTTACGGGAGTAAAACATGGCCGTCTATTATCACCAATGATATTCTTAACTTTTGTGGACCGTATAATGAGGAAGAATGTGTGTCGGGTGTGAGAAGACAGGAATAGTTTGGACTGATTATAAGACTCTAGAAGATCTTAATTTCGCGGATAATATATGTCTAATTTCACACAAACTTGAAGACTTGCAAGAAAAAACCAACAAACTGGAGGAAGAGATAGTGAAAACAGGACTGCAGGTGAACACAGGGAAGACGGAGGTGATGAAGATAACCAATCAACAACAACGCAACCAGCACCAATCACCGTCAACTGGATAGCTTTAGCGGAGGTCGCCTCCTCCTTATCTGGGGAACTTCGTTTCAACTACGGGTAGTCGGAACGGACGAAGGTGTCAAAGCAGGCCAGTCAGAATCGGAAAGGCAAGATACGCCTTCAGTAACCTGAAACCAGTTTGGAAATCCTCTACCTCACTCACTCAGTGAGCATAAGGAATAAGATTCGGATTTTCAACACCAATGTGAAGTCTTCTATATGGGTCACAAACTTGACCAACGTGTAACGAAAAGGATTTCCTACAGGTTGCAGATTTCCATCAACAGATGCCCTCCTCGTTGGCTTCATACTGAAGATCAAATGGCCAGAAAGAATAAGTAACAAGAAACTCTGGCTGGGAACAAACCAACCAATAGCCGACTGGTCAGCAAATGTGTAGGACAAAAGGAAGATGAATCAGGTACAATTTGAGGTGAGCGTTGAATGACATCGCGCTGAATGCAGGCCATTGCTTCAGTGAAATCCCAATGGGAAAAGACAAGTGGGTCGTCGGTGTCAGGGTTTCATGGAGAAGATAGTGTGAGGAAGAGATGAGAGATTTTAGCCAACCGTGGTCCAAACTGAAAAGGACGGCAGAAGATAGGATAAAGTGGAGATGTGTTGTTGAAGCCCTATATTCCAATGAGAACTCATTTCCAAAGGGTATACAACCTATCTCTGTACATTTTTCAAAAGAACTGGAGGGAGACACATTATCGGTTATTGGAGAGTATTTGCATAGAGGAGGATTGATTGATTTGATGTATTTTCCATTGTTGTCTTAAGCGAAATTTGTACAAAAGGAGTAGTTGCTTTGCTATAAAATAGGCCAACAATTCCTCCTGAGGTATAGACACACTTTATTGTATTGTAGCTACTAATTGTTCAACTGTTTATTTCTACGGAAACATTTTTTTCATTCATTTACGTTCCCAGTGGAACATAGGGCACCTCCAAGCTAGAGGCTTGAAGTTTCAGTATCAGTGGTATTACCTCTTACGGGATGGGGTTGCTAGCCTGCATCATGCCAAACCTGCTCTCTTCGCCAATCGTATTACTGGCTTAGCGAGGTAGAGGGGTGCATTGGCCGAAGATCGAACCCCGAGCCACAGAGAGGGCGGTTGGCGACCATTCTACCAATATGCCACCGACGAACTAGTATGAATTTATGCATTTCTCACTGAATATTTCTCTTTACTTACGCCTAAAATTTTCTGATTTCCTGTATCCATTTTATTCCATCCTGTATATAATAAATCTGGACGATGTTGTGATTGATCTGTAGAAGATCTTGATGAACGTTTGACACGATGTTGCCTTTCCTGCATTCTATAAACTCGAAAGTTGAAGTGTCTTTCCCGTTTAATTCCTTGTAAGTTACTATTGTTCTGTGAACGTATTTTTCGAATAAATCTCCTCAATATTACCTCGCCTTTTTCACCTTTTGGACCTTTTGGGAAATAGTCATTTGGCTGAAAATGAAATAAAGGGATATTATTTAATTATTATAAAATTGTGTTGCGTAACATGGATTTGAAAGTAAATTAAGTGATATAAATTATACGAGACCATCTAGACGATTAGAATACGGAGCAACTCTAAGAGTGACATTCTCTAGCCACCCACTTCTTCGGAGCAATGGGAAGGACAAACTGTCGCATATGACCAATTCAATGTGCATTTACCAGTTCACCTGCTCGTGCGGAGCAAGGTACATAGGTCGTTGTATGCGCGTTCTTTCAAAACGTGTTAGAGAACATTACCCAGCGTGGCTGCAAAGAGGAGGCACCGGTTCAATCAGAAGTGCCATTATTGAGCATCTGATCAATACCTCCCACAACATCTCAACTAATTCATTCAAAGTAATTTACAATGTCAACAGAAACCTACCGAAAGCAGTTTGTTTCCGACTTCTCTGTACTGCAGAAGCCCTCGCAATATGCATCGAGAAGCCGGAGTGTGCAAAAGAAATTAGTCCAGCCTCTACAACTGCCATGGACTTAGTTCGGTATGTTACCTTAGCTTCCCTTTTTGTTTTTTGTTTTTATTTTTTGATCCCTTTTCGTTCGCTATGTGTGTGATTCTTACTCCCTCAGTCTTCATTCGATTCACCCCATTTTTTTTCCAGTTATAAAAACAGTTATTTTAAGTTTGTTTCCATGCTTTTCCTGTTCACATTTATAATTCGTTTTAAAAATTTACTATTATATCTTAATCCTGTGCAATTTTTTGTGTTTCTGAGGCTCTTGTACTCTATATTCGCACCTCCTGATTCCCATCTCAAGTTGAAAATTATTATTTCAATTTTGTTTCCATGCTCATTTTTACACACTTGATATCCGTTCTAATCCTGCGTAATTTTGTTTCTAAGCCTCTCGTAAAAACCATATCTAGTTGGAAATAATTATCACCTCTTATTCGCAGTCATAATTATGTAGAATCAAACAAGAATTGTCTCCATGTAAAATTATGTATTTAAATGCGATTGTGCAGCTTTTGAAAATGAAATCACCGAAAAGATATGTTTGCTGAACTTCTTATTCTTTTAAATATAAAGTAAACATGTGACCAAGGCAAGTACAATCTCTTGTCATCTGACTGAAGGTGACTTAGGGTATAATTTAGTGCACGCACATTGTCCTCTATGAGGCTTGTCATCAGATGCACTTGGATCATACTTATTGATGGTGTTTCCACCGAGACTTCAACATGATGCTCATTGTTTCAAATGCTGCTGCGTTATCTTTACTAGTCTAATCTATCAGTGACAGCAATCTCTTATGCAGCTTATCACTAGCTGATTATTACCAGAGCAGATTGTTTGGTCCCTGCTGGATAGACAGGATGGAACGCGCCTTCTCGATTCTACTGCCGTCCATCATCAATCAGTAAGTAAAATATACTGACTAAGAATAGACGGACAAATGCCATTTTTTTCCCAAAATAAATGTTATAACACACAACTATTCTGACCACATGTTCTTCGATACACAGAGTGTCAGTTGTGTGTCTTGAAGAAGTTCTGTTTCAAGCTAATGTACACATAAAACTAGGGTGCTATGGTAGTATGCAATTCAATACTTATTTTTTTATTGAATATATCACTTGGAGAAACCGGATTACTCACTAGATGACCTTTTGAACACAATTCACTATTCCATATTAGTTTGTTTATTAGATATATCACAAAGTGAAACAGTATTATTTACTGGATGACTTTTCGAACAAAATTTATTGTTCATAATCATAGCAGTTATAATCATTCGACTTCGAAACTTTAGTTTCATAGTTTTATTGCATGGAGGATTTCATCATGAGCTGACATCAGTTAGAGAACCACCGGGAAACCACCTGGAAGTAATGAACAGCTGTTCCGTCAGCCTAATTTGGGACTCTTCAGCAGTACGCACCCAAAGGGGGTTCGAACCCAGGACCTTCTGGTTACAAGGCGAGTGATTTCGTAGACCACTGAGCCACTGGGACCCGATCCAATAGTCCTTGAATTCTAACTTCTGCTGACATCAGTTAGAGCTGTCCAGTACTCCCAGGTTTTCCAGTGGTTCTCTAACTGATGTCAGCTTATGATGAAATCCTCCATGCAATCAAACAAAGTCCCTACAAAACCAATACTTTTATAGTTTTCTTTGTCCTCTCCTATTTGTCGTCGTAGGGGTAGTAGAATTTTCCAGATATCTTGGTGGACAGGTGTTGAATCACTCCTATTACATGTATTTACAGTTGATTTGATAAACAAAGCTTCCGTTATCAATCTCTCCCTCCACCCTGCTGTTACATTGGATTTTAAGACTTTCGTCTTATGCCAACCTATTTTATAGTTGTGTGCAGCTGCACGCAGTGATAAAACTTAGCTACTCTCTAGATTTCTGATCTTATTAGCATCAAGTAACTTACTGTTTGCTGGGTGTTTGTGCTCCACTAATCTAACTGACCCTATCCTACTACTTTGGCCTATATAATTGACTTGATAATCATTACAGGGTATTAAATAAACTAAATTGCTTTATTCGTTAGGACTCACTAAATAATTTGTTTCTAAGTGAGTATATGGGGAGAGGAGGGGTTGAATGCCACTTATATTCCAGCTTTGTTAAGAATTCCACTTAAGGTTACCAAGGTTCCTTCTCCGTATGGGAGGACTGTTGATGTTTTGAGTTCCTCTACTGTCGGTGTTGTCCTCTTTCTGTGGATGCTTGCCATACACATCATCCTTATTATTATTATTATTGATTTTATTTCAACAGTTTCCCATATACTTTCTGATTAACTTCTCAGGGTAACTAACTACTGATGAAGAGCTCGATGAGGGGCTTATGATTAATAATGAGGATGGCACAGTAAGAAGAAGTGTATATAGAAAACCTACATCAACGGGTTAGTGTACTCATTTCTTCAGCTTCGTGCCTTTGAAATACAAACGCAATCTGATAAAGTGCTTGATTCACAGAGCAAGAGTAATCTGCTCGGATGAATGTCTTAATGAGCAACGTAATAATATTAAACGGTTTCTGAGTGAAAACGGTTATCCAGAAAAGTTCGTTGATAAAAATATGAATCTAAAATCAAAGCAGTCCAAGGTATTGACAGTTCCTAAAACAGGCCTTATTCTTACAAATGTAGTTCCTTGGGGACAACATCGGCGAGATACTAACACAGTGCCTTAGAAATGCGGTAAAAATGCTGCACTGCGTTGTGCCTTCAAAACCACTCCTCTTTTGCGTTTGACAGTAAAAGATAAACCGCCCAATTTCGCCTCTTCCAAGTGTATCTGCCAATTTAACTGCTCCTGTGGAGTGAGCCAGTTAGTTGCATAGGCCATACATTTAGGCGTGTTTCTCGTCGGATTTCCGAACATCACCCTGCAAAGTGGTTAAGTGAAGGATAAACAAGATCTATTCGTAGTGCTATTCTATCTCATCTTTCGGAAACAGAACACAAGACTGATATCAACTAGACGGCTTTCAGGGTCATTTATCGCATACCAACCAATCTTAACTTTGCCTTAAGAGTTCGTTTACTAAATATTGTTGGGGCTATTGGGATCCATATTAACAAGCCTAATTTGTGCGTCCAAAAGCAGTAAGTTTAGACATTATCCTTACCCCGTTGGCCATCTAGGTTTGAATGATCCTGAATTTTTGTGGAAATTTCCCTAATTTTAGTCGATATTCTATTTGCTATCATATTATTATTTAAGAATCTTCAATGAACTGTAATTCCACTGATCTTACTTTACAAATCGATAATATTTAAAAAACACTAATGTTGTTATTGACTACTACTCTAGAATATTCGGTGTATATAAACATGCGTATATCATTGTTGAGCAAGGAGAGGAAATTATCGAAAAGTGTATTCTTTACTCAATTATTTTGTGTTTTATAGATGTCTGAATGAATATTTTCGCTATAATAATGGGTTCCCTAGTAAAAATAGTTATCCAGATAATTTCGTTGAGAAAAATATAAATTTAGCACCAAAATAAGCTAGTAGAGCAACAGCTTCAAAAAAGCCATTGTTCATAAATCTTTAGATCCTTGGTGATAACATCGGCGAAATAGTAACATAGCCTGAAAAATGTAGTTAAAAGAGATTTCAGTGCAACAGAGGTATGTTGTCTCTTCATTGCCACCCCTATTTTAAATTTGGAAAATAAGGACAAACTGCTTAATTTCAACTCCTCCGTGTGTATCTACCAGTTTGACAACAGTTGCGGAGCCAGCTACATTTGGCGTACAGTGTGTGTTCATCATCGTCTTTCCGAGCATCCTTCTTCAGCATGGTTAAGCAAGGGACAAACAAGATCTATTCGTAGCTAGCTCTATTTTTGCAGACCTTGTAGATAGTAAGCATCAGGTTGACGTTAATACAGCATTTAAAGCCATCGAAATCTACCTGAAGAAGCCGACATCTGTGTATTAAGAAGAAATTTGTGCATCCAGTTTCCTTACCTTAGCCATCTTTACATGAATGTATAAAGCGGACTACTTTGCCACTCCAACCACCATTCTTCTAAACCTTTTAAAATTATTTTATTCTTATGACTACTTCATCTTTAATTACAAGTTATCATTGTCCAAATTATCTTGTTTTTCTTTAATTATTACCTATTACGTAATCAACTTGAACACTCGCTTATTCCTTCCTTAATTACTGTCCATTTTCTGTCTGAAATTATGCATTATGAAATCCACCTGTTGCAATTATTTCTACCCTGTAATTGTTTGTATTAATTTTCTTCGTAAATTACCACCCATCACTGAAATGTTGATACTGACTAATTATTGTTAATAAACATATTTCCTAGCTGGTCGGCAAAAGGCTGTGTATTGTATTAAAAATGTTATGGATATTTTTATTGGAGTAGAGCCAGAGTGAGATGAGGATCTAATTGAAAAAGAAAAATATTACTTCGATCAATGCTTTTGCTTTCTAATTATCTAAATAGGGATTTTCTCTTTAATTATTAAGTGTTAAAGCTTCTCTTGTATTATTATTCCCTTTATTTCCTAGAGGAACATAGGGCTTCAGCCAAACGTCTCCACTGCGTTTGGTTTCCTGCCAATGCTTTCACCTGACTCCACGTCTGCCAACATGCTTCCATCTCCTCTTCGCATCACCTCCTCCATGTCACCCCTGCACTCACGACCAACTCGCCGCTTCCCATTCGGGTTCCACACGAGAGATGACTTGGCGTGTGATGTCATTCACTTGATGGTTTGTTTTCTTTGAGTATGACCAATCCACCTCCATTTCTTCCTGCATATTTGTTGCACAATCGATTCCTGTTGGGTTGGTTCGCTCATTGACAGAGATTTCTCCCTTTTGCTCATCTCTGATCGACCATCTGATCTTGACTAGTATTGCGTGATGACACCTGTTGATGAAGGTCTGTAGTTTGTTCAAAGTGGACTTCGTGACGCGGCGCGGTGCCAAGTCTCTGATCCGTATAGTAACTACCATTGACTTCACATTGGAGTTGAATAGCCGGATCTGATTTTCATTTTCATGCTGACTAGTGCTGATGGTCTCAACACAGACTTGAGAGAAATGAAAGCTTGCCTTGCTTTCCTGATCCGCCCACTTTGATATCCCCATTATCTCCGTCCACCTGTACTCGAAACGATGCTTCCCAGGTATGCAGGTAAAGGAGGTTACTTCTTTCAGATTTCTCCCATTTATGCTGACTGTTGTCTGTTATTGTTGCTTTCGCTGTTTCTGTTATCCAGGAATCTTCATCACCTACCTCTGTTTTCCCTATGTTAACCTGAAATCCTGTCTTTGATGCTTTTATAATCACTTTGTTGCTTTTCACTTGCATATCTACTAATTTGTGGAAAATCAAACATATATCATCGGCGAAGTCGAGATCTTCCAACTTTTTTGTGTAGGTTCATTTTATGTCTGTCTCCTCATTGCCCGTTGTGTGTCTATCGCATTGCCCAGTCTACCGCAGTCAGAAAAATCATTGAAGACAGTAGTCAGCCTTGTCTTACTCTCGTCTTCACTTCGAAGGATTCCGTGAGTTTCCTGCTGCGGATTACTTGGCACGCAGCACTGTCGTACACTATTAGATGAGGTGTATAATAGTTGGCGGAACCTGTTAGTAGTAGTGAAGTAATTGTCAAATCACCTCTTGATCGACGCTGTCTGTCGAAGGTCTTTTCAAAGTCATTGAAGTTGAGTGAGGTAGAGAGCTGACTGCCATTCCAAACTTTGTTCAATGATGATGCGTAGTATTGTGATTTGATCGATGCATGACTTGTTCCTCCTAAATCCAGTCTGTTCCGGTCGAAGTTTTTCATCCAGGTCGGCGTGTTTGATTCTCTCCAGGATGATGCAGCTTGGTATTTCGCTTGAAATGGACAGCTTCTCTTGTGTGTCTTACTTTTGGCCTTAGATTTTCTTTAATACTATTTAGCTGTTTTATTTTTTTGCTCTGTTGCATAAAGATCTCAATAATCCTATTTCTACTGTCATAGGTTGGGATGATTCGAAATCCACACAGCAAACGGTACTGTTTCATCTGTATGCTTTCCCAATGAATATTATAAATCAGCAGTATAAGATAAGAGACTATTTCGCCTGCTTTCTTGATATCTGTTTGTTTGTCGTGTCAAACGGATCATACACTGTGATCGGAATATTTTGCGATTTAAAAAACACAAAAACTTTAGTGTCTTCTCTCCTCAGCGTGTAAGCTGAAAATGGCGAATTTCATTTCATTATGTGTAGTACACTTACTGTCACATCCAATGTGTACTTAACAAGTTGTAAAGCTTCCATGAATGACAATTCACGCTTATCTCCCATTTCACCTTTAGGCCCCTGAAATGGAAAGAAAGACTGGTCAAGTGATATTCTAAAATAAAATCAATCGACACGAAAAATGGAATAGTTTCCCATGAAGGTAATCTTCCGATATAAGAATAAAAATTGTGCGCTGTGGTAGAGTATAATTCCATTATGGATAAAACTTTATTTTGATAAAATCACACAGTGTTATACAGGAAGTAATATTTACTGATGACCACAATTTATTACTGCTCATAATCATATCAAGACATTACTCACAAAACTTTCCGACTTCGTTTATATAATTACATTATCTTCCATCGCTTGACTTGATTGGTAGTAGTATTTTCCATATTTCCGGTATGAGTGATGATTCATTCCTATTGCATGTGTTGGGTGTAGATTCGATGAACAAAGATTCAGTAATCAACCTCTCTCTCCACCTACCTAGATTAGTTTTTAGAATTTTAACCCTCTCCCACCCTATTGTGTGGTTGTGTGTTAATGCATGCATTGCAATTGTTGAGCTTCTTTCTAAATTACTTATCTTCTCTGGGTCAACTATTCTTACCTTAGTTAAATTCTTATGTTCCGACAATCTGACTACCCCCGATCTACTAGTTTGACCTATGCAGTTGACTTAACCTACAGTCACTGCAAGATCGAATCTACACCCAACACATGCAATAGGAATGACTCATCACTCATACCGGAAATATGGAAAATACTACTACCAATCAAGTCAAGCGATGGAAAATAATGTAATTATATAAACGAAGTCGGAAAGGTTTATGAGTAATGTCTTGATATGATTATGAGCAGTAATAAATTGTGCTCGAAACACTCATCAGTAACTATTACTTACTGTATATTACTTACTGCATAACACCACTGTGAGATTTTATCAAAATAAATTTTACTCATAGCGGAAGAAAATCTTCTAAAAACGGAATGTATTCATCAGTAGGGTGAGGTTTTACAGGACTTCAGAAAATGCACGCATACAAAAATACATTTTAATTGATCGTTTAGGTTTGGTCATTACGACTTTCAATATGTGTGGAAGGGTGAAAAGATTTATGCGGCTAGAATTCAAATTGCGTCTATATTTCACTCGACATAATGATTTGGAATGTGACTAGGAGTTTGACTATTTACTCTTGAATCGCTTATAAATGTTTTCCAGTCAACTGTTTCCCCGATCTGGTCTTTTACGGTCGTAGGTTTTTCTCGTGAGTCTTTCTGACTTGTCATTAACTGGTTTATAGTCGACAGACTGAACGATGATGAAGTGATTTGACTAGGAAGTGTCTAGAATTTTTATTTTCACATTTTTTGTTGAATATGTGTTTATCATATTCACCCTATCCTACTGCTTGGTTACTTCTTTTCACCTGTATACCTCAAAGTAGAGATGCTTTGTGATAACCTAAGTTGCACAGGAGAGAAAAGTTTAAAAGACCAAACTGGTACTTCGAAGATATTTTCAAATGCGACAAAAAGTGGTGATTCTTCAAAAATTAGCTTGTTAGCGGTCCGATTTCGAATACTACTTTACTGTATCAGTGATAGGGTGTACTGATAAATTATTCAAAACAGCCAAATAGATATTATTTTAATAATTACACAGTGATGACGCAGTATCAACGACTGGATGACAAGGTTCCGAGCATAAATTACTGCTGCTCATAATCATACAAATTTATTCACATTGTTTCACAATTTGTCTCAAATACGGTTTCCGTCTTTCTGTCCCTCCAACTTCCCTTAGTTGTTTGTTTCCACTTTCCATAGCTCCGGTATGGGCGTTGCGTCATACCGATTGCACATTTGCGGTGGTGAATCGATAAACAAAGATTCAGTTATTAACCTCTCTCCTTCCAACTAACTATACACATGTGCAATCGGTATGACGCAACGCCCATACCGGAGGTATTGAAAGTGGAAACAAACAACTAAGGGAAGTTGGAGGAACAGAAAGACGGAAACCGTATATGAGACAAATTGTGAAACCATGTGACTAAATTGATATGATTATGAGTAGTAATACTTTATGGTCGAAACCTTGTCATCCAGTTGGTGATACTGCATCATCACTGTGTGATATTTAAAATAAAATTATTTAATATGGAATTAAATTCTATCCAAGTTCTACACTTACATTAGTCAAAAAGTTAAAAGAGATTCTCAAACACACCTGTAATTAGAAGTTAATTAGTGGATGATAACTGGTAGTGGAATCCAGAATGCTGATTTCGTCCTATTTTTTACTCGTCACTGGATGTATCTGCATTGCTCAGTGAGTGGTGATGATCCCTCCGAGGCTCCAACCCAGTGCAGGTACATCCAGAAGACAAGTCCCAGAAAGGACGAAATGTGCATCCTGAATTCCACTGCTAGTCACCATCCATCAGTTAACTCCTAATTACCCGCCCAGACATCGTCAAAGCATCTGCACAAGAATCCTATGTGTCCACCTGAGACTGAACACTTCGGTCCAGTCAATCGACGGGAAAATCTAAAATTGAATTAAACACTTGTAATTGATTAGTCCATTACAGATCTATTCTTTGTGATGTTCAACAGTGCAGGATTTGAGTTGTAATGTATCCTAGGAGAAGAGATTATAAGTTGGATGCTTTTTTACATTTGTGCTCATTTACTTTCGTGTTTATTTCTTTCGATAAATTCAACCTTTTATATTCTTCAGTATAAATAACCATCATTATAGTCTGTGTGATGATGCAACATTGGTTGGGAGATCACAAATAACCGGAGAGTACTGGGAAGTTGATATCCCTAGTCTGGTATTCTTTATCAGTACACACCCATAACCTCACCAGGAATCGAACCTAATAACATTCTTCCACGGAGCCATCCCGTTAACTGTCCTGCCACACTTGGTTAGAATTCAGAGACGCTTGAATTGTAACCTTTCTAGATTTGTGATATAGCGATACTGTCAACTAGTGGCATCAATGAGGATCCACCTCACTCTTATATGTTCGTCTAAGGCTCATCCGCTGCACGCATTTACAACCTGATCAGGTATCGAATGCGGAACTTTCAGGCGACAAGATGAGCTTATAATTACTCAGCGAATATTACCTTGCTATGATACATAATACTGATAAACTATGCAACTAAGTAAATGAAATCATGTCGGTGTTTGATCCAGACACTTTGATGCTTCTGTGAGTAGTAAATTGTTCTTGGGACATAACGGATCAGTCTGCGTCAGCATCGTTTCAATGTGAAAACCCTAACAACTACGTACACCTACTTAGCGGGAATCTGTCCAGATATAATAGAATGCAGAGTTGTATTCAAGATTTGGCATCACTGAAAGTTGTATTTGTATCTAACCGACATATAATTTATTCACTTCGGTGAACTTATGAAATATTATGAATTTTGATGTTACTGAAATGCTAATGTCATTTCAACTCACTGTTATTCCTTTTTCGCCTGTTATTCCTTTGATAGCGTCGCATGAACTACGACATTGATTTGTTGGACCAGAATCACCTTGAACTCCCTAGAATCATAGAGAAGTTTCTAAAGTTCCAATGATTCGGTTAAATGAATGAAAGCACAAATGGCAAATACTCACAAAGTGATAAAATTATTGTGAATCACATTTTAATTGCAGATATTCAAGTTATCTAGCATAGTTTTGCTTTCGTCGAAATTGAGACTAATCGGCTAACTGGCTCGCCGAAGGTTTTCACCAGCCTAAGTCATTCCGTCTACCCAATTCTGGCAAAGAACATGCGGAGTTTTTATATTTTTGCTGTGCCTTGAAGCTTTTGTAACCTCGCCTAGATTACTGGGTCACTAGTATTCTAGCCGGTCCCAAGCCCGGATAAAGAGGGAGGGTTGGGGCGTGGTGCTAGCAACTCCACCCCCAAAACTTAACCAAATTGCTACTAAAACTTCAACGCACAAATATATTCAAAATTCTAAAATTACAAATAGTGACCTTATTTTTCGCTGGAATCGGGGAAGTGAAATGACGCGGGCTGGTGAAAGCCTTCGGGAAGCCAGTCAGCCGATGTGCCTTCTTTCGATGAAAGCGAAAATAAGGATGGGGACGTGGAATGTTCGTACAATGTACGAAGCTGGGAAGGCTGCTCAGGTAGCCGCAGAAATGAGGAGATATAGAATAGAAGTGTTGGGAATCTGCGAGAGCAGATGGAACGGATGTGGAAGGAGCCAACTATCAACTGGAGAGACAATAATCTACTCCGGTCACCCAGAGGACAATCACGAGCACACCGAGGGAGTAGCCATCATGATGTCACCAACAGCGGCTAAAGCTCTCATGCAGTGGGAACCAATCTCCTCCAGGATAATGACAGCCAGGTTCAACTCAAAAGGAAAAAAGGTTACAATCATTCAGTGCTACGCGCCTACAAACGCCTCAGAACATGAGAAGAAGGAGGATTTCTACAGTCAACTACAAACAGTAATGGACAACGTCCCAAAGAGCGATATCAAAATCCTGATGGGCGACATGAATGCGAAACTGGGAGGAGACAATACAGGAAGAGAACTCACCATGGGTCGTGAGGCCCTCGGTGAAATGAACGAAAATGGTGAACTCTTCTCAGACTTCTGCGCCTTCAATGATTTGGTGATTGGTGGCACTGTGTTCAAACACAGGGATATACACAAGGCGACATGGATTTCACCAGATGGACACACCAAAAACCAGATAGACTTCATTTCAATCTCAAGGAAGTGGAGACGGAGCCTACTGGACACAAGATCGAGGAGAGGAGCAGATGTGGGTTCACACCACTATCTTGTACAAGGGACTTTCAAGGTGAAGCTGAAAGCCTCGAGGATACCTGGGGATAGGCCACAATGCAAGTTCAACACTCACAAACTGAAGGACACAATCACACAGGACATTTTCACTGCAACTGTCAGAGCAAAGCAGGAAACACTACGTGGCACCACTGAGGAATCATCCGTGGAAGACCATTGGAACTCTCTGAAGGTAATTTTCAACGAAACGTGCTCAACGGTTTTAGGAAGAAAGAAGAAACAAGACAAGGAATGGCTCTCAACAGACACTTGGAAACTAATAGAGGAGAGGAGAAAAGTGAAAGAGAAGATGATTCAATGCAAAGATGGACAAGAGAAAGAGACGCTGAGCTCAACTTACACAGCACTGGACAAAGAAGTGAAGAAGAGTGCCAGGAAGGACAAAAGACAATTCTACGACAACCTGGCTACTGAAGCTGAGAAGGCAGCAGGCAAAAGGGACCTGAGGACACTATATCAGATAACCAAGTCTCTATCCGGGAAGAGATCAACACAAGTGAAACCTATAAAAGACAGCCAGGGGAACCCAATTACCAAAGAAGAAAGACAGATTAAACAATGGGCGGACCACTTCAAAGGACTCTTGAACCGACCACCACCTACAACCCGTCCAGTAATACTAACAACAGCACGTACACAACTGCAAGTTGACACCAATCCTCCAACGAAAACTGAAGTCATGAATGCAATCAAGCTTCTGAAAGCTGGAAAAGCAGCTGGACCAGATGGAATACCCCCGGAAGCACTGAAAGCGGACCCAGAGACGACAGCAGATATGCTGACTCCATTATTTCAAAAGATCTGGAAAGAGGGAAAGGTGCCTACTGACTGGAGGAAAGGTTACCTCGTGAAACTACCAAAGAAGGGCGACCTGGGACTCTGCAAGAATTGGTGAGGAATCATGCTCCTGTCGACGCCAAGTAAAATCCTGAGTCGCATCATCCTGGAGAGAATCAAGGACGCGCTGGATACAGAACTCCGACCAGAACAAGCTGGATTCAGGAAAGGCAAATCATGTTCTGACCAAATTGCAACTCTACGCATTATCATCGAACAAAGCATGGAATGGCAATCAAATCTCTACCTCAACTTCATAGACTTTGAGAAGGCCTTCGACAGCGTTGACCGCGAAGTAATTTGGAAACTACTCGAGTACTACGGCGTACCCCAAATATTCATCAACCTTATTCAACAACTGTACGACAACGGCACATGTCAAGTGATCCACAACGGAAAACTCAGCGAAGCGTTTGGAGTAAACACAGGAGTCAGACAAGGGTGCTTATTATCACCAATGATATTCCTAATTGTGGTGGACTGGATTATGCGTCAGACAGTGGGAAACGAGAAGACAGGGATATCCTGGACCGACGTGAAGAACCTAGAAGACCTGGATTTTGCGGATGATTTATGTTTGATGTCACACAAAATCGAAGACTTACAAGCAAAAACCGACAAACTGGTCGAAGAAGCAGCAAAGACAGGACTCCAGGTGAACATAGACAAGACGGAGGTTATGAAAATAACCAACCAACAACAGCAGCAACATCCAGTGCCAATCACCATCAACGGAAGGGATTTGAAAGAGGTTACTTCTTTCACTTATCTGGGGAGCATTGTCTCAACCACAGGAGGAACGGACGAGGATGTCAAATCGAGAATCGGGAAAGCGAGAAACACATTCATCAACCTGAAACCAATCTGGAAATCTTCGTCACTCACCATCAACAACAAAATTCGGATTTTCAATACAAACGTCAAGTCAATTTTGCTTTACGGATCAGAAACTTGGCGGGTCACCAAGAATATTTTCAACAGGTTGCAGACCTTTATCAACAACTGTCTTCGCTCCATACTGAAGATTAGATGGCCAGAAAGAATCACAAACAAGAAGCTATGGGAACAAACGAAACAGGAACCAATCGCCCAACAAATATGCAGGAGGAAGTGGAGATGGATTGGACACTCGCTGAGGAGGCCGTTGAGTGACATCGCGCGTCAAGCCCTCGAGTGGAACCCGAAAGGGAAGCGGCGAGTGGGACGTCCAAGGGTGACATGGAGGAGATCGTGTGAGGAGGAGATGAAACAGTATGGAATAACATGGACGCAAGTGAAAAGTACAGCACAAGACAGAAGCAAGTGGAGACGTGCAGTTGAAGCCCTATGTTCCACTAGGAACCCAAGGGAACAATAATAATAATAATTGAAGCTTTTGTAGTGATTGAGTTCACTTTTCGGGGTGGGATCGCTAGCCCCATGGCAAATCTTCTGTCTTTTTCCGGGCTTGGAAACGGCTGTTAATCTGGGCGGGAAGTCAGCTTGTAGGTCCGTGCAGAAGAGAATAAAACGGAGATATGCTGTGGAAGCCCTATATTCCACTTGGAATCTAAGGGAGCAATAACAATGAGTTATTATGCTACCTTTCACTCACTGCTTCACCTTACAGGTATTTACTTTCTTTCTCCGAAATACACTTGTTCTCTTACATTTATCATCAGACAACATTAATCAATTACAATGTCACTTTTATTTTGAGTCATAGTTTTTTCGTGAAACGCGTTAAATTCTTGTAAACAGCTGTTTCATTTATAAAGTAGACTTCACCTAAGTCAGACATCAGTCAGAGAAGAGATCTTTCTATATCAGTTTGTCATTCAGGAGAGATGATGTACAAGAAGTAGTCAAACGAAGACTCGGTAAAACTATCAAGAGAACTTATTATGCTGCAAAACTTGTTATCCTTAACACCACTAAGCGAGTGCTTCGACAATCTAGGAAAGACTAATCGCCAAACGTCGACATTTCCAAATGCTGCGTATATCAGTTTGATGAGTGTGTTTGTGGAAGCAAATACATATAAGTCGTACAGAAAGGTGATTGTCTATTCGCATGATGGAGCATTTGCCAAGTTGGTTGAAAACAGCTGAATACAAAGTGTCAGAGACCTCAATAACAAAGCATCTTGTGGATTACGGGCATGATATCGACGCAGTCAAGTCATTCACCACTGTCAGCAGACAAAGAAACAAGAAGATGCTTGCAATTGCAGAGGCTTGTGCAATTTGAGTTTACAAACCAGGTCTCTGTGTACAAAAGGAGATGGTCGTGACTCTGAATCTACCATGGTAATACGTTTCAGTTATTATTCTACCTCTTATTATTATTATCCTTGATTAATTTACAACTATCTTTTATCAGTAGCACTGTCTTAACTCACTTCAGGATTATTATTATCATTATCATTATTATTATCATAACTATTACCATTGATATCACTCAGTTCGCAGTTCCTGGTATATTCGCTAATGATTAATTGTTTATCTAAGTGATGTAATTGAAGCGTAATGCATTTTATCTTAATTTCAATCTGTTATACTACCTCTCCCCTTAACTATTTGAACATGAACTGGAAAACATTCGCACCTGTCTTTCTGCATGACTAATTCAATGTAGTTTATTCGCGTATCAGTCTTACATCTCCCAATGCAATTCCAATGGTATATTTATATATCCCCGTATGTAGAGTATTCAAGTGATGAGTTCTACTGAAATGGGATGAATTTTGAAGAGATGGTCAGATGATATCAAACGCCAGATCCCTGACTGGAACTCAAACGGAAAACGGTGATTTTTTCGTCCCATAGTGACACAGGAAAGATCATACAAAGAAGGAACATAGTAGGTAATGATGAAGCAAGTTAAAAAGGATGACATAAAACAAACTACCAAAGAGATATATTGCTAAAGTTCATTGTTCCACTCAGAACGAAAGGAACCAAAAAACAAAAACTGAGGGACCTGACAATCCTTGTCTCTATTCAAGTATTGGTTTGTAGGGATTTGATTGATTGGTTACAGGACTTCATCATGAGCTGACATCCGTTAGAGAACCATTGGAAAGCCACCGAGAAGCAGTGAATAGCTGTTTCAATCATCCTAGTTTGGGACTTCTCAGTTAGTGTGCACCCAACACCGACAGAGTTCGAACCCAGGACTGTCTGCTTACGAGGCAAGCTCGTAGACAACTGAGCCACTGGGACCCAATCCAACGCTCCATGAGTTCCAACTTCTGCCAAATCACAAAACTGCTGTTTAGTACTCCCCGGTGGTTTTCCAATGGTTCTCTAACTGATGTCAGCTCATGATGAAATCCTGTAACCTTGTCTTTATCTTCTACACAGCTACTATCTCACAGATTTGAAGTATTGGAACTGAATAATTTAAAATTAAATTTAATAACAGTATGAAACTTTAGCTTTTTAAATTTTCTGACAGAAAATATTAGACTCTTTTTGTCTAATTCTCCGCTTCGAACTTAATTTAACCAAAAATTGACAATTCATATTACATGTATGCATATTACATTACCTTGAAAAGACTTATATCAATCAAAGGACATATTGTTTCTGGACAGTGACCTTTTGAACCGATTGGACCAACAGGACCCTAAAATGCAAAGAAACAGACCGCGTGTTTTAGATAAACAAGAAGGAAATCAATAAAAACGCCATTTCATACATTTTTTGACTTTAGATTCATGACTGCGGAGGTCGCCTTAGCCGGTGATGATACAGTAATAATAATTAAATGACGTTTCATGCACAATTTGTTACTCATAATCATGTTTAGTCGTGGACTGATACCACTTAGAGAACCATTGGAAAACCTGGGAGCACTGAACGGCTGTTTCGTCAGACTGGTTCGGGACTCTTCACAGTACGCACCCACCATAATAGTTAGAACCCAGGGACTTCCAGTTGCAAGGCCAGCGAGCCCGGAGACCATTAAGCCGGTGGGACTCAGCCCAATGATCAATGAATTTCAACTTATGCCATTTCACAACAATTTACATTAACTTTAACTCCCTGATTGCGGTAGATTGGATGGTGTGACAGACAGCGGACAACAAGGAGACAGACAAAATTGACCCACATAAAAAGCTTAGGGGATCTGGAGTTCTCCGATGATATATGTCCGATTTCACACAAATTGGAAGATATGCAAGTGAAAAGCAACAAGTTGGCAGAAGAAGCATCCAGAGAAGATAGGACTTCAGGTGAACATAGAGGAAACAGAGTTAGGTGATGAAGATTCCTGGACAACAGCAAGAGCAACAACAAAAAACAACAGACATCAATAATGGGGAAGTATCGTTCCAACTACAGTCTGACGAATTTTAATGGCGATATCAAAATGCGACGATCGAGAAAGCAAGGTAAGCTTTCATTTCTCTCAAGTCTGTGTGGAGGTCGACAGCACTCAACATGAAAAATAAGATCCGGATTTTCAAACCCAATATCGAGTCAGTGCTACTATGCGTATCAGAGACTTGGCGCCGCGCCATGTCACGAAAGGTACATCGAACAAACTACAGACCTTCATCATCAGCTGTCTTCGCCCAATACTACTCAAGATCAGATGGCCGGCCAGAAAACATCAGCAACAGGGGTATCTGGGAGCGAATCAACCAGGAACCGATTGTGCAACAAATATGCAGGAAGAAATTGAGGTGGACTGGCCATACTCTGAGATAACAAACCATCAAGTGACATCACACGCCAGGTCATCACTCGAGTGGAACCTAACCGAATAGGAAGCGGCGAGTTGGTTGCCATTGCGAGGGGTGACATGGAGGAGGTCATGTGAAGAGGAGATGAAAGCGTATTGGCAGACGAGGAAGAAGGCAATGAAAACGCTGATAGAGAACCGAAGGCAATGGAGACGTTTGGCTGAAGCCTTATATTCCTCTAGGAAGTAAAGGAAGCAATGTTAATAATAATAATTAACTGAGACATCCCACACCATTTAAGGAATAACAAAAGCAAAATTATCTCATTTAACAAATTAATAATTCATTTAAAAATATTGATTACCTGCTGGCCGGTATCTCCTTTCGGTCCCTAAATTTGAGAAAATAAACAAGTAAATAACATGATAGCCTTACAACAGAAAACATTTTAGGCAAATTTTACTGTTTTCAGTAATTTTTTATCAAGCCTTACAATTACATAATAGGCATTTGATTACCAAGATGTTTAGAAGAAGTTCATGCATGTGAATGAGTGCTTAGAAACCAAGGTGATCTGTGATTTGTTGTTTCTGTAGCTGTTGGATTGATTTTCCGTGGTAGGATAGCTAGACCCACGAACAAACCTCTCCTACTTTCCGGGCTTAGGATCGTCTCGTTGACTTTTGAAAGGCCGTCGACAGCATCGACTGTGAAGTCACTTGGAAACAGATTCAATACTATGAAATGACTCAAAACTTATTAACCTCATTCAGCAATTAAATGATAATGTGACATTTTAAGTGATTAAGTGATTAAGACAGGCGTGAGACAAGGCTAATTTTACCGGTGATATTCCTGATTTCTGTAGACTAGATCATGCGGTAGATTGTGGGTAGGGGAAAGAAGGCAAGAAGACTGTAGAAGGTTTGGACGTCGACTACGACTTATCTGTTATGTCACATAACCTCGAAGAGCTACAGGGAAATACCAAGAAGGTGGCGGATCAGGCTGGTAGATAAGACTTAAAGTGAGCATAGAGGCAATGAAGATAACCACCCAACAACAACAAGCACCAATCCAGAAATTCAAACGAATTCACTTCTCCCACTTATTTGGCAATATCGTTTTAACCACATGACTCACGATTGAAGATATTAAAGGCAGGATCAAAATGGTGAGATAGACCTGTGGTGACAGCTGTCTGCTAGCCAAAATTGATAGACAGCAATTTATTTCAATGTTTACGTGCCGCATTGGGGTCAGGAGAGAAGACAAGAACAAAGCCTAATCTTGAGGAACTCAGCAACCAGTCACAGCAGACTTTGAGTGGGCGGATACAATTCGCAGATATATCACCGAACTGTTTAAGAAACGACAACAAAGAGATGACAGAATAACCTTCAGCAGGAAAACAACCAATCAGAAGATATTGCTTCTCTGCTAACAATAACACCAATAATAATGTACATAAAAATCTATAAATATCTCTTGGTTTTCTCAATAAACGATCTGTTGCCTGACCCTTGTCTTCTGTCGTTGCAAACCTCCTTCACTCTGAAAAATTAGTTTGGCAATTTACTGCGCTCGACATAAAGAACATGTCGTAGTTTCTATATTGTTCAGAGACTTCGAACTTCATAAAAAAATCCGTTTTTAACAGGATACTGCAGACTGTCGTTAACAACTACCCACTTTGCGCCATACTTAGGATCAGATAACCTGTAAGAAAGGATTCACAGAAAGTAACTCTACCAGACAGCGAACCAACTTAGAACCTCTGATGGAGAAGATTTATAGCTCAGGTGGATGATTTTGACGTAGTTGTGTTCTGTAAGCTGGATGGTTTATTTTACAAGTTTTCATTGCTGTAATCAGCAAAATCTTCAACGCATACTTCACTTCGATGAATTGAGCTTTTAGATTTTTCCGTGAGTTCCTAAGTCATCTCTGCTGGTGACCTTGGACTTGGTTGGTTGAAAACACACAAAGCAATCAATCGTGTTCAAGGTCAATTCACACAGAATTATACACTGAAGATGTTGTCTTGCAGGGCAATGAAAGCTTCGCAACCATAAACCAACCAGCTCAGAGAACACAAGTACATCAGCAACTTAGGACCTGCTGCTCAACAAAGATGCAGAAGGATATTCAGATGGACCAGACCTACATTGAACAGACCGCTGAGTTATATCACACAGCAGGCGGACCCACGAGTGGAATCTGAACGGGAACGGATGAGGTGGATGTGTGAAGATGACATGAAGGTGATTAACTGAGGGGGAAGTGAAAGCATATAGGTAATACTGAAGGCTTAAATGAGGGGGAACTGCCGAAGCATTTCGCTTCACCCAGAACTCACGGTACTATTAACAGTAATAGTGATAGTAATAATAATAATGACATCAGACAAAGAGAAAAATTTAATTTAATTTTAGATTCCCCTGTCAACTGATTGAACTGAAGTACTCAGTCTCAGGTTGACACGTCGGCTTCTTGTGCTGATGATTCGGCGATGTCTGAGCATGTAATGAGAGCGAGCACTTCGGTCCAATCAATCGACGGGAAAATCTAAAATTCAGCTAAATAATCAATATGACCAGTCGCACAAGAAAGAGGTGGCTCTCGCGGCCCCAGTGGTCTGGGGGATAACGCTTTCGCGTTTGGAACTATGGGCAATGGGTTCGAGCCCCGGTGGGAACATCATCACTCATTGGGGAATGCAGGTACATCTAGCTGGCAGACGAGTCCCAAATAGGACGATATGTGCATCCTGGATTCCACTGCTAGCCACCATCCCCCAATATAATTATAAAGAGAGACATTATTGCAAGTGTGGTGATATATGTGTATGCAGAAAGCATAAATATAAACAGGGTAAATTATATATGCACTTACAACATGGATAGTTACCATTTGTTGACTTTCACTCTATCGGTGAAGAAAAAGAGAAAGAATAATGAAGATGGCAAATAATTCAAAATTATTCATAAAAAATTTTAATACGACTGCTAATACGTAGACGTGATGATCAAATCAAACTAAGCAGTAGCGGAGATGAAAACTACTCGATTCCACTATACCTAGAGACAAAAGAATTCATCATAAAAAAAGGATATAAGTATAAAACTTGGCGATTGTGGTTGAGTATAACTGTATTATCGATAAAATTTTATTTTGATAAAGTCACACACTGTGTTGTTATACAGCAATGTTTACTGATGACCACAATACGTGTACAAACTACTGCTAATGATAATCATATCAAGTCAATCAAAAAAAGTTGAAGCAAAAAAAAATTTGATTGAAAATGGAGTCAAAACAATGAACAAGAGAGAAAGAGTAAATAAAAAAAAATGGACAAAATACAACAACGCAAAATAATGGAAAAGGATATAATGAAAAAAGAAATGACAGATTCGAGTAAAAAAAAATGAAAAACTTCAACAAAAATAATAAAAGAGAAGTATAATGCCATGCTCATAAGCTTGATATATATTCCACCTAAACTTCTAACGACCAATAAAAATGTCGGCCAAAGACACGGGGTAAATTCCCTCCTCATATTTCAAATTCAGAGACACGTGAAATCACGCAGGCACAGAAAAACACACAGCGACACCAAGTTTAACTGACAGAAAATAACTCGCAAAAACACAAAAAAGTAAACCAAAAAAAATGAAGAAAATTCCCACAAGTTCAAGAATTCCTTCACAATTTCTTATTTATCAAAAGCCTCACTAACAACACAAACAAGTTGTGTCCACTCACACAAGACTCATCAGTTCACGCACGCCAACAACTCATCACATCATATCCCATCTCATCTATACGCCATTCAATTGAAGTCAACTAAAATAACATCGACTCCTCACAGCCCATCCCACAAAATCCATCCCATTATAGATGGTCCCGTATCGTGTCGTCTCACACACTCACTCACTCACTCACACATCCCTTCTCATCACAAGCCTCACTGAGACCACCAACAAGTTGTGTCCACTCACACCAGCCTCATCAGTCCACACACGTAAACCTATCATCTCATCACATCTCATCTCAACTCTAATCAACTCAACCCATTTCTTTTCACCTCAACTCAACTAAAAGCATATCATCTAATCTCGTCCAATCCCTTCACATCACATCACATCACATCACATCACATCCCCTCCAATCCCATCCCATCTCGTCTTGTCTCATTCTCGACAAGACTTCCACTAAGCAAATGAATACACGGAGAAGCTCACCTGTCCATCTCCACCCGTCACCGTCTTCTTCCTAGCCTTGTCCACATCGCCAACAACACGATCATCGTCCGTCAACAAGTCACCCTCTTCGGAATCCTCCTTTCTCACACCTCCCACCACGCCTCCACCTCTCGACGATGCCCTGTCTTCTTCTTCACTTGACACCTGAAAGTGCAGAATACAAGACAGCCTGTCACCTTCATACACAACACAACACACCACAAAACAACACAACACAACTCCAAACAAATCCACACTACACCACTCAACACCACACCACAAAACATCACACCACCACACAATATTTCGCTTCACAGTGTCATCCTCCACTGTGTCACACCGAGAAATTCATTCCACCTACACGTTCATCGGCCAATTGGAAATGTCGGCCATCCACCGGGTGTCAATTCTATCCTCACATTTCTACTCCACGGACACGTCAATTCACCCAGTCTCACACACACCCACCCTCTCACAAGAAATAACTCACACACAAACACAAAAACACAGACTCCCACTCAAACTGACGTACATTCTCTCACGCTCACTCACTCACACCATCAATCACTCTCGGACTCACTCACAAACACAATCACTCACTCACTCACTCACACAGCCCTTCTCATCACAAGCCTCACTGAGACCACCAACAAGTTGTGTCCACTCACACCAGACTCATCAGTCCACACACGTAAACCTATCATCTCATCACATCTCATCTCAACTCAAATCAACTCAACCCATTTCTTTTCACCTCAACTCAACTAAAAGCATATCATCTAATCTCGTCCAATCCCTTCACATCACATCACATCACATCACATCACATCACATCACATCCCCTCCAATCCCATGCCATCTCGTCTTGTCTCATTCTCGACAAGACTTCCACTAAGCAAATGAATACACGGAGAAGCTCACCTGTCCATCTCCACCCGTCACCGTCTTCTTCCTAGCCTTGTCCACATCGCCAACAACACGATCATCGTCCGTCAACAAGTCACCCTCTTCGGAATCCTCCTTTCTCACACCTCCCACCACGCCTCCACCTCTCGACGATGCCCTGTCTTCTTCTTCACTTGACACCTGAAAGTGCAGAATACAAGACAGCCTGTCACCTTCATACACAACACAACACACCACAAAACAACACAACACAACTCCAAACAAATCCACACTACACCACTCAACACCACACCACAAAACATCACACCACCACACAATATTTCGCTTCACAGTGTCATCCTCCACTGTGTCACACCGAGAAATTCATTCCACCTACACGTTCATCGGCCAATTGGAAATGTCGGCCATCCACCGGGTGTCAATTCTCTCCTCACATCTCTACTCCACGGACACGTCAATTCACCCAGTCTCACACACACCCACCCTCTCACAAGAAATAACTCACACACAAACACAAAAACACAGACTCCCACTCAAACTGACGTCCATTCTCTCACGCTCACTCACTCACACCATCAATCACTCTCGGACTCACTCACAAACACAATCACTCACTCACTCACTCACTCACTCACACATCCCTTCTCATCACAAGCCTCACTGAGACCACCAACAAGTTGTGTCCACTCACACCAGCCTCATCAGTCCACACACGTAAACCTATCATCTCATCTCATCTCATCTCAACTCAAATCAACTCAACCCATTTCTTTTCACCTCAACTCAACTAAAAACATATCATCTAATCTCATCCAATCCCTTCACATCACATCACATCACATCACATCACATCCCCTCCAATCCCATCCCATCTCGTCTTGTCTCATTCTCGACAAGACTTCCACTAAGCAAATGAATACACGGAGAAGCTCACCTGTCCATCTCCACCCGTCACCGTCTTCTTCCTAGCCTTGTCCACATCGCCAACAACACGATCATCGTCCGTCAACAAGTCACCCTCTTCGGAATCCTCCTTTCTCACACCTCCCACCACGCCTCCACCTCTCGACGATGCCCTGTCTTCTTCTTCACTTGACACCTGAAAGTGCAGAATACAAGACAGCCTGTCACCTTCATACACAACACAACACACCACAAAACAACACAACACAACTCCAAACAAATCCACACTACACCACTCAACACCACACCACAAAACATCACACCACCACACAATATTTCGCTTCACAGTGTCATCCTCCACTGTGTCACACCGAGAAATTCATTCCACCTACACGTTCATCGGCCAATTGGAAATGTCGGCCATCCACCGGGTGTCAATTCTCTCCTCACATTTCTACTCCACGGACACGTCAATTCACCCAGTCTCACACACACCCACCCTCTCACAAGAAATAACTCACACACAAACACAAAAACACAGACTCCCACTCAAACTGACGTCCATTCTCTCACGCTCACTCACTCACACCATCAATCACTCTCGGACTCACTCACAAACACAATCACTCACTCACTCACTCACACAGCCCTTCTCATCACAAGCCTCACTGAGACCACCAACAAGTTGTGTCCACTCACACCAGCCTCATCAGTCCACACACGTAAACCTATCATCTCATCTCACTCAACTCAAATCAACTCAACCCATTTCTTTTCACCTCAACTCAACTAAAAGCATATCATCTAATCTCGTCCAATCCCTTCACATCACATCACATCACATCACATCACATCCCCTCCAATCCCATCCCATCTCGTCTTGTCTCATTCTCGACAAGACTTCCACTAAGCAAATGAATACACGGAGAAGCTCACCTGTCCATCTCCACCCGTCACCGTCTTCTTCCTAGCCTTGTCCACATCGCCAACAACACGATCATCGTCCGTCAACAAGTCACCCTCTTCGGAATCCTCCTTTCTCACACCTCCCACCACGCCTCCACCTCTCGACGATGCCCTGTCTTCTTCTTCACTTGACACCTGAAAGTGCAGAATACAAGACAGCCTGTCACCTTCATACACAACACAACACACCACAAAACAACACAACACAACTCCAAACAAATCCACACTACACCACTCAACACCACACCACAAAACATCACACCACCACACAATATTTCGCTTCACAGTGTCATCCTCCACTGTGTCACACCGAGAAATTCATTCCACCTACACGTTCATCGGCCAATTGGAAATGTCGGCCATCCACCGGGTGTCAATTCTCTCCTCACATTTCTACTCCACGGACACGTCAATTCACCCAGTCTCACACACACCCACCCTCTCACAAGAAATAACTCACACACAAACACAAAAACACAGACTCCCACTCAAACTGACGTCCATTCTCTCACGCTCACTCACTCACACCATCAATCACTCTCGGACTCACTCACAAACACAATCACTCACTCACTCACTCACTCACACATCCCTTCTCATCACAAGCCTCACTGAGACCACCAACAAGTTGTGTCCACTCACACCAGCCTCATCAGTCCACACACGTAAACCTATCATCTCATCTCATCTCATCTCAACTCAAATCAACTCAACCCATTTCTTTTCACCTCAACTCAACTAAAAACATATCATCTAATCTCGTCCAATCCCTTCACATCACATCACATCACATCACATCACATCCCCTCCAATCCCATCCCATCTCGTCTTGTCTCATTCTCGACAAGACTTCCACTAAGCAAATGAATACACGGAGAAGCTCACCTGTCCATCTCCACCCGTCACCGTCTTCTTCCTAGCCTTGTCCACATCGCCAACAACACGATCATCGTCCGTCAACAAGTCACCCTCTTCGGAATCCTCCTTTCTCACACCTCCCACCACGCCTCCACCTCTCGACGATGCCCTGTCTTCTTCTTCACTTGACACCTGAAAGTGCAGAATACAAGACAGCCTGTCACCTTCATACACAACACAACACACCACAAAACAACACAACACAACTCCAAACAAATCCACACTACACCACTCAACACCACACCACAAAACATCACACCACCACACAATATTTCGCTTCACAGTGTCATCCTCCACTGTGTCACACCGAGAAATTCATTCCACCTACACGTTCATCGGCCAATTGGAAATGTCGGCCATCCACCGGGTGTCAATTCTCTCCTCACATTTCTACTCCACGGACACGTCAATTCACCCAGTCTCACACACACCCACCCTCTCACAAGAAATAACTCACACACAAACACAAAAACACAGACTCCCACTCAAACTGACGTCCATTCTCTCACGCTCACTCACTCACACCATCAATCACTCTCGGACTCACTCACAAACACAATCACTCACTCACTCACTCACACATCCCTTCTCATCACAAGCCTCACTGAGACCACCAACAAGTTGTGTCCACTCACACCAGCCTCATCAGTCCACACACGTAAACCTATCATCTCATCTCATCTCATCTCAACTCAAATCAACTCAACCCATTTCTTTTCACCTCAACTCAACTAAAAACATATCATCTAATCTCGTCCAATCCCTTCACATCACATCACATCACATCACATCACATCCCCTCCAATCCCATCCCATCTCGTCTTGTCTCATTCTCGACAAGACTTCCACTAAGCAAATGAATACACGGAGAAGCTCACCTGTCCATCTCCACCCGTCACCGTCTTCTTCCTAGCCTTGTCCACATCGCCAACAACACGATCATCGTCCGTCAACAAGTCACCCTCTTCGGAATCCTCCTTTCTCACACCTCCCACCACGCCTCCACCTCTCGACGATGCCCTGTCTTCTTCTTCACTTGACACCTGAAAGTGCAGAATACAAGACAGCCTGTCACCTTCATACACAACACAACACACCACAAAACAACACAACACAACTCCAAACAAATCCACACTACACCACTCAACACCACACCACAAAACATCACACCACCACACAATATTTCGCTTCACAGTGTCATCCTCCACTGTGTCACACCGAGAAATTCATTCCACCTACACGTTCATCGGCCAATTGGAAATGTCGGCCATCCACCGGGTGTCAATTCTCTCCTCACATTTCTACTCCACGGACACGTCAATTCACCCAGTCTCACACACACCCACCCTCTCACAAGAAATAACTCACACACAAACACAAAAACACAGACTCCCACTCAAACTGACGTCCATTCTCTCACGCTCACTCACTCACACCATCAATCACTCTCGGACTCACTCACAAACACAAACACAATCACTCACTCACTCACTCACTCACACATCCCTTCTCATCACAAGCCTCACTGAGACCACCAACAAGTTGTGTCCACTCACACCAGCCTCATCAGTCCACACACGTAAACCTATCATCTCATCTCATCTCATCTCATCTCATCTCAACTCAAATCAACTCAACCCATTTCTTTTCACCTCAACTCAACTAAAAACATATCATCTAATCTCGTCCAATCCCTTCACATCACATCACATCACATCACATCACATCCCCTCCAATCCCATCCCATCTCGTCTTGTCTCATTCTCGACAAGACTTCCACTAAGCAAATGAATACACGGAGAAGCTCACCTGTCCATCTCCACCCGTCACCGTCTTCTTCCTAGCCTTGTCCACATCGCCAACAACACGATCATCGTCCGTCAACAAGTCACCCTCTTCGGAATCCTCCTTTCTCACACCTCCCACCACGCCTCCACCTCTCGACGATGCCCTGTCTTCTTCTTCACTTGACACCTGAAAGTGCAGAATACAAGACAGCCTGTCACCTTCATACACAACACAACACACCACAAAACAACACAACACAACTCCAAACAAATCCACACTACACCACTCAACACCACACCACAAAACATCACACCACCACACAATATTTCGCTTCACAGTGTCATCCTCCACTGTGTCACACCGAGAAATTCATTCCACCTACACGTTCATCGGCCAATTGGAAATGTCGGCCATCCACCGGGTGTCAATTCTATCCTCACATTTCTACTCCACGGACACGTCAATTCACCCAGTCTCACACACACCCACCCTCTCACAAGAAATAACTCACACACAAACACAAAAACACAGACTCCCACTCAAACTGACGTCCATTCTCTCACGCTCACTCACTCACACCATCAATCACTCTCGGACTCACTCACAAACACAATCACTCACTCACTCACTCACACATCCCTTCTCATCACAAGCCTCACTGAGACCACCAACAAGTTGTGTCCACTCACACCAGCCTCATCAGTCCACACACGTAAACCTATCATCTCATCTCATCTCATCTCAACTCAAATCAACTCAACCCATTTCTTTTCACCTCAACTCAACTAAAAGCATATCATCTAATCTCGTCCAATCCCTTCACATCACATCACATCACATCACATCACATCCCCTCCAATCCCATCCCATCTCGTCTTGTCTCATTCTCGACAAGACTTCCACTAAGCAAATGAATACACGGAGAAGCTCACCTGTCCATCTCCACCCGTCACCGTCTTCTTCCTAGCCTTGTCCACATCGCCAACAACACGATCATCGTCCGTCAACAAGTCACCCTCTTCGGAATCCTCCTTTCTCACACCTCCCACCACGCCTCCACCTCTCGACGATGCCCTGTCTTCTTCTTCACTTGACACCTGAAAGTGCAGAATACAAGACAGCCTGTCACCTTCATACACAACACAACACACCACAAAACAACACAACACAACTCCAAACAAATCCACACTACACCACTCAACACCACACCACAAAACATCACACCACCACACAATATTTCGCTTCACAGTGTCATCCTCCACTGTGTCACACCGAGAAATTCATTCCACCTACACGTTCATCGGCCAATTGGAAATGTCGGCCATCCACCGGGTGTCAATTCTCTCCTCACATTTCTACTCCACGGACACGTCAATTCACCCAGTCTCACACACACCCACCCTCTCACAAGAAATAACTCACACACAAACACAAAAACACAGACTCCCACTCAAACTGACGTACATTCTCTCACGCTCACTCACTCACACCATCAATCACTCTCGGACTCACTCACAAACACAATCACTCACTCACTCACTCACTCACACATCCCTTCTCATCACAAGCCTCACTGAGACCACCAACAAGTTGTGTCCACTCACACCAGCCTCATCAGTCCACACACGTAAACCTATCATCTCATCTCAACTCAAATCAACTCAACCCATTTCTTTTCACCTCAACTCAACTAAAAGCATATCATCTAATCTCGTCCAATCCCTTCACATCACATCACATCACATCACATCACATCCCCTCCAATCCCATCCCATCTCGTCTTGTCTCATTCTCGACAAGACTTCCACTAAGCAAATGAATACACGGAGAAGCTCACCTGTCCATCTCCACCCGTCACCGTCTTCTTCCTAGCCTTGTCCACATCGCCAACAACACGATCATCGTCCGTCAACAAGTCACCCTCTTCGGAATCCTCCTTTCTCACACCTCCCACCACGCCTCCACCTCTCGACGATGCCCTGTCTTCTTCTTCACTTGACACCTGAAAGTGCAGAATACAAGACAGCCTGTCACCTTCATACACAACACAACACACCACAAAACAACACAACACAACTCCAAACAAATCCACACTACACCACTCAACACCACACCACAAAACATCACACCACCACACAATATTTCGCTTCACAGTGTCATCCTCCACTGTGTCACACCGAGAAATTCATTCCACCTACACGTTCATCGGCCAATTGGAAATGTCGACCATCCACCGGGTGTCAATTCTATCCTCACATTTCTACTCCACGGACACGTCAATTCACCCAGTCTCACACACACCCACCCTCTCACAAGAAATAACTCACACACAAACACAAAAACACAGACTCCCACTCAAACTGACGTACATTCTCTCACGCTCACTCACTCACACCATCAATCACTCTCGGACTCACAAACACAAACACAATCACTCACTCACTCACTCACACAGCCCTTCTCATCACAAGCCTCACTGAGACCACCAACAAGTTGTGTCCACTCACACCAGCCTCATCAGTCCACACACGTAAACCTATCATCTCATCTCAACTCAAATCAACTCAACCCATTTCTTTTCACCTCAACTCAACTAAAAGCATATCATCTAATCTCGTCCAATCCCTTCACATCACATCACATCACATCACATCACATCCCCTCCAATCCCATCCCATCTCGTCTTGTCTCATTCTCGACAAGACTTCCACTAAGCAAATGAATACACGGAGAAGCTCACCTGTCCATCTCCACCCGTCACCGTCTTCTTCCTAGCCTTGTCCACATCGCCAACAACACGATCATCGTCCGTCAACAAGTCACCCTCTTCGGAATCCTCCTTTCTCACACCTCCCACCACGCCTCCACCTCTCGACGATGCCCTGTCTTCTTCTTCACTTGACACCTGAAAGTGCAGAATACAAGACAGCCTGTCACCTTCATACACAACACAACACACCACAAAACAACACAACACAACTCCAAACAAATCCACACTACACCACTCAACACCACACCACAAAACATCACACCACCACACAATATTTCGCTTCACAGTGTCATCCTCCACTGTGTCACACCGAGAAATTCATTCCACCTACACGTTCATCGGCCAATTGGAAATGTCGACCATCCACCGGGTGTCAATTCTATCCTCACATTTCTACTCCACGGACACGTCAATTCACCCAGTCTCACACGCACCCACCCTCTCACAAGAAATAACTCACACACAAACACAAAAACACAGACTCCCACTCAAACTGACGTACATTCTCTCACGCTCACTCACTCACACCATCAATCACTCTCGGACTCACTCACAAACACAATCACTCACTCACTCACTCACTCACACAGCCCTTCTCATCACAAGCCTCACTGAGACCACCAACAAGTTGTGTCCACTCACACCAGCCTCATCAGTCCACACAAGTAAACCTATCATCTCATCACATCTCATCTCAACTCAAATCAACTCAACCCATTTCTTTTCACCTCAACTCAACTAAAAGCATATCATCTAATCTCGTCCAATCCCTTCACATCACATCACATCACATCACATCCCCTCCAATCCCATGCCATCTCGTCTTGTCTCATTCTCGACAAGACTTCCACTAAGCAAATGAATACACGGAGAAGCTCACCTGTCCATCTCCACCCGTCACCGTCTTCTTCCTAGCCTTGTCCACATCGCCAACAACACGATCATCGTCCGTCAACAAGTCACCCTCTTCGGAATCCTCCTTTCTCACACCTCCCACCACGCCTCCACCTCTCGACGATGCCCTGTCTTCTTCTTCACTTGACACCTGAAAGTGCAGAATACAAGACAGCCTGTCACCTTCATACACAACACAACACACCACAAAACAACACAACACAACTCCAAACAAATCCACACTACACCACTCAACACCACACCACAAAACATCACACCACCACACAATATTTCGCTTCACAGTGTCATCCTCCACTGTGTCACACCGAGAAATTCATTCCACCTACACGTTCATCGGCCAATTGGAAATGTCGGCCATCCACCGGGTGTCAATTCTATCCTCACATTTCTACTCCACGGACACGTCAATTCACCCAGTCTCACACACACCCACCCTCTCACAAGAAATAACTCACACACAAACACAAAAACACAGACTCCCACTCAAACTGACGTACATTCTCTCACGCTCACTCACTCACACCATCAATCACTCTCGGACTCACTCACAAACACAATCACTCACTCACTCACTCACACAGCCCTTCTCATCACAAGCCTCACTGAGACCACCAACAAGTTGTGTCCACTCACACCAGCCTCATCAGTCCACACACGTAAACCTATCATCTCATCTCAACTCAAATCAACTCAACCCATTTCTTTTCACCTCAACTCAACTAAAAGCATATCATCTAATCTCGTCCAATCCCTTCACATCACATCACATCACATCACATCACATCCCCTCCAATCCCATCCCATCTCGTCTTGTCTCATTCTCGACAAGACTTCCACTAAGCAAATGAATACACGGAGAAGCTCACCTGTCCATCTCCACCCGTCACCGTCTTCTTCCTAGCCTTGTCCACATCGCCAACAACACGATCATCGTCCGTCAACAAGTCACCCTCTTCGGAATCCTCCTTTCTCACACCTCCCACCACGCCTCCACCTCTCGACGATGCCCTGTCTTCTTCTTCACTTGACACCTGAAAGTGCAGAATACAAGACAGCCTGTCACCTTCATACACAACACAACACACCACAAAACAACACAACACAACTCCAAACAAATCCACACTACACCACTCAACACCACACCACAAAACATCACACCACCACACAATATTTCGCTTCACAGTGTCATCCTCCACTGTGTCACACCGAGAAATTCATTCCACCTACACGTTCATCGGCCAATTGGAAATGTCGATCATCCACCGGGTGTCAATTCTATCCTCACATTTCTACTCCACGGACACGTCAATTCACCCAGTCTCACACACACCCACCCTCTCACAAGAAATAACTCACACACAAACACAAAAACACAGACTCCCACTCAAACTGACGTACATTCTCTCACGCTCACTCACTCACACCATCAATCACTCTCGGACTCACTCACAAACACAATCACTCACTCACTCACTCACACAGCCCTTCTCATCACAAGCCTCACTGAGACCACCAACAAGTTGTGTCCACTCACACCAGCCTCATCAGTCCACACACGTAAACCTATCATCTCATCTCAACTCAAATCAACTCAACCCATTTCTTTTCACCTCAACTCAACTAAAAGCATATCATCTAATCTCGTCCAATCCCTTCACATCACATCACATCACATCACATCACATCCCCTCCAATCCCATGCCATCTCGTCTTGTCTCATTCTCGACAAGACTTCCACTAAGCAAATGAATACACGGAGAAGCTCACCTGTCCATCTCCACCCGTCACCGTCTTCTTCCTAGCCTTGTCCACATCGCCAACAACACGATCATCGTCCGTCAACAAGTCACCCTCTTCGGAATCCTCCTTTCTCACACCTCCCACCACGCCTCCACCTCTCGACGATGCCCTGTCTTCTTCTTCACTTGACACCTGAAAGTGCAGAATACAAGACAGCCTGTCACCTTCATACACAACACAACACACCACAAAACAACACAACACAACTCCAAACAAATCCACACTACACCACTCAACACCACACCACAAAACATCACACCACCACACAATATTTCGCTTCACAGTGTCATCCTCCACTGTGTCACACCGAGAAATTCATTCCACCTACACGTTCATCGGCCAATTGGAAATGTCGACCATCCACCGGGTGTCAATTCTATCCTCACATTTCTACTCCACGGACACGTCAATTCACCCAGTCTCACACACACCCACCCTCTCACAAGAAATAACTCACACACAAACACAAAAACACAGACTCCCACTCAAACTGACGTACATTCTCTCACGCTCACTCACTCACACCATCAATCACTCTCGGACTCACTCACAAACACAATCACTCACTCACTCACTCACTCACACAGCCCTTCTCATCACAAGCCTCACTGAGACCACCAACAAGTTGTGTCCACTCACACCAGCCTCATCAGTCCACACACGTAAACCTATCATCTCATCTCAACTCAAATCAACTCAACCCATTTCTTTTCACCTCAACTCAACTAAAAGCATATCATCTAATCTCGTCCAATCCCTTCACATCACATCACATCACATCACATCCCCTCCAATCCCATGCCATCTCGTCTTGTCTCATTCTCGACAAGACTTCCACTAAGCAAATGAATACACGGAGAAGCTCACCTGTCCATCTCCACCCGTTACCGTCTTCTTCCTAGCCTTGTCCACATCGCCAACAACACGATCATCGTCCGTCAACAAGTCACCCTCTTCGGAATCCTCCTTTCTCACACCTCCCACCACGCCTCCACCTCTCGACGATGCCCTGTCTTCTTCTTCACTTGACACCTGAAAGTGCAGAATACAAGACAGCCTGTCACCTTCATACACAACACAACACACCACAAAACAACACAACACAACTCCAAACAAATCCACACTACACCACTCAACACCACACCACAAAACATCACACCACCACACAATATTTCGCTTCACAGTGTCATCCTCCACTGTGTCACACCGAGAAATTCATTCCACCTACACGTTCATCGGCCAATTGGAAATGTCGACCATCCACCGGGTGTCAATTCTATCCTCACATTTCTACTCCACGGACACGTCAATTCACCCAGTCTCACACACACCCACCCTCTCACAAGAAATAACTCACACACAAACACAAAAACACAGACTCCCACTCAAACTGACGTACATTCTCTCACGCTCACTCACTCACACCATCAATCACTCTCGGACTCACTCACAAACACAATCACTCACTCACTCACTCACTCACACAGCCCTTCTCATCACAAGCCTCACTGAGACCACCAACAAGTTGTGTCCACTCACACCAGCCTCATCAGTCCACACACGTAAACCTATCATCTCATCTCAACTCAAATCAACTCAACCCATTTCTTTTCACCTCAACTCAACTAAAAGCATATCATCTAATCTCGTCCAATCCCTTCACATCACATCACATCACATCACATCCCCTCCAATCCCATGCCATCTCGTCTTGTCTCATTCTCGACAAGACTTCCACTAAGCAAATGAATACACGGAGAAGCTCACCTGTCCATCTCCACCCGTCACCGTCTTCTTCCTAGCCTTGTCCACATCGCCAACAACACGATCATCGTCCGTCAACAAGTCACCCTCTTCGGAATCCTCCTTTCTCACACCTCCCACCACGCCTCCACCTCTCGACGATGCCCTGTCTTCTTCTTCACTTGACACCTGAAAGTGCAGAATACAAGACAGCCTGTCACCTTCATACACAACACAACACACCACAAAACAACACAACACAACTCCAAACAAATCCACACTACACCACTCAACACCACACCACAAAACATCACACCACCACACAATATTTCGCTTCACAGTGTCATCCTCCACTGTGTCACACCGAGAAATTCATTCCACCTACACGTTCATCGGCCAATTGGAAATGTCGGCCATCCACCGGGTGTCAATTCTATCCTCACATTTCTACTCCACGGACACGTCAATTCACCCAGTCTCACACACACCCACCCTCTCACAAGAAATAACTCACACACAAACACAAAAACACAGACTCCCACTCAAACTGACGTACATTCTCTCACGCTCACTCACTCACACCATCAATCACTCTCGGACTCACTCACAAACACAATCACTCACTCACTCACTCACTCACACAGCCCTTCTCATCACAAGCCTCACTGAGACCACCAACAAGTTGTGTCCACTCACACCAGCCTCATCAGTCCACACACGTAAACCTATCATCTCATCTCATCTCATCTCAACTCTAATCAACTCAACCCATTTCTTTTCACCACAACTCAACTAAAAGCATATCATCTAATCTCGTCCAATCCCTTCACATCACATCACATCACATCACATCACATCCCCTCCAATCCCATGCCATCTCGTCTTGTCTCATTCTCGACAAGACTTCCACTAAGCAAATGAATACACGGAGAAGCTCACCTGTCCATCTCCACCCGTCACCGTCTTCTTCCTAGCCTTGTCCACATCGCCAACAACACGATCATCGTCCGTCAACAAGTCACCCTCTTCGGAATCCTCCTTTCTCACACCTCCCACCACGCCTCCACCTCTCGACGATGCCCTGTCTTCTTCTTCACTTGACACCTGAAAGTGCAGAATACAAGACAGCCTGTCACCTTCATACACAACACAACACACCACAAAACAACACAACACAACTCCAAACAAATCCACACTACACCACTCAACACCACACCACAAAACATCACACCACCACACAATATTTCGCTTCACAGTGTCATCCTCCACTGTGTCACACCGAGAAATTCATTCCACCTACACGTTCATCGGCCAATTGGAAATGTCGGCCATCCACCGGGTGTCAATTCTATCCTCACATTTCTACTCCACGGACACGTCAATTCACCCAGTCTCACACACACCCACCCTCTCACAAGAAATAACTCACACACAAACACAAAAACACAGACTCCCACTCAAACTGACGTACATTCTCTCACGCTCACTCACTCACACCATCAATCACTCTCGGACTCACTCACAAACACAATCACTCACTCACTCACTCACACAGCCCTTCTCATCACAAGCCTCACTGAGACCACCAACAAGTTGTGTCCACTCACACCAGCCTCATCAGTCCACACACGTAAACCTATCATCTCATCTCAACTCAAATCAACTCAACCCATTTCTTTTCACCTCAACTGAACTAAAAGCATATCATCTAATCTCGTCCAATCCCTTCACATCACATCACATCACATCACATCCCCTCCAATCCCATGCCATCTCGTCTTGTCTCATTCTCGACAAGACTTCCACTAAGCAAATGAATACACGGAGAAGCTCACCTGTCCATCTCCACCCGTCACCGTCTTCTTCCTAGCCTTGTCCACATCGCCAACAACACGATCATCGTCCGTCAACAAGTCACCCTCTTCGGAATCCTCCTTTCTCACACCTCCCACCACGCCTCCACCTCTCGACGATGCCCTGTCTTCTTCTTCACTTGACACCTGAAAGTGCAGAATACAAGACAGCCTGTCACCTTCATACACAACACAACACACCACAAAACAACACAACACAACTCCAAACAAATCCACACTACACCACTCAACACCACACCACAAAACATCACACCACCACACAATATTTCGCTTCACAGTGTCATCCTCCACTGTGTCACACCGAGAAATTCATTCCACCTACACGTTCATCGGCCAATTGGAAATGTCGATCATCCACCGGGTGTCAATTCTATCCTCACATTTCTACTCCACGGACACGTCAATTCACCCAGTCTCACACACACCCACCCTCTCACAAGAAATAACTCACACACAAACACAAAAACACAGACTCCCACTCAAACTGACGTACATTCTCTCACGCTCACTCACTCACACCATCAATCACTCTCGGACTCACTCACAAACACAATCACTCACTCACTCACTCACTCACACAGCCCTTCTCATCACAAGCCTCACTGAGACCACCAACAAGTTGTGTCCACTCACACCAGCCTCATCAGTCCACACAGGTAAACCTATCATCTCATCTCATCTCATCTCATCTCAACTCTAATCAACTCAACCCATTTCTTTTCACCACAACACAACTAAAAGCATATCATCTAATCTCGTCCAATCCCTTCACATCACATCACATCACATCACATCACATCCCCTCCAATCCCATGCCATCTCGTCTTGTCTCATTCTCGACAAGACTTCCACTAAGCAAATGAATACACGGAGAAGCTCACCTGTCCATCTCCACCCGTCACCGTCTTCTTCCTAGCCTTGTCCACATCGCCAACAACACGATCATCGTCCGTCAACAAGTCACCCTCTTCGGAATCCTCCTTTCTCACACCTCCCACCACGCCTCCACCTCTCGACGATGCCCTGTCTTCTTCTTCACTTGACACCTGAAAGTGCAGAATACAAGACAGCCTGTCACCTTCATACACAACACAACACACCACAAAACAACACAACACAACTCCAAACAAATCCACACTACACCACTCAACACCACACCACAAAACATCACACCACCACACAATATTTCGCTTCACAGTGTCATCCTCCACTGTGTCACACCGAGAAATTCATTCCACCTACACGTTCATCGGCCAATTGGAAATGTCGATCATCCACCGGGTGTCAATTCTATCCTCACATTTCTACTCCACGGACACGTCAATTCACCCAGTCTCACACACACCCACCCTCTCACAAGAAATAACTCACACACAAACACAAAAACACAGACTCCCACTCAATCTGACGTACATTCTCTCACGCTCACTCACTCACACCATCAATCACTCTCGGACTCACTCACAAACACAATCACTCACTCACTCACTCACTCACACAGCCCTTCTCATCACAAGCCTCACTGAGACCACCAACAAGTTGTGTCCACTCACACCAGCCTCATCAGTCCACACACGTAAACCTATCATCTCATCTCAACTCAAATCAACTCAACCCATTTCTTTTCACCTCAACTCAACTAAAAGCATATCATCTAATCTCGTCCAATCCCTTCACATCACATCACATCACATCACATCACATCCCCTCCAATCCCATCCCATCTCGTCTTGTCTCATTCTCGACAAGACTTCCACTAAGCAAATGAATACACGGAGAAGCTCACCTGTCCATCTCCACCCGTCACCGTCTTCTTCCTAGCCTTGTCCACATCGCCAACAACACGATCATCGTCCGTCAACAAGTCACCCTCTTCGGAATCCTCCTTTCTCACACCTCCCACCACGCCTCCACCTCTCGACGATGCCCTGTCTTCTTCTTCACTTGACACCTGAAAGTGCAGAATACAAGACAGCCTGTCACCTTCATACACAACACAACACACCACAAAACAACACAACACAACTCCAAACAAATCCACACTACACCACTCAACACCACACCACAAAACATCACACCACCACACAATATTTCGCTTCACAGTGTCATCCTCCACTGTGTCACACCGAGAAATTCATTCCACCTACACGTTCATCGGCCAATTGGAAATGTCGGCCATCCACCGGGTGTCAATTCTATCCTCACATTTCTACTCCACGGACACGTCAATTCACCCAGTCTCACACACACCCACCCTCTCACAAGAAATAACTCACACACAAACACAAAAACACAGACTCCCACTCAAACTGACGTACATTCTCTCACGCTCACTCACTCACACCATCAATCACTCTCGGACTCACTCACAAACACAATCACTCACTCACTCACTCACTCACACAGCCCTTCTCATCACAAGCCTCACTGAGACCACCAACAAGTTGTGTCCACTCACACCAGCCTCATCAGTCCACACACGTAAACCTATCATCTCATCTCATCTCATCTCAACTCTAATCAACTCAACCCATTTCTTTTCACCACAACTCAACTAAAAGCATATCATCTAATCTCGTCCAATCCCTTCACATCACATCACATCACATCACATCACATCCCCTCCAATCCCATGCCATCTCGTCTTGTCTCATTCTCGACAAGACTTCCACTAAGCAAATGGATACACGGAGAAGCTCACCTGTCCATCTCCACCCGTCACCGTCTTCTTCCTAGCCTTGTCCACATCGCCAACAACACGATCATCGTCCGTCAACAAGTCACCCTCTTCGGAATCCTCCTTTCTCACACCTCCCACCACGCCTCCACCTCTCGACGATGCCCTGTCTTCTTCTTCACTTGACACCTGAAAGTGCAGAATACAAGACAGCCTGTCACCTTCATACACAACACAACACACCACAAAACAACACAACACAACTCCAAACAAATCCACACTACACCACTCAACACCACACCACAAAACATCACACCACCACACAATATTTCGCTTCACAGTGTCATCCTCCACTGTGTCACACCGAGAAATTCATTCCACCTACACGTTCATCGGCCAATTGGAAATGTCGGCCATCCACCGGGTGTCAATTCTATCCTCACATTTCTACTCCACGGACACGTCAATTCACCCAGTCTCACACACACCCACCCTCTCACAAGAAATAACTCACACACAAACACAAAAACACAGACACCCACTCAAACTGACGTACATTCTCTCACGCTAACTCACTAACAACCATCAATCACTCTCGGACTCACTCACAACACAATCACTCACTCACTCACTCACACAGCCCTTCTCATCACAAGCCTCACTGAGACCACCAACAAGTTGTGTCCACTCACACCAGCCTCATCAGTCCACACACGTAAACCTATCATCTCATCTCAACTCAAATCAACTCAACCCATTTCTTTTCACCTCAACTCAACTAAAAGCATATCATCTAATCTCGTCCAATCCCTTCACATCACATCACATCACATCACATCACATCCCCTCCAATCCCATGCCATCTCGTCTTGTCTCATTCTCGACAAGACTTCCACTAAGCAAATGAATACACGGAGAAGCTCACCTGTCCATCTCCACCCGTCACCGTCTTCTTCCTAGCCTTGTCCACATCGCCAACAACACGATCATCGTCCGTCAACAAGTCACCCTCTTCGGAATCCTCCTTTCTCACACCTCCCACCACGCCTCCACCTCTCGACGATGCCCTGTCTTCTTCTTCACTTGACACCTGAAAGTGCAGAATACAAGACAGCCTGTCACCTTCATACACAACACAACACACCACAAAACAACACAACACAACTCCAAACAAATCCACACTACACCACTCAACACCACACCACAAAACATCACACCACCACACAATATTTCGCTTCACAGTGTCATCCTCCACTGTGTCACACCGAGAAATTCATTCCACCTACACGTTCATCGGCCAATTGGAAATGTCGGCCATCCACCGGGTGTCAACTCTCTCCTCACATTTCTACTCCACGGACACGTCAATTCACCCAGTCTCACACACACCCACCCTCTCACAAGAAATAACTCACACACAAACACAAAAACACAGACACCCACTCAAACTGACGTACATTCTCTCACGCTCACTCACTCACACCATCAATCACTCTCGGACTCACTCACAAACACAATCACTCACTCACTCACTCACTCACACAGCCCTTCTCATCACAAGCCTCACTGAGACCACCAACAAGTTGTGTCCACTCACACCAGCCTCATCAGTCCACACACGTAAACCTATCATCTCATCTCAACTCAAATCAACTCAACCCATTTCTTTTCACCTCAACTCAACTAAAAGCATATCATCTAATCTCGTCCAATCCCTTCACATCACATCACATCACATCACATCACATCACATCCCCTCCAATCCCATCCCATCTCGTCTTGTCTCATTCTCGACAAGACTTCCACTAAGCAAATGAATACACGGAGAAGCTCACCTGTCCATCTCCACCCGTCACCGTCTTCTTCCTAGCCTTGTCCACATCGCCAACAACACGATCATCGTCCGTCAACAAGTCACCCTCTTCGGAATCCTCCTTTCTCACACCTCCCACCACGCCTCCACCTCTCGACGATGCCCTGTCTTCTTCTTCACTTGACACCTGAAAGTGCAGAATACAAGACAGCCTGTCACCTTCATACACAACACAACACACCACAAAACAACACAACACAACTCCAAACAAATCCACACTACACCACTCAACACCACACCACAAAACATCACACCACCACACAATATTTCGCTTCACAGTGTCATCCTCCACTGTGTCACACCGAGAAATTCATTCCACCTACACGTTCATCGGCCAATTGGAAATGTCGGCCATCCACCGGGTGTCAATTCTATCCTCACATTTCTACTCCACGGACACGTCAATTCACCCAGTCTCACACACACCCACCCTCTCACAAGAAATAACTCACACACAAACACAAAAACACAGACTCCCACTCAAACTGACGTACATTCTCTCACGCTCACTCACTCACACCATCAATCACTCTCGGACTCACTCACAAACACAATCACTCACTCACTCACTCACTCACACAGCCCTTCTCATCACAAGCCTCACTGAGACCACCAACAAGTTGTGTCCACTCACACCAGCCTCATCAGTCCACACAGGTAAACCTATCATCTCATCTCATCTCATCTCATCTCAACTCTAATCAACTCAACCCATTTCTTTTCACCACAACTCAACTAAAAGCATATCATCTAATCTCGTCCAATCCCTTCACATCACATCACATCACATCACATCACATCCCCTCCAATCCCATGCCATCTCGTCTTGTCTCATTCTCGACAAGACTTCCACTAAGCAAATGGATACACGGAGAAGCTCACCTGTCCATCTCCACCCGTCACCGTCTTCTTCCTAGCCTTGTCCACATCGCCAACAACACGATCATCGTCCGTCAACAAGTCACCCTCTTCGGAATCCTCCTTTCTCACACCTCCCACCACGCCTCCACCTCTCGACGATGCCCTGTCTTCTTCTTCACTTGACACCTGAAAGTGCAGAATACAAGACAGCCTGTCACCTTCATACACAACACAACACACCACAAAACAACACAACACAACTCCAAACAAATCCACACTACACCACTCAACACCACACCACAAAACATCACACCACCACACAATATTTCGCTTCACAGTGTCATCCTCCACTGTGTCACACCGAGAAATTCATTCCACCTACACGTTCATCGGCCAATTGGAAATGTCGGCCATCCACCGGGTGTCAATTCTATCCTCACATTTCTACTCCACGGACACGTCAATTCACCCAGTCTCACACACACCCACCCTCTCACAAGAAATAACTCACACACAAACACAAAAACACAGACTCCCACTCAAACTGACGTACATTCTCTCACGCTCACTCACTCACACCATCAATCACTCTCGGACTCACTCACAAACACAATCACTCACTCACTCACTCACTCACTCACACAGCCCTTCTCATCACAAGCCTCACTGAGACCACCAACAAGTTGTGTCCACTCACACCAGCCTCATCAGTCCACACACGTAAAACTATCATCTCATCTCATCTCATCTCATCTCAACTCAAATCAACTCAACACATTTCTTTTCACCTCAACTCAACTAAAAACATATCATCTAATCTCGTCCAATCCCTTCACATCACATCACATCACATCACATCCCCTCCAATCCCATGCCATCTCGTCTTGTCTCATTCTCGACAAGACTTCCACTAAGCAAATGAATACACGGAGAAGCTCACCTGTCCATCTCCACCCGTCACCGTCTTCTTCCTAGCCTTGTCCACATCGCCAACAACACGATCATCGTCCGTCAACAAGTCACCCTCTTCGGAATCCTCCTTTCTCACACCTCCCACCACGCCTCCACCTCTCGACGATGCCCTGTCTTCTTCTTCACTTGACACCTGAAAGTGCAGAATACAAGACAGCCTGTCACCTTCATACACAACACAACACACCACAAAACAACACAACACAACTCCAAACAAATCCACACTACACCACTCAACACCACACCACAAAACATCACACCACCACACAATATTTCGCTTCACAGTGTCATCCTCCACTGTGTCACACCGAGAAATTCATTCCACCTACACGTTCATCGGCCAATTGGAAATGTCGGCCATCCACCGGGTGTCAATTCTATCCTCACATCTCTACTCCACGGACACGTCAATTCACCCAGTCTCACACACACCCACCCTCTCACAAGAAATAACTCACACACAAACACAAAAACACAGACTCCCACTCAATCTGACGTACATTCTCTCACGCTCACTCACTCACACCATCAATCACTCTCGGACTCACTCACAAACACAATCACTCACTCACTCACTCACTCACTCACTCACACAGCCCTTCTCATCACAAGCCTCACTGAGACCACCAACAAGTTGTGTCCACTCACACCAGCCTCATCAGTCCACACACGTAAACCTATCATCTCATCTCATCTCATCTCAACTCAAATCAACTCAACCCATTTCTTTTCACCTCAACTCAACTAAAAGCATATCATCTAATCTCGTCCAATCCCTTCACATCACATCACATCACATCCCCTCCAATCCCATGCCATCTCGTCTTGTCTCATTCTCGACAAGACTTCCACTAAGCAAATGAATACACGGAGAAGCTCACCTGTCCATCTCCACCCGTCACCGTCTTCTTCCTAGCCTTGTCCACATCGCCAACAACACGATCATCGTCCGTCAACAAGTCACCCTCTTCGGAATCCTCCTTTCTCACACCTCCCACCACGCCTCCACCTCTCGACGATGCCCTGTCTTCTTCTTCACTTGACACCTGAAAGTGCAGAATACAAGACAGCCTGTCACCTTCATACACAACACAACACACCACAAAACAACACAACACAACTCCAAACAAATCCACACTACACCACTCAACACCACACCACAAAACATCACACCACCACACAATATTTCGCTTCACAGTGTCATCCTCCACTGTGTCACACCGAGAAATTCATTCCACCTACACGTTCATCGGCCAATTGGAAATGTCGGCCATCCACCGGGTGTCAATTCTATCCTCACATTTCTACTCCACGGACACGTCAATTCACCCAGTCTCACACACACCCACCCTCTCACAAGAAATAACTCACACACAAACACAAAAACACAGACTCCCACTCAATCTGACGTACATTCTCTCACGCTCACTCACTCACACCATCAATCACTCTCGGACTCACAAACACAATCACACACTCACTCACTCACTCACTCACACAGCCCTTCTCATCACAAGCCTCACTGAGACCACCAACAAGTTGTGTCCACTCACACCAGCCTCATCAGTCCACACACGTAAACCTATCATCTCATCTCAACTCAAATCAACTCAACCCATTTCTTTTCAACTCAACTCAACTAAAAGCATATCATCTAATCTCGTCCAATCCCTTCACATCACATCACATCACATCACATCACATCCCCTCCAATCCCATGCCATCTCGTCTTGTCTCATTCTCGACAAGACTTCCACTAAGCAAATGAATACACGGAGAAGCTCACCTGTCCATCTCCACCCGTCACCGTCTTCTTCCTAGCCTTGTCCACATCGCCAACAACACGATCATCGTCCGTCAACAAGTCACCCTCTTCGGAATCCTCCTTTCTCACACCTCCCACCACGCCTCCACCTCTCGACGATGCCCTGTCTTCTTCTTCACTTGACACCTGAAAGTGCAGAATACAAGACAGCCTGTCACCTTCATACACAACACAACACACCACAAAACAACACAACACAACTCCAAACAAATCCACACTACACCACTCAACACCACACCACAAAACATCACACCACCACACAATATTTCGCTTCACAGTGTCATCCTCCACTGTGTCACACCGAGAAATTCATTCCACCTACACGTTCATCGGCCAATTGGAAATGTCGGCCATCCACCGGGTGTCAATTCTCTCCTCACATCTCTACTCCACGGACACGTCAATTCACCCAGTCTCACACACACCCACCCTCTCACAAGAAATAACTCACACACAAACACAAAAACACAGACTCCCACTCAATCTGACGTACATTCTCTCACGCTCACTCACTCACACCATCAATCACTCTCGGACTCACTCACAAACACAATCACTCACTCACTCACTCACTCACTCACTCACACAGCCCTTCTCATCACAAGCCTCACTGAGACCACCAACAAGTTGTGTCCACTCACACCAGCCTCATCAGTCCACACACGTAAACCTATCATCTCATCTCATCTCATCTCAACTCAAATCAACTCAACCCATTTCTTTTCACCTCAACTCAACTAAAAGCATATCATCTAATCTCGTCCAATCCCTTCACATCACATCACATCACATCCCCTCCAATCCCATGCCATCTCGTCTTGTCTCATTCTCGACAAGACTTCCACTAAGCAAATGAATACACGGAGAAGCTCACCTGTCCATCTCCACCCGTCACCGTCTTCTTCCTAGCCTTGTCCACATCGCCAACAACACGATCATCGTCCGTCAACAAGTCACCCTCTTCGGAATCCTCCTTTCTCACACCTCCCACCACGCCTCCACCTCTCGACGATGCCCTGTCTTCTTCTTCACTTGACACCTGAAAGTGCAGAATACAAGACAGCCTGTCACCTTCATACACAACACAACACACCACAAAACAACACAACACAACTCCAAACAAATCCACACTACACCACTCAACACCACACCACAAAACATCACACCACCACACAATATTTCGCTTCACAGTGTCATCCTCCACTGTGTCACACCGAGAAATTCATTCCACCTACACGTTCATCGGCCAATTGGAAATGTCGGCCATCCACCGGGTGTCAATTCTCTCCTCACATCTCTACTCCACGGACACGTCAATTCACCCAGTCTCACACACACCCACCCTCTCACAAGAAATAACTCACACACAAACACAAAAACACAGACTCCCACTCAATCTGACGTACATTCTCTCACGCTCACTCACTCACACCATCAATCACTCTCGGACTCACTCACAAACACAATCACTCACTCACTCACTCACAGCCCTTCTCATCACAAGCCTCACTGAGACCACCAACAAGTTGTGTCCACTCACACCAGCCTCATCAGTACACACACGTAAACCTATCATCTCATCTCAACTCAAATCAACTCAACCCATTTCTTTTCAACTCAACTGAACTAAAAGCATATCATCTAATCTCGTCCAATCCCTTCACATCACATCACATCACATCACATCACATCCCCTCCAATCCCATGCCATCTCGTCTTGTCTCATTCTCGACAAGACTTCCACTAAGCAAATGAATACACGGAGAAGCTCACCTGTCCATCTCCACCCGTCACCGTCTTCTTCCTAGCCTTGTCCACATCGCCAACAACACGATCATCGTCCGTCAACAAGTCACCCTCTTCGGAATCCTCCTTTCTCACACCTCCCACCACGCCTCCACCTCTCGACGATGCCCTGTCTTCTTCTTCACTTGACACCTGAAAGTGCAGAATACAAGACAGCCTGTCACCTTCACACACAACACAACACACCACAAAACAACACAACACAACTCCAAACAAATCCACACTACACCACTCAACACCACACCACAAAACATCACACCACCACACAATATTTCGCTTCACAGTGTCATCCTCCACTGTGTCACACCGAGAAATTCATTCCACCTACACGTTCATCGGCCAATTGGAAATGTCGGCCATCCACCGAGTGTCAATTCTCTCCTCACATCTCTACTCCACGGACACGTCAATTCACCCAGTCTCACACACACCCACCCTCTCACAAGAAATAACTCACACACAAACACAAAAACACAGACTCCCACTCAAACTGACGTACATTCTCTCACGCTCACTCACTCACACCATCAATCACTCTCGGACTCACTCACAAACACAATCACACACTCACTCACTCACACAGCCCTTCTCATCACAAGCCTCACTGAGACCACCAACAAGTTGTGTCCACTCACACCAGCCTCATCAGTACACACACGTAAACCTATCATCTCATCTCAACTCAAATCAACTCAACCCATTTCTTTTCAACTCAACTGAACTAAAAGCATATCATCTAATCTCGTCCAATCCCTTCACATCACATCACATCACATCACATCACATCCCCTCCAATCCCATCCCATCTCGTCTTGTCTCATTCTCGACAAGACTTCCACTAAGCAAATGAATACACGGAGAAGCTCACCTGTCCATCTCCACCCGTCACCGTCTTCTTCCTAGCCTTGTCCACATCGCCAACAACACGATCATCGTCCGTCAACAAGTCACCCTCTTCGGAATCCTCCTTTCTCACACCTCCCACCACGCCTCCACCTCTCGACGATGCCCTGTCTTCTTCTTCACTTGACACCTGAAAGTGCAGAATACAAGACAGCCTGTCACCTTCATACACAACACAACACACCACAAAACAACACAACACAACTCCAAACAAATCCACACTACACCACTCAACACCACACCACAAAACATCACACCACCACACAATATTTCGCTTCACAGTGTCATCCTCCACTGTGTCACACCGAGAAATTCATTCCACCTACACGTTCATCGGCCAATTGGAAATGTCGGCCATCCACCGGGTGTCAATTCTATCCTCACATTTCTGCTCCACGGACACGTCAATTCACCCAGTCTCACACACACCCACCCTCTCACAAGAAATAACTCACACACAAACACAAAAACACAGACTCCCACTCAAACTGACGTACATTCTCTCACGCTCACTCACTCACACCATCAATCACTCTCGGACTCACTCACAAACACAATCACTCACTCACTCACTCACTCACACAGCCCTTCTCATCACAAGCCTCACTGAGACCACCAACAAGTTGTGTCCACTCACACCAGCCTCATCAGTCCACACACGTAAACCTATCATCTCATCTCAACTCAAATCAACTCAACCCATTTCTTTTCAACTCAACTGAACTAAAAGCATATCATCTAATCTCGTCCAATCCCTTCACATCACATCACATCACATCACATCCCCTCCAATCCCATGCCATCTCGTCTTGTCTCATTCTCGACAAGACTTCCACTAAGCAAATGAATACACGGAGGAGCTCACCTGTCCATCTCCACCCGTCACCGTCTTCTTCCTAGCCTTGTCCACATCGCCAACAACACGATCATCGTCCGTCAACAAGTCACCCTCTTCGGAATCCTCCTTTCTCACACCTCCCACCACGCCTCCACCTCTCGACGATGCCCTGTCTTCTTCTTCACTTGACACCTGAAAGTGCAGAATACAAGACAGCCTGTCACCTTCATACACAACACAACACACCACAAAACAACACAACACAACTCCAAACAAATCCACACTACACCACTCAACACCACACCACAAAACATCACACCACCACACAATATTTCGCTTCACAGTGTCATCCTCCACTGTGTCACACCGAGAAATTCATTCCACCTACACGTTCATCGGCCAATTGGAAATGTCGGCCATCCACCGGGTGTCAATTCTCTCCTCACATTTCTACTCCACGGACACGTCAATTCACCCAGTCTCACACACACCCACCCTCTCACAAGAAATAACTCACACACAAACACAAAAACACAGACTCCCACTCAAACTGACGTCCATTCTCTCACGCTCACTCACTCACACCATCAATCACTCTCGGACTCACTCACAAACACAATCACTCACTCACTCACTCACTCACACAGCCCTTCTCATCACAAGCCTCACTGAGACCACCAACAAGTTGTGTCCACTCACACCAGCCTCATCAGTCCACACACGTAAACCTATCATCTCATCTCAACTCAAATCAACTCAACCCATTTCTTTTCAACTCAACTGAACTAAAGGCATATCATCTAATCTCGTCCAATCCCTTCACATCACATCACATCACATCACATCCCCTCCAATCCCATCCCATCTCGTCTTGTCTCATTCTCGACAAGACTTCCACTAAGCAAATGAATACACGGAGAAGCTCACCTGTCCATCTCCACCCGTCACCGTCTTCTTCCTAGCCTTGTCCACATCGCCAACAACACGATCGTCGTCCGTCAACAAGTCACCCTCTTCGGAATCCTCCTTTCTCACACCTCCCACCACGCCTCCACCTCTCGACGATGCCCTGTCTTCTTCTTCACTTGACACCTGAAAGTGCAGAATACAAGACAGCCTGTCACCTTCATACACAACACAACACACCACAAAACAACACAACACAACTCCAAACAAATCCACACTACACCACTCAACACCACACCACAAAACATCACACCACCACACAATATTTCGCTTCACAGTGTCATCCTCCACTGTGTCACACCGAGAAATTCATTCCACCTACACGTTCTTCCGCCAATTGGAAATGTCGGCCATCCACCGAGTGTCAATTCTCTCCTCACATTTCTACTCCACGGACACGTCAATTCACCCAGTCTCACACACACCCACCCTCTCACAAGAAATAACTCACACACAAACACAAAAACACAGACTCCCACTCAAACTGACGTACATTCTCTCACGCTCACTCACTCACACCATCAATCACTCTCGGACTCACTCACAAACACAATCACTCACTCACTCACTCACACAGCCCTTCTCATCACAAGCCTCACTGAGACCACCAACAAGTTGTGTCCACTCACACCAGACTCATCAGTACACACACGTAATCCTATCATTTCATCTCATCTCATCTCAACTCAAATCAACTCAACCCATTTCTTTTCACCTCAACCCGAATAAATAGCTTTCATCTAATCCCTTCACATCACATCACATCACATCACATCCCCTCCAATCCCATGCCATCTCGTCTTGTCTCATTCTCGACAAGACTTCCACTAAGCAAATGAATACACGGAGAAGCTCACCTGTCCATCTCCACCCGTCACCGTCTTCTTCCTAGCCTTGTCCACATCGCCAACAACACGATCATCGTCCGTCAACAAGTCACCCTCTTCGGAATCCTCCTTTCTCACACCTCCCACCACGCCTCCACCTCTCGACGATGCCCTGTCTTCTTCTTCACTTGACACCTGAAAGTGCAGAATACAAGACAGCCTGTCACCTTCATACACAACACAACACACCACAAAACAACACAACACAACTCCAAACAAATCCACACTACACCACTCAACAGCACACAAAAAAAAAAAAAAAAAAAAAAAAATGTTACGAATCACAGTGTCATCCTCCACTGTGTCACACCGAGAAATTCATTCCACCTACACGTTCATCGGCCAATTGGAAATGTCGGCCATCCACCGGGTGTCAATTCTCTCCTCACATCTCTACTCCACGGACACGTCAATTCACCCAGTCTCACACACACCCACCCTCTCACAAGAAATAACTCACACACAAACACAAAAACACAGACTCCCACTCAAACTGACGTACATTCTCTCACGCTCACTCGCTCACACCATCAATCACTCTCGGACTCACTCACAAACACAAACACAATCACACACTCACTCACTCACTCACACAGCCCTTCTCATCACAAGCCTCACTGAGACCACCAACAAGTTGTGTCCACTCACACCAGCCTCATCAGTCCACACACGTAAACCTATCATCTCATCTCATCTCATCTCATCTCAACTCAAATCAACTCAACACATTTCTTTTCACCTCAACTCAACTAAAAACATATCATCTAATCTCGTCCAATCCCTTCACATCTCATCACATCACATCACATCACATCCCCTCCAATCCCATGCCATCTCGTCTTGTCTCATTCTCGACAAGACTTCCACTAAGCAAATGAATACACGGAGGAGCTCACCTGTCCATCTCCACCCGTCACCGTCTTCTTCCTAGCCTTGTCCACATCGCCAACAACACGATCATCGTCCGTCAACAAGTCACCCTCTTCGGAATCCTCCTTTCTCACACCTCCCACCACGCCTCCACCTCTCGACGATGCCCTGTCTTCTTCTTCACTTGACACCTGAAAGTGCAGAATACAAGACAGCCTGTCACCTTCATACACAACACAACACACCACAAAACAACACAACACAACTCCAAACAAATCCACACTACACCACTCAACACCACACAAAAAAAAAAAAAAAAAAAAAAAAATGTTTCGAATCACAGTGTCATCCTCCACTGTGTCACACCGAGAAATTCATTCCACCTACACGTTCATCGGCCAATTGGAAATGTCGGCCATCCACCGGGTGTCAATTCTCTCCTCACATTTCTACTCCACGGACACGTCAATTCACCCAGTCTCACACACACCCACCCTCTCACAAGAAATAACTCACACACAAACACAAAAACACAGACTCCCACTCAAACTGACGTACATTCTCTCACGCTCACTCGCTCACACCATCAATCACTCTCGGACTCACTCACAAACACAATCACTCACTCACTCACTCACTCACACATCCCTTCTCATCACAAGCCTCACTGAGACCACCAACAAGTTGTGTCCAATCACACCAGCCTCATCAGTACACACACGTAAACCTATCATCTCATCTCATCTCATCTCAACTCAAATCAACTCAACCCATTTCTTTTCACCTCAACCCGAATAAATAGCTTTCATCTAATCCCTTCACATCACATCACATCACATCACATCCCCTCCAATCCCATGCCATCTCGTCTTGTCTCATTCTCGACAAGACTTCCACTAAGCAAATGAATACACGGAGAAGCTCACCTGTCCATCTCCACCCGTCACCGTCTTCTTCCTAGCCTTGTCCACATCGCCAACAACACGATCATCGTCCGTCAACAAGTCACCCTCTTCGGAATCCTCCTTTCTCACACCTCCCACCACGCCTCCACCTCTCGACGATGCCCTGTCTTCTTCTTCACTTGACACCTGAAAGTGCAGAATACAAGACAGCCTGTCACCTTCATACACAACACAACACACCACAAAACAACACAACACAACTCCAAACAAATCCACACTACACCACTCAACACCACACCACAAAACATCACACCACCACACAATATTTCGCTTCACAGTGTCATCCTCCACTGTGTCACACCGAGAAATTCATTCCACCTACACGTTCATCGGCCAATTGGAAATGTCGGCCATCCACCGGGTGTCAATTCTCTCCTCACATTTCTACTCCACGGACACGTCAATTCACCCAGTCTCACACACACCCACCCTCTCACAAGAAATAACTCACACACAAACACAAAAACACAGACTCCCACTCAATCTGACGTACATTCTCTCACGCTCACTCACTCACACCATCAATCACTCTCGGACTCACAAACACAAACACAATCACTCACTCACTCACTCACTCACACAGCCCTTCTCATCACAAGCCTCACTGAGACCACCAACAAGTTGTGTCCACTCACACCAGCCTCATCAGTCCACACACGTAAACCTATCATCTCATCTCATCTCATCTCATCTCAACTCAAATCAACTCAACACATTTCTTTTCAACTCAACTGAACTAAAAGCATATCATCTAATCTCGTCCAATCCCTTCACATCACATCACATCACATCACATCCCCTCCAATCCCATCCCATCTCGTCTTGTCTCATTCTCGACAAGACTTCCACTAAGCAAATGAATACACGGAGAAGCTCACCTGTCCATCTCCACCCGTCACCGTCTTCTTCCTAGCCTTGTCCACATCGCCAACAACACGATCATCGTCCGTCAACAAGTCACCCTCTTCGGAATCCTCCTTTCTCACACCTCCCACCACGCCTCCACCTCTCGACGATGCCCTGTCTTCTTCTTCACTTGACACCTGAAAGTGCAGAATACAAGACAGCCTGTCACCTTCATACACAACACAACACACCACAAAACAACACAACACAACTCCAAACAAATCCACACTACACCACTCAACACCACACCACAAAACATCACACCACCACACAATATTTCGCTTCACAGTGTCATCCTCCACTGTGTCACACCGAGAAATTCATTCCACCTACACGTTCATCGGCCAATTGGAAATGTCGGCCATCCACCGAGTGTCAATTCTCTCCTCACATCTCCACTCCACGGACACGTCAATTCACCCAGTCTCACACACACCCACCCTCTCACAAGAAATAACTCACACACAAACACAAAAACACAGACTCCCACTCAAACTGACGTACATTCTCTCACGCTCACTCACTCACACCATCAATCACTCTCGGACTCACTCACAAACACAATCACTCACTCACTCACTCACTCACACATCCCTTCTCATCACAAGCCTCACTGAGACCACCAACAAGTTGTGTCCAATCACACCAGCCTCATCAGTACACACACGTAAACCTATCATCTCATCTCATCTCATCTCAACTCAAATCAACTCAACCCATTTCTTTTCACCTCAACTCAACTAAAAACATATCATCTAATCTCGTCCAATCCCTTCACATCACATCACATCACATCACATCACATCACATCCCCTCCAATCCCATGCCATCTCGTCTTGTCTCATTCTCGACAAGACTTCCACTAAGCAAATGAATACACGGAGAAGCTCACCTGTCCATCTCCACCCGTCACCGTCTTCTTCCTAGCCTTGTCCACATCGCCAACAACACGATCATCGTCCGTCAACAAGTCACCCTCTTCGGAATCCTCCTTTCTCACACCTCCCACCACGCCTCCACCTCTCGACGATGCCCTGTCTTCTTCTTCACTTGACACCTGAAAGTGCAGAATACAAGACAGCCTGTCACCTTCATACACAACACAACACACCACAAAACAACACAACACAACTCCAAACAAATCCACACTACACCACTCAACACCACACAAAAAAAAAAAAAAAAAAAAAAAAATGTTTCGAATCACAGTGTCATCCTCCACTGTGTCACACCGAGAAATTCATTCCACCTACACGTTCATCGGCCAATTGGAAATGTCGGCCATCCACCGGGTGTCAATTCTCTCCTCACATTTCTACTCCACGGACACGTCAATTCACCCAGTCTCACACACACCCACCCTCTCACAAGAAATAACTCACACACAAACACAAAAACACAGACTCCCACTCAATCTGACGTACATTCTCTCACGCTCACTCACTCACACCATCAATCACTCTCGGACTCACTCACAAACACAATCACTCACTCACTCACTCACACAGCCCTTCTCATCACAAGCCTCACTGAGACCACCAACAAGTTGTGTCCACTCACACCAGCCTCATCAGTCCACACACGTAAACCTATCATCTCATCACATCTCATCTCAACTCAAATCAACTCAACCCATTTATTTTCACCTCAACTCAACTAAAAGCATATCATCTAATCTCGTCCAATCCCTTCACATCTCATCACATCACATCACATCACATCCCCTCCAATCCCATGCCATCTCGTCTTGTCTCATTCTCGACAAGACTTCCACTAAGCAAATGAATACACGGAGAAGCTCACCTGTCCATCTCCACCCGTCACCGTCTTCTTCCTAGCCTTGTCCACATCGCCAACAACACGATCATCGTCCGTCAACAAGTCACCCTCTTCGGAATCCTCCTTTCTCACACCTCCCACCACGCCTCCACCTCTCGACGATGCCCTGTCTTCTTCTTCACTTGACACCTGAAAGTGCAGAATACAAGACAGCCTGTCACCTTCATACACAACACAACACACCACAAAACAACACAACACAACTCCAAACAAATCCATACTACACCACTCAACACCACACCACAAAACATCACACCACCACACAATATTTCGCTTCACAGTGTCATCCTCCACTGTGTCACACCGAGAAATTCATTCCACCTACACGTTCATCGGCCAATTGGAAATGTCGGCCATCCACCGGGTGTCAACTCTCTCCTCATATCTCTACTCCACGGACACGTCAATTCACCCAGTCTCACACACACCCACCCTCTCACAAGAAATAACTCACACACAAACACAAAAACACAGACTCCCACTCAAACTGACGTACATTCTCTCACGCTCACTCACTCACACCATCAATCACTCTCGGACTCACTCACAAACACTAACACAATCACACACTCACTCACTCACTCACTCACACAGCCCTTCTCATCACAAGCCTCACTGAGACCACCAACAAGTTGTGTCCACTCACACCAGACTCGTCAGTCCACACACGTAAACCTATCATCTCATCTCATCTCATCTCAATTGAAATCAACTCAACCCATTTCTTTACACCTCAACCCGAATAAATAGCTTTCATCTAATCCCTTCACATCACATCACATCACATCACATCCCCTCCAATCCCATGCCATCTCGTCTTGTCTCATTCTCGACAAGACTTCCACTAAGCAAATGAATACACGGAGAAGCTCACCTGTCCATCTCCACCCGTCACCGTCTTCTTCCTAGCCTTGTCCACATCGCCAACAACACGATCATCGTCCGTCAACAAGTCACCCTCTTCGGAATCCTCCTTTCTCACACCTCCCACCACGCCTCCACCTCTCGACGATGCCCTGTCTTCTTCTTCACTTGACACCTGAAAGTGCAGAATACAAGACAGCCTGTCACCTTCATACACAACACAACACACCACAAAACAACACAACACAACTCCAAACAAATCCACACTACACCACTCAACACCACACCACAAAACATCACACCACCACACAATATTTCGCTTCACAGTGTCATCCTCCACTGTGTCACACCGAGAAATTCATTCCACCTACACGTTCATCGGCCAATTGGAAATGTCGGCCATCCACCGGGTGTCAGTTCTCTCCTCACATCTCTACTCCACGGACACGTCAATTCACCCAGTCTCACACACACCCACCCTCTCACAAGAAATAACTCACACACAAACACAAAAACACAGACTCCCACTCAAACTGACGTACATTCTCTCACGCTCACTAACTCACACCATCAATCACTCTCGGACTCACTCACAAACACAATCACTCACTCACTCACTCACACAGCCCTTCTCATCACAAGCCTCACTGAGACCACCAACAAGTTGTGTCCACTCACACCAGCCTCATCAGTACACACACGTAAACCTATCATCTCATCTCAACTCAAATCAACTCAACCCATTTCATTTCACCTCAACGCAAGTAAATAGCTTTCATCTAATCCCTTCACATCACATCACATCACATCACATCCCCTCCAATCCCATGCCATCTCGTCTTGTCTCATTCTCGACAAGACTTCCACTAAGCAAATGAATACACGGAGAAGCTCACCTGTCCATCTCCACCCGTCACCGTCTTCTTCCTAGCCTTGTCCACATCGCCAACAACACGATCATCGTCCGTCAACAAGTCACCCTCTTCGGAATCCTCCTTTCTCACACCTCCCACCACGCCTCCACCTCTCGACGATGCCCTGTCTTCTTCTTCACTTGACACCTGAAAGTGCAGAATACAAGACAGCCTGTCACCTTCATACACAACACAACACACCACAAAACAACACAACACAACTCCAAACAAATCCACACTACACCACTCAACACCACACCACAAAACATCACACCACCACACAATATTTCGCTTCACAGTGTCATCCTCCACTGTGTCACACCGAGAAATTCATTCCACCTACACGTTCATCGGCCAATTGGAAATGTCGGCCATCCACAGGGTGTCAACTCTCTCCTCATATCTCCACTCCACGGACACGTCAATTCACCCAGTCTCACACACACCCACCCTCTCACAAGAAATAACTCACACACAAACACAAAAACACAGACTCCCACTCAAACTGACGTACATTCTCTCACGCTCACTCGCTCACACCATCAATCACTCTCGGACTCACTCACAAACACAAACACAATCACACACTCACTCACTCACTCACACAGCCCTTCTCATCACAAGCCTCACTGAGACCACCAACAAGTTGTGTCCACTCACACCAGCCTCATCAGTCCACACACGTAAACCTATCATCCCATCTCAACTCAAATCAACTCAACCCATTTCTTTTCACCTCAACTCAACTAAAAGCATATCATCTAATCTCGTCCAATCCCTTCACATCACATCACATCACATCACATCACATCCCCTCCAATCCCATGCCATCTCGTCTTGTCTCATTCTCGACAAGACTTCCACTAAGCAAATGAATACACGGAGAAGCTCACCTGTCCATCTCCACCCGTCACCGTCTTCTTCCTAGCCTTGTCCACATCGCCAACAACACGATCATCGTCCGTCAACAAGTCACCCTCTTCGGAATCCTCCTTTCTCACACCTCCCACCACGCCTCCACCTCTCGACGATGCCCTGTCTTCTTCTTCACTTGACACCTGAAAGTGCAGAATACAAGACAGCCTGTCACCTTCATACACAACACAACACACCACAAAACAACACAACACAACTCCAAACAAATCCACACTACACCACTCAACACCACACCACAAAACATCACACCACCACACAATATTTCGCTTCACAGTGTCATCCTCCACTGTGTCACACCGAGAAATTCATTCCACCTACACGTTCATCGGCCAATTGGAAATGTCGGCCATCCACCGAGTGTCAATTCTCTCCTCACATTTCTACTCCACGGACACGTCAATTCACCCAGTCTCACACACACCCACCCTCTCACAAGAAATAACTCACACACAAACACAAAAACACAGACTCCCACTCAAACTGACGTACATTCTCTCACGCTCACTCGCTCACACCATCAATCACTCTCGGACTCACTCACAAACACAAACACAATCACACACTCACTCACTCACTCACACAGCCCTTCTCATCACAAGCCTCACTGAGACCACCAACAAGTTGTGTCCACTAACACCAGACTCATCAGTCCACACACGTAAACCTATCATCTCATCACATCTCATCTCAACTCAAATCAACTCAACCCATTTCTTTTCACCTCAACTCAACTAAAAGCATATCATCTAATCTCGTCCAATCCCTTCACATCTCATCACATCACATCACATCACATCCCCTCCAATCCCATGCCATCTCGTCTTGTCTCATTCTCGACAAGACTTCCACTAAGCAAATGAATACACGGAGAAGCTCACCTGTCCATCTCCACCCGTCACCGTCTTCTTCCTAGCCTTGTCCACATCGCCAACAACACGATCATCGTCCGTCAACAAGTCACCCTCTTCGGAATCCTCCTTTCTCACACCTCCCACCACGCCTCCACCTCTCGACGATGCCCTGTCTTCTTCTTCACTTGACACCTGAAAGTGCAGAATACAAGACAGCCTGTCACCTTCATACACAACACAACACACCACAAAACAACACAACACAACTCCAAACAAATCCACACTACACCACTCAACACCACACCACAAAACATCACACCACCACACAATATTTCGCTTCACAGTGTCATCCTCCACTGTGTCACACCGAGAAATTCATTCCACCTACACGTTCTTCGGCCAATTGGAAATGTCGGCCATCCACCGAGTGTCAATTCTCTCCTCATATTTCTACTCCACGGACACGTCAATTCACCCAGTCTCACACACACCCACCCTCTCACAAGAAATAACTCACACACAAACACAAAAACACAGACTCCCACTCAAACTGACGTACATTCTCTCACGCTCACTCGCTCACACCATCAATCACTCTCGGACTCACTCACAAACACAAACACAATCACACACTCACTCACTCACTCACACAGCCCTTCTCATCACAAGCCTCACTGAGACCACCAACAAGTTGTGTCCACTCACACCAGCCTCATCAGTACACACACGTAAACCTATCATCTCATCTCATCTCATCTCAACTCAAATCAACTCAACACATTTCTTTTCACCTCAACTCAACTAAAAACATATCATCTAATCTCGTCCAATCCCTTCACATCTCATCACATCACATCACATCACATCCCCTCCAATCCCATGCCATCTCGTCTTGTCTCATTCTCGACAAGACTTCCACTAAGCAAATGAATACACGGAGAAGCTCACCTGTCCATCTCCACCCGTCACCGTCTTCTTCCTAGCCTTGTCCACATCGCCAACAACACGATCATCGTCCGTCAACAAGTCACCCTCTTCGGAATCCTCCTTTCTCACACCTCCCACCACGCCTCCACCTCTCGACGATGCCCTGTCTTCTTCTTCACTTGACACCTGAAAGTGCAGAATACAAGACAGCCTGTCACCTTCATACACAACACAACACACAACAAAACAACACAACACAACTCCAAACAAATCCACACTACACCACTCAACACCACACAAAAAAAAAAAAAAAAAAAAAAAAATATTTTGAATCACAGTGTCATCCTCCACTGTGTCACACCGAGAAATTCATTCCACCTACACGTTCATCGGCCAATTGGAAATGTCGGCCATCCACCGAGTGTCAATTCTCTCCTCACATCTCTACTCCACGGACACGTCAATTCACCCAGTCTCACACACACCCACCCTCTCACAAGAAATAACTCACACACAAACACAAAAACACAGACTCCCACTCAAACTGACGTACATACTCTCACGCTCACTCGCTCACACCATCAATCACTCTCGGACTCACTCACAAACACAAACACAATCACACACTCACTCACTCACTCACACAGCCCTTCTCATCACAAGCCTCACTGAGACCACCAACAAGTTGTGTCCACTCACACCAGACTCATCAGTCCACACACGTAAACCTATCATCTCATCTCATCTCATCTCAACTGAAATCAACTCAACACATTTCTTTTCACCTCAACTCAACTAAAAACATATCATCTAATCTCGTCCAATCCCTTCACATCACATCACATCACATCACATCCCCTCCAATCCCATGCCATCTCGTCTTGTCTCATTCTCGACAAGACTTCCACTAAGCAAATGAATACACGGAGAAGCTCACCTGTCCATCTCCACCCGTCACCGTCTTCTTCCTAGCCTTGTCCACATCGCCAACAACACGATCGTCGTCCGTCAACAAGTCACCCTATTCGGAATCCTCCTTTCTCACACCTCCCACCATGCCTCCACCTCTCGACGATGCCCTGTCTTCTTCTTCACTTGACACCTGAAAGTGCAGAATACAAGACAGCCTGTCACCTTCATACACAACACAACACACCACAAAACAACACAACACAAATCCAAACAAATCCACACTACACCACTCAACACCACACCACAAAACATCACACCACCACACAATATTTCGCTTCACAGTGTCATCCTCCACTGTGTCACACCGAGAAATTCATTCCACCTACACGTTCATCGGCCAATTGCAAATGTCGGCCATCCACCGAGTGTCAATTCTCTCCTCACATTTCTACTCCACGGACACGTCAATTCACCCAGTCTCACACACACCCACCCTCTCACAAGAAATAACTCACACACAAACACAAAAACACAGACTCCCACTCAAACTGACGTACATACTCTCACGCTCACTCACTCACACCATCAATCACTCTCGGACTCACTCACAAACACAAACACAATCACACACTCACTCACTCACTCACACAGCCCTTCTCATCACAAGCCTCACTGAGACCACCAACAAGTTGTGTCCACTCACACCAGCCTCATCAGTCCACACACGTAAACCTATCATCTCATCACATCTCATCTCAACTCAAATCAACTCAACCCATTTCTTTTCACCTCAACTCAACTAAAAGCATATCATCTAATCTCGTCCAATCCCTTCACATCACATCACATCACATCACATCACATCCCCTCCAATCCCATGCCATCTCGTCTTGTCTCATTCTCGACAAGACTTCCACTAAGCAAATGAATACACGGAGAAGCTCACCTGTCCATCTCCACCCGTCACCGTCTTCTTCCTAGCCTTGTCCACATCGCCAACAACACGATCATCGTCCGTCAACAAGTCACCCTCTTCGGAATCCTCCTTTCTCACACCTCCCACCACGCCTCCACCTCTCGACGATGCCCTGTCTTCTTCTTCACTTGACACCTGAAAGTGCAGAATACAAGACAGCCTGTCACCTTCATACACAACACAACACACCACAAAACAACACAACACAACTCCAAACAAATCCACACTACACCACTCAACACCACACCACAAAACATCACACCACCACACAATATTTCGCTTCACAGTGTCATCCTCCACTGTGTCACACCGAGAAATTCATTCCACCTACACGTTCATCGGCCAATTGGAAATGTCGGCCATCCACCGAGTGTCAATTCTCTCCTCACATTTCTACTCCACGGACACGTCAATTCACCCAGTCTCCCACACACCCACCCTCTCACAAGAAATAACTCACACACAAACACAAAAACACAGACTCCCACTCAAACTGACGTACATTCTCTCACGCTCACTCACTCACACCATCAATCACTCTCGGACTCACTCACAAACACAAACACAATCACACACTCACTCACTCACTCACACAGCCCTTCTCATCACAAGCCTCACTGAGACCACCAACAAGTTGTGTCCACTCACACCAGCCTCATCAGTCCACACACGTAAACCTATCATCTCATCACATCTCATCTCAACTCAAATCAACTCAACCCATTTATTTTCACCTCAACTCAACTAAAAGCATATCATCTAATCTCGTCCAATCCCTTCACATCTCATCACATCACATCACATCACATCCCCTCCAATCCCATGCCATCTCGTCTTGTCTCATTCTCGACAAGACTTCCACTAAGCAAATGAATACACGGAGAAGCTCACCTGTCCATCTCCACCCGTCACCGTCTTCTTCCTAGCCTTGTCCACATCGCCAACAACACGATCATCGTCCGTCAACAAGTCACCCTCTTCGGAATCCTCCTTTCTCACACCTCCCACCACGCCTCCACCTCTCGACGATGCCCTGTCTTCTTCTTCACTTGACACCTGAAAGTGCAGAATACAAGACAGCCTGTCACCTTCATACACAACACAACACACCACAAAACAACACAACACAACTCCAAACAAATCCACACTACACCACTCAACACCACACCACAAAACATCACACCACCACACAATATTTCGCTTCACAGTGTCATCCTCCACTGTGTCACACCGAGAAATTCATTCCACCTACACGTTCATCGGCCAATTGCAAATGTCGGCCATCCACCGGGTGTCAACTCTCTCCTCACATCTCTACTCCACGGACACGTCAATTCACCCAGTCTCACACACACCCACCCTCTCACAAGAAATAACTCACACACAAACACAAAAACACAGACTCCCACTCAAACTGACGTACATTCTCTCACGCTCACTCACTCACACCATCAATCACTCTCGGACTCACTCACAAACACAAACACAATCACACACTCACTCACTCACTCACACAGCCCTTCTCATCACAAGCCTCACTGAGACCACCAACAAGTTGTGTCCACTCACACCAGCCTCATCAGTCCACACACGTAAACCTATCATCTCATCACAACTCATCTCAACTCAAATCAACTCAACACATTTCTTTTCACCTCAACTCAACTAAAAACATATCATCTAATCTCGTCCAATCCCTTCACATCTCATCACATCACATCACATCACATCCCCTCCAATCCCATGCCATCTCGTCTTGTCTCATTCTCGACAAGACTTCCACTAAGCAAATGAATACACGGAGAAGCTCACCTGTCCATCTCCACCCGTCACCGTCTTCTTCCTAGCCTTGTCCACATCGCCAACAACACGATCATCGTCCGTCAACAAGTCACCCTCTTCGGAATCCTCCTTTCTCACACCTCCCACCACGCCTCCACCTCTCGACGATGCCCTGTCTTCTTCTTCACTTGACACCTGAAAGTGCAGAATACAAGACAGCCTGTCACCTTCATACACAACACAACACACCACAAAACAACACAACACAACTCCAAACAAATCCACACTACACCACTCAACACCACACCACAAAACATCACACCACCACACAATATTTCGCTTCACAGTGTCATCCTCCACTGTGTCACACCGAGAAATTCATTCCACCTACACGTTCATCGGCCAATTGCAAATGTCGGCCATCCACCGAGTGTCAATTCTCTCCTCACATTTCTACTCCACGGACACGTCAATTCACCCAGTCTCACACACACCCACCCTCTCACAAGAAATAACTCACACACAAACACAAAAACACAGACTCCCACTCAAACTGACGTACATTCTCTCACGCTCACTCACTCACACCATCAATCACTCTCGGACTCACTCACAAACACAATCACTCACTCACTCACTCACACAGCCCTTCTCATCACAAGCCTCACTGAGACCACCAACAAGTTGTGTCCACTCACACCAGCCTCATCAGTCCACACACGTAAACCTATCATTTCATCACATCTCATCTCAACTCAAATCAACTCAACCCATTTCTTTTCACCTCAACTCAACTAAAAGCATATCATCTAATCTCGTCCAATCCCTTCACATCACATCACATCCCCTCCAATCCCATGCCATCTCGTCTTGTCTCATTCTCGACAAGACTTCCACTAAGCAAATGAATACACGGAGAAGCTCACCTGTCCATCTCCACCCGTCACCGTCTTCTTCCTAGCCTTGTCCACATCGCCAACAACACGATCATCGTCCGTCAACAAGTCACCCTCTTCGGAATCCTCCTTTCTCACACCTCCCACCACGCCTCCACCTCTCGACGATGCCCTGTCTTCTTCTTCACTTGACACCTGAAAGTGCAGAATACAAGACAGCCTGTCACCTTCATACACAACACAACACACCACAAAACAACACAACACAACTCCAAACAAATCCACACTACACCACTCAACACCACACCACAAAACATCACACCACCACACAATATTTCGCTTCACAGTGTCATCCTCCACTGTGTCACACCGAGAAATTCATTCCACCTACACGTTCATCGGCCAATTGCAAATGTCGGCCATCCACCGGGTGTCAATTCTCTCCTCACATCTCTACTCCACGGACACGTCAATTCACCCAGTCTCACACACACCCACCCTCTCACAAGAAATAACTCACACACAAACACAAAAACACAGACTCCCACTCAATCTGACGTACATTCTCTCACGCTCACTCACTCACACCATCAATCACTCTCGGACTCACTCACAAACACAATCACTCACTCACTCACTCACACAGCCCTTCTCATCACAAGCCTCACTGAGACCACCAACAAGTTGTGTCCACTAACACCAGACTCATCAGTCCACACACGTAAACCTATCATCTCATCACATCTCATCTCAACTCAAATCAACTCAACCCATTTCTTTTCAACTCAACTGAACTAAAAGCATATCATCTAATCTCGTCCAATCCCTTCACATCACATCACATCACATCACATCCCCTCCAATCCCATGCCATCTCGTCTTGTCTCATTCTCGACAAGACTTCCACTAAGCAAATGAATACACGGAGAAGCTCACCTGTCCATCTCCACCCGTCACCGTCTTCTTCCTAGCCTTGTCCACATCGCCAACAACACGATCATCGTCCGTCAACAAGTCACCCTCTTCGGAATCCTCCTTTCTCACACCTCCCACCACGCCTCCACCTCTCGACGATGCCCTGTCTTCTTCTTCACTTGACACCTGAAAGTGCAGAATACAAGACAGCCTGTCACCTTCACACACAACACAACACACCACAAAACAACACAACACAACTCCAAACAAATCCACACTACACCACTCAACACCACACCACAAAACATCACACCACCACACAATATTTCGCTTCACAGTGTCATCCTCCACTGTGTCACACCGAGAAATTCATTCCACCTACACGTTCATCGGCCAATTGCAAATGTCGGCCATCCACCGGGTGTCAATTCTCTCCTCACATTTCTACTCCACGGACACGTCAATTCACCCAGTCTCACACACACCCACCCTCTCACAAGAAATAACTCACACACAAACACAAAAACACAGACTCCCACTCAAACTGACGTACATTCTCTCACGCTCACTCACTCACACCATCAATCACTCTCGGACTCACTCACAAACACAAACACAATCACACACTCACTCACTCACTCACACAGCCCTTCTCATCACAAGCCTCACTGAGACCACCAACAAGTTGTGTCCACTAACACCAGACTCATCAGTCCACACACGTAAACCTATCATCTCATCACATCTCATCTCAACTCAAATCAACTCAACCCATTTCTTTTCAACTCAACTGAACTAAAAGCATATCATCTAATCTCGTCCAATCCCTTCACATCACATCACATCACATCACATCCCCTCCAATCCCATGCCATCTCGTCTTGTCTCATTCTCGACAAGACTTCCACTAAGCAAATGAATACACGGAGAAGCTCACCTGTCCATCTCCACCCGTCACCGTCTTCTTCCTAGCCTTGTCCACATCGCCAACAACACGATCATCGTCCGTCAACAAGTCACCCTCTTCGGAATCCTCCTTTCTCACACCTCCCACCACGCCTCCACCTCTCGACGATGCCCTGTCTTCTTCTTCACTTGACACCTGAAAGTGCAGAATACAAGACAGCCTGTCACCTTCATACACAACACAACACACCACAAAACAACACAACACAACTCCAAACAAATCCACACTACACCACTCAACACCACACAAAAAAAAAAAAAAAAAAAAAAAAATGTTTCGAATCACAGTGTCATCCTCCACTGTGTCACACCGAGAAATTCATTCCACCTACACGTTCATCGGCCAATTGCAAATGTCGGCCATCCACCGAGTGTCAATTCTCTCCTCACATTTCTACTCCACGGACACGTCAATTCACCCAGTCTCACACACACCCACCCTCTCACAAGAAATAACTCACACACAAACACAAAAACACAGACTCCCACTCAAACTGACGTACATTCTCTCACGCTCACTCACTCACACCATCAATCACTCTCGGACTCACTCACAAACACAATCACACACTCACTCACTCACTCACACAGCCCTTCTCATCACAAGCCTCACTGAGACCACCAACAAGTTGTGTCCACTAACACCAGACTCATCAGTCCACACACGTAAACCTATCATCTCATCACATCTCATCTCAACTCAAATCAACTCAACCCATTTCTTTTCAACTCAACTGAACTAAAAGCATATCATCTAATCTCGTCCAATCCCTTCACATCACATCACATCACATCACATCCCCTCCAATCCCATGCCATCTCGTCTTGTCTCATTCTCGACAAGACTTCCACTAAGCAAATGAATACACGGAGAAGCTCACCTGTCCATCTCCACCCGTCACCGTCTTCTTCCTAGCCTTGTCCACATCGCCAACAACACGATCATCGTCCTTCAACAAGTCACCCTCTTCGGAATCCTCCTTTCTCACACCTCCCACCACGCCTCCACCTCTCGACGATGCCCTGTCTTCTTCTTCACTTGACACCTGAAAGTGCAGAATACAAGACAGCCTGTCACCTTCATACACAACACAACACACCACAAAACAACACAACACAACTCCAAACAAATCCACACTACACCACTCAACACCACACCACAAAACATCACACCACCACACAATATTTCGCTTCACAGTGTCATCCTCCACTGTGTCACACCGAGAAATTCATTCCACCTACACGTTCATCGGCCAATTGCAAATGTCGGCCATCCACCGGGTGTCAATTCTCTCCTCACATCTCTACTCCACGGACACGTCAATTCACCCAGTCTCACACACACCCACCCTCTCACAAGAAATAACTCACACACAAACACAAAAACACAGACTCCCACTCAAACTGACGTACATTCTCTCACGCTCACTCACTCACACCATCAATCACTCTCGGACTCACTCACAAACACAATCACTCACTCACTCACTCACACAGCCCTTCTCATCACAAGCCTCACTGAGACCACCAACAAGTTGTGTCCACTCACACCAGCCTCATCAGTCCACACACGTAATCCTATCATTTCATCTCATCTCATCTCAACTCAAATCAACTCAACCCATTTCTTTTCACCTCAACCCGAATAAATCGCTTTCATCTAATCCCTTCACAACACATCACATCACATCACATCCCCTCCAATCCCATGCCATCTCGTCTTGTCTCATTCTCGACGAGACTTCCACTAAGCAAATGAATACACGGAGAAGCTCACCTGTCCATCTCCACCCGTCACCGTCTTCTTCCTAGCCTTGTCCACATCGCCAACAACACGATCATCGTCCGTCAACAAGTCACCCTCTTCGGAATCCTCCTTTCTCACACCTCCCACCACGCCTCCACCTCTCGACGATGCCCTGTCTTCTTCTTCACTTGACACCTGAAAGTGCAGAATACAAGACAGCCTGTCACCTTCATACACAACACAACACACCACAAAACAACACAACACAACTCCAAACAAATCCACACTACACCACTCAACACCACACCACAAAACATCACACCACCACACAATATTTCGCTTCACAGTGTCATCCTCCACTGTGTCACACCGAGAAATTCATTCCACCTACACGTTCATCGGCCAATTGCAAATGTCGGCCATCCACCGGGTGTCAATTCTCTCCTCACATTTCTACTCCACGGACACGTCAATTCACCCAGTCTCACACACACCCACCCTCTCACAAGAAATAACTCACACACAAACACAAAAACACAGACTCCCACTCAAACTGACGTACATTCTCTCACGCTCACTCACTCACACCATCAATCACTCTCGGACTCACTCACAAACACAATCACTCACTCACTCACTCACACAGCCCTTCTCATCACAAGCCTCACTGAGACCACCAACAAGTTGTGTCCACTAACACCAGACTCATCAGTCCACACACGTAAACCTATCATCTCATCACATCTCATCTCAACTCAAATCAACTCAACCCATTTCTTTTCAACTCAACTGAACTAAAAGCATATCATCTAATCTCGTCCAATCCCTTCACATCACATCACATCACATCACATCACATCCCCTCCAATCCCATGCCATCTCGTCTTGTCTCATTCTCGACAAGACTTCCACTAAGCAAATGAATACACGGAGAAGCTCACCTGTCCATCTCCACCCGTCACCGTCTTCTTCCTAGCCTTGTCCACATCGCCAACAACACGATCATCGTCCGTCAACAAGTCACCCTCTTCGGAATCCTCCTTTCTCACACCTCCCACCACGCCTCCACCTCTCGACGATGCCCTGTCTTCTTCTTCACTTGACACCTGAAAGTGCAGAATACAAGACAGCCTGTCACCTTCATACACAACACAACACACCACAAAACAACACAACACAACTCCAAACAAATCCACACTACACCACTCAACACCACACCACAAAACATCACACCACCACACAATATTTCGCTTCACAGTGTCATCCTCCACTGTGTCACACCGAGAAATTCATTCCACCTATACGTTCATCGGCCAATTGCAAATGTCGGCCATCCACCGGGTGTCAATTCTCTCCTCACATCTCTACTCCACGGACACGTCAATTCACCCAGTCTCACACACACCCACCCTCTCACAAGAAATAACTCACACACAAACACAAAAACACAGACTCCCACTCAATCTGACGTACATTCTCTCACGCTCACTCACTCACACCATCAATCACTCTCGGACTCACTCACAAACACAATCACACACTCACTCACTCACTCACACAGCCCTTCTCATCACAAGCCTCACTGAGACCACCAACAAGTTGTGTCCACTCACACCAGCCTCATCAGTCCACACACGTAATCCTATCATTTCATCTCATCTCATCTCAACTCAAATCAACTCAACCCATTTCTTTTCACCTCAACCCGAATAAATCGCTTTCATCTAATCCCTTCACATCACATCACATCACATCACATCCCCTCCAATCCCATGCCATCTCGTCTTGTCTCATTCTCGACAAGACTTCCACTAAGCAAATGAATACACGGAGAAGCTCACCTGTCCATCTCCACCCGTCACCGTCTTCTTCCTAGCCTTGTCCACATCGCCAACAACACGATCATCGTCCGTCAACAAGTCACCCTCTTCGGAATCCTCCTTTCTCACACCTCCCACCACGCCTCCACCTCTCGACGATGCCCTGTCTTCTTCTTCACTTGACACCTGAAAGTGCAGAATACAAGACAGCCTGTCACCTTCATACACAACACAACACACCACAAAACAACACAACACAACTCCAAACAAATCCACACTACACCACTCAACACCACACAATGTTTCGAATCACAGTGTCATCCTCCACTGTGTCACACCGAGAAATTCATTCCACCTACACGTTCATCGGCTAATTGGAAATGTCGCCCATCCACCGGGTGTCAACTCTCTCCTCACATCTCCACTCCACGGACACGTCAATTCACCCAGTCTCACACACACCCACCCTCTCACAAGAAATAACTCACACACAAACACAAAAACACAGACTCCCACTCAAACTGACGTACATTCTCTCACGCTCACTCACTCACACCATCAATCACTCTCGGACTCACTCACAACACAAACAAAACCACACACTCAATCACTCACTCACTCACACAGCCCTTCTCATCACAAGCCTCACTGAGACCACCAACAAGTTGTGTCCACTCACACCAGCCTCATCAGTACACACACGTAAACCTATCATCTCATCTCACCTCATCTCAACTCAAATCAACTCAACACATTTCTTTTCACCTCAACTCAACTAAAAACATATCATCTAATCTCGTCCAATCCCTTCACATCTCATCACATCACATCACATCCCCTCCAATCCCATGCCATCTCGTCTTGTCTCATTCTCGACAAGACTTCCACTAAGCAAATGAATACACGGAGAAGCTCACCTGTCCATCTCCACCCGTCACCGTCTTCTTCCTAGCCTTGTCCACATCGCCAACAACACGATCATCGTCCGTCAACAAGTCACCCTCTTCGGAATCCTCCTTTCTCACACCTCCCACCACGCCTCCACCTCTCGACGATGCCCTGTCTTCTTCTTCACTTGACACCTGAAAGTGCAGAATACAAGACAGCCTGTCACCTTCATACACAACACAACACACCACAAAACAACACAACACAACTCCAAACAAATCCACACTACACCACTCAACACCACACCACAAAACATCACACCACCACACAATATTTCGCTTCACAGTGTCATCCTCCACTGTGTCACACCGAGAAATTCATTCCACCTACACGTTCATCGGCCAATTGGAAATGTCGGCCATCCACCGAGTGTCAATTCTCTCCTCACATCTCTACTCCACGGACACGTCAATTCACCCAGTCTCACACACACCCACCCTCTCACAAGAAATAACTCACACACAAACACGAAAACACAGACTCCCACTCAAACTGACGTACATTCTCTCACGCTCACTCACTCACACCATCAATCACTCTCGGACTCACCCACAAACACAAACACAATCACACACTCACTCACTCACTCACACAGCCCTTCTCATCACAAGCCTCACTGAGACCACCAACAAGTTGTGTCCACTCACACCAGCCTCATCAGTACACACACGAAAACCTATCATCTCATCTCAAGTCAAATCAACTCAACCCATTTCATTTCACCTCAACCCAAGTAAATAGCTTTCATCCAATCCCTTCACATCACATCACATCACATCACATCACATCCCCTCCAATCCCATGCCATCTCGTCTTGTCTCATTCTCGACAAGACTTCCACTAAGCAAATGAATACACGGAGAAGCTCACCTGTCCATCTCCACCCGTCACCGTCTTCTTCCTAGCCTTGTCCACATCGCCAACAACACGATCATCGTCCGTCAACAAGTCACCCTCTTCGGAATCCTCCTTTCTCACACCTCCCACCACGCCTCCACCTCTCGACGATGCCCTGTCTTCTTCTTCACTTGACACCTGAAAGTGCAGAATACAAGACAGCCTGTCACCTTCATACACAACACAACACACCACAAAACAACACAACACAACTCCAAACAAATCCACACTACACCACTCAACACCACACAATGTTTCGAATCACAGTGTCATCCTCCACTGTGTCACACCGAGAAATTCATTCCACCTACACGTTCATCGGCCAATTGGAAATGTCGGCCATCCACCGGGTGTCAACTCTCTCCTCACATCTCCACTCCACGGACACGTCAATTCACCCAGTCTCACACACACCCACCCTCTCACAAGAAATAACTCACACACAAACACAAAAACACAGACTCCCACTCAAACTGACGTACATTCTCTCACGCTCACTCACTCACACCATCAATCACTCTCGGACTCACTCACAACACAAACAAAACCACACACTCAATCACTCACTCACTCACACAGCCCTTCTCATCACAAGCCTCACTGAGACCACCAACAAGTTGTGTCCACTCACACCAGCCTCATCAGTCCACACACGTAAACCTATCATCTCATCTCATCTCATACCAACTCAAATCAACTCAACACATTTCTTTTCACCTCAACTCAACTAAAAACATATCATCTAATCTCGTCCAATCCCTTCACATCTCATCACATCACATCACATCCCCTCCAATCCCATGCCATCTCGTCTTGTCTCATTCTCGACAAGACTTCCACTAAGCAAATGAATACACGGAGAAGCTCACCTGTCCATCTCCACCCGTCACCGTCTTCTTCCTAGCCTTGTCCACATCGCCAACAACACGATCATCGTCCGTCAACAAGTCACCCTCTTCGGAATCCTCCTTTCTCACACCTCCCACCACGCCTCCACCTCTCGACGATGCCCTGTCTTCTTCTTCACTTGACACCTGAAAGTGCAGAATACAAGACAGCCTGTCACCTTCATACACAACACAACACACCACAAAACAACACAACACAACTCCAAACAAATCCACACTACACCACTCAACACCACACCACAAAACATCACACCACCACACAATATTTCGCTTCACAGTGTCATCCTCCACTGTGTCACACCGAGAAATTCATTCCACCTACACGTTCATCGGCCAATTGGAAATGTCGGCCATCCACCGAGTGTCAATTCTCTCCTCACATCTCTACTCCACGGACACGTCAATTCACCCAGTCTCACACACACCCACCCTCTCACAAGAAATAACTCACACACAAACACGAAAACACAGACTCCCACTCAAACTGACGTACATTCTCTCACGCTCACTCACTCACACCATCAATCACTCTCGGACTCACTCACAAACACAAACACAATCACACACTCACTCACTCACTCACACAGCCCTTCTCATCACAAGCCTCACTGAGACCACCAACAAGTTGTGTCCACTCACACCAGCCTCATCAGTCCACACACGTAATCCTATCATTTCATCTCATCTCATCTCAACTCAAATCAACTCAACCCATTTCTTTTCACCTCAACCCGAATAAATTGCTTTCATCTAATCACTTAACATCACATCACATCACATCACATCACATCCTCTCCAATCCCATGCCATCTCGTCTTGTCTCATTCTCGACAAGACTTCCACTAAGCAAATGAATACACGGAGAAGCTCACCTGTCCATCTCCACCCGTCACCGTCTTCTTCCTAGCCTTGTCCACATCGCCAACAACACGATCATCGTCCGTCAACAAGTCACCCTCTTCGGAATCCTCCTTTCTCACACCTCCCACCACGCCTCCACCTCTCGACGATGCCCTGTCTTCTTCTTCACTTGACACCTGAAAGTGCAGAATACAAGACAGCCTGTCACCTTCATACACAACACAACACACCACAAAACAACACAACACAACTCCAAACAAATCCACACTACACCACTCAACACCACACAATGTTTCGAATCACAGTGTCATCCTCCACTGTGTCACACCGAGAAATTCATTCCACCTACACGTTCATCGGCCAATTGGAAATGTCGGCCATCCACCGAGTGTCAATTCTCTCCTCACATTTCTACTCCACGGACACGTCAATTCACCCAGTCTCACACACACCCACCCTCTCACAAGAAATAACTCACACACAAACACGAAAACACAGACTCCCACTCAAACTGACGTACATTCTCTCACGCTCACTCACTCACACCATCAATCACTCTCGGACTCACTCACAAACACTAACACAATCACACACTCACTCACTCACACAGCCCTTCTCATCACAAGCCTCACTGAGACCACCAACAAGTTGTGTCCACTCACACCAGCCTCATCAGTCCACACACGTAAAACTATCATCTCATCTCATCTCATCTCAACTCAAATCAACTCAACCCATTTCTTTTCACCTCAACCCGAATAAATTGCTTTCATCTAATCACTTAACATCACATCACATCACATCACATCACATCCTCTCCAATCCCATCCCATCTCGTCTTGTCTCATTCTCGACAAGACTTCCACTAAGCAAATGAATACACGGAGAAGCTCACCTGTCCATCTCCACCCGTCACCGTCTTCTTCCTAGCCTTGTCCACATCGCCAACAACACGATCATCGTCCGTCAACAAGTCACCCTCTTCGGAATCCTCCTTTCTCACACCTCCCACCACGCCTCCACCTCTCGACGATGCCCTGTCTTCTTCTTCACTTGACACCTGAAAGTGCAGAATACAAGACAGCCTGTCACCTTCATACACAACACAACACACCACAAAACAACACAACACAACTCCAAACAAATCCACACTACACCACTCAACACCACACAATATTTCGAATCACAGTGTCATCCTCCACTGTGTCACACCGAGAAATTCATTCCACCTACACGTTCATCGGCCAATTGGAAATGTCGACCATCCACCGAGTGTCAGTTCTCTCCTCACATTTCTACTCCACGGACACGTCAATTCACCCAGTCTCACACACACCCACCCTCTCACAAGAAATAACTCACACACAAACACAAAAACACAGACTCCCACTCAAACTGACGTACATTCTCTCACGCTCACTCACTCACACCATCAATCACTCTCGGACTCACTCACAAACACAATCACTCATTGAATCTCTCACACCTCCCTTCTCATCACAAGCCTCACTGAGACCACCAACAAGTTGTGTCCACTCACACCAGCCTCATCAGTACACACACGTAAACCTATCATCTCATCTCATCTCATACCAACTCAAATCAACTCAACCCATTTCTTTTCACCACAACTCAACTAAAAACATATCATCTAATCTCGTCCAATCCCTTCACATCACATCACATCACATCACATCACATCACATCACATCCCCTCCAATCCCATGCCATCTCGTCTTGTCTCATTCTCGACAAGACTTCCACTAAGCAAATGAATACACGGAGAAGCTCACCTGTCCATCTCCACCCGTCACCGTCTTCTTCCTAGCCTTGTCCACATCGCCAACAACACGATCATCGTCCGTCAACAAGTCACCCTCTTCGGAATCCTCCTTTCTCACACCTCCCACCACGCCTCCACCTCTCGACGATGCCCTGTCTTCTTCTTCACTTGACACCTGAAAGTGCAGAATACAAGACAGCCTGTCACCTTCATACACAACACAACACACCACAAAACAACACAACACAACTCCAAACAAATCCACACTACACCACTCAACACCACACAATATTTCGAATCACAGTGTCATCCTCCACAGTTTCACACCGAGAAATTCATTCCACCTACACGTTCATCGGCCAATTGGAAATGTCGGCCATCCACCGGGTGTCAATTCTCTCCTCACATTTCTACTCCACGGACACGTCAATTCACCCAGTCTCACACACACCCACCCTCTCACAAGAAATAACTCACACACAAACACAAAAACACAGACTCCCACTCAAACTGACGTCCATTCACTCACGCTCACTCACTCACACCATCAATCACTCTCGGACTCACTCACAAACACAATCACTCATTCAATCTCTCACACCTCCCTTCTCATCACAAGCCTCACTGAGACCACCAACAAGTTGTGTCCACTCACACCAGCCTCATCAGTCCACACACGTAAACCTATCATCTCATCTCATCTCATCCCAACTGAAATCAACTCAACCCATTTCTTTTCAACTCAACTGAACTAAAAGCATATCATCTAATCTCGTCCAATCCCTTCACATCACATCTCATCACATCACATCACATCCCCTCCAATCCCATGCCATCTCGTCTTGTCTCATTCTCGACAAGACTTCCACTAAGCAAATGAATACACGGAGAAGCTCACCTGTCCATCTCCACCCGTCACCGTCTTCTTCCTAGCCTTGTCCACATCGCCAACAACACGATCATCGTCCGTCAACAAGTCACCCTCTTCGGAATCCTCCTTTCTCACACCTCCCACCACGCCTCCACCTCTCGACGATGCCCTGTCTTCTTCTTCACTTGACACCTGAAAGTGCAGAATACAAGACAGCCTGTCACCTTCATACACAACACAACACACCACAAAACAACACAACACAACTCCAAACAAATCCACACTACACCACTCATCAGCACACAATATTTCGCTTCACAGTGTCATCCTCCACTGTGTCACACCGAGAAATTCATTCCACCTACACGTTCATCGGCCAATTGGAAATGTCGACCATCCACCGGGTGTAAATTCTCTCCTCACATTTCTACTCCACGGACACGTCAATTCACCCAGTCTCACACACACCCACCCTCTCACAAGAAATAACTCACACACAAACACAAAAACACAGACTCCCACTCAAACTGACGTACATTCTCTCACGCTCACTCACTCACACCATCAATCACTCTTGGACTCATTCACAAACACAATCACACACTCACACACTCACTAACACAATCACACACTCACTCACTCACTCACACAGCCCTTCTCATCACAAGCCTCACTGAGACCACCAACAACTTGTGTCCACTCACACCAGCCTCATCAATACACACACGTAAACCTATCATTTCATCTCATCTCATCTCAACTCAAATCAACTCATCCCATTTCTTTTCACCTCAACTCAACTAAAAACATATCATCTAATCCCTTCACATCACATCACATCCCCTCCAATCCCATGCCATCTCGTCTTGTCTCATTCTCGACAAGACTTCCACTAAGCAAATGAATACACGGAGAAGCTCACCTGTCCATTTCCACCCGTCACCGTCTTCTTCCTAGCCTTGTCCACATCGCCAACAACACGATCATCGTCCGTCAACAAGTCACCCTCTTCGGAATCCTCCTTTCTCACACCTCCCACCACGCCTCCACCTCTCGACGATGCCCTGTCTTCTTCTTCACTTGACACCTGAAAGTGCAGAATACAAGACAGCCTGTCACCTTCATACACAACACAACACACAACAAAACAACACAACACAACTCCAAACAAATCCACACTACACCACTCAACACCACACCACAAAACATCACACCACCACACAATATTTCGCTTCACAGTGTCATCCTCCACTGTGTCACACCGAGAAATTCATTCCACCTACACGTTCATCGGCCAATTGCAAATGTCGACCATCCACCGAGTGTAAATTCTCTCCTCACATTTCTACTCCACGGACACGTCAATTCACCCAGTCTCACACACACCCACCCTCTCACAAGAAATAACTCACACACAAACACAAAAACACAGACTCCCACTCAAACTGACGTACATTCTCTCACGCTCACTAACTCACACCATCAATCACTCTTGGACTCATTCACAAACACAATCACACACTCACACACTCACAAACACAATCACACACTCACTCACTCACTCACACAGCCCTTCTCATCACAAGCCTCACTGAGACCACCAACAAGTTGTGTCCACTCACACCAGCCTCATCAGTACACACACGTAAACCTATCATTTCATCTCATCTCATCTCAACTCAAATCAACTCATCCCATTTCTTTTCACCTCAACTCAACTAAAAACATATCATCTAATCTCGTCCAATCCCTTCACATCTCATCACATCACATCACATCCCCTCCAATCCCATGCCATCTCGTCTTGTCTCATTCTCGACAAGACTTCCACTAAGCAAATGAATACACGGAGAAGCTCACCTGTCCATCTCCACCCGTCACCGTCTTCTTCCTAGCCTTGTCCACATCGCCAACAACACGATCATCGTCCGTCAACAAGTCACCCTCTTCGGAATCCTCCTTTCTCACACCTCCCACCACGCCTCCACCTCTCGACGATGCCCTGTCTTCTTCTTCACTTGACACCTGAAAGTGCAGAATACAAGACAGCCTGTCACCTTCATACACAACACAACACACCACAAAACAACACAACACAACTCCAAACAAATCCACACTACACCACTCAACACCACACCACAAAACATCACACCACCACACAATATTTCGCTTCACAGTGTCATCCTCCACTGTGTCACACCGAGAAATTCATTCCACCTACACGTTCATCGGCCAATTGCAAATGTCGGCCATCCACCGAGTGTCAATTCTCTCCTCACATCTCTACTCCACGGACACGTCAATTCACCCAGTCTCACACACACCCACACTCTCACAAGAAATAACTCACACATAAACACAAAAACACAGACTCCCACTCAAACTGACGTACATTCTCTCACGCTCACTCACTCACACCATCAATCACTCTCGGACTCACTCACAAACACTAACACAATCACACACTCACTCACTCACTCACTCACACAGCCCTTCTCATCACAAGCCTCACTGAGACCACCAACAAGTTGTGTCCACTCACACCAGCCTCATCAGTCCACACACGTAAACCTATCATCTCATCTCATCTCATCCCAACTCAAATCAACTCAACCCATTTCTTTTCACCACAACTGAACTAAAAGCATATCATCTAATCTCGTCCAATCCCTTCACATCACATCACATCACATCACATCCCCTCCAATCCCATGCCATCTCGTCTTGTCTCATTCTCGACAAGACTTCCACTAAGCAAATGAATACACGGAGAAGCTCACCTGTCCATCTCCACCCGTCACCGTCTTCTTCCTAGCCTTGTCCACATCGCCAACAACACGATCATCGTCCGTCAACAAGTCACCCTCTTCGGAATCCTCCTTTCTCACACCTCCCACCACGCCTCCACCTCTCGACGATGCCCTGTCTTCTTCTTCACTTGACACCTGAAAGTGCAGAATACAAGACAGCCTGTCACCTTCATACACAACACAACACACCACAAAACAACACAACACAACTCCAAACAAATCCACACTACACCACTCAACACCACACCACAAAACATCACACCACCACACAATATTTCGCTTCACAGTGTCATCCTCCACTGTGTCACACCGAGAAATTCATTCCACCTACACGTTCATCGGCCAATTGCAAATGTCGGCCATCCACCGGGTGTCAACTCTCTCCTCACATCTCCACTCCACGGACACGTCAATTCACCCAGTCTCACACACACCCACCCTCTCACAAGAAATAACTCACACACAAACACGAAAACACAGACTCCCACTCAAACTGACGTACATTCTCTCACGCTCACTCACTCACACCATCAATCACTCTCGGACTCACTCACAAACACTAACACAATCACACACTCACTCACTCACTCACACAGCCCTTCTCATCACAAGCCTCACTGAGACCACCAACAAGTTGTGTACACTCACACCAGCCTCATCAGTCCACACACGTAAACCTATCATCTCATCTCAACTCAAATCAACTCAACCCATTTCTTTTCACCTCAACTCAACTAAAAACATATCATCTAATCTCGTCCAATCCCTTCACATCACATCACATCACATCACATCACATCCCCTCCAATCCCATGCCATCTCGTCTTGTCTCATTCTCGACAAGACTTCCACTAAGCAAATGAATACACGGAGAAGCTCACCTGTCCATCTCCACCCGTCACCGTCTTCTTCCTAGCCTTGTCCACATCGCCAACAACACGATCATCGTCCGTCAACAAGTCACCCTCTTCGGAATCCTCCTTTCTCACACCTCCCACCACGCCTCCACCTCTCGACGATGCCCTGTCTTCTTCTTCTCTTGACACCTGAAAGTGCAGAATACAAGACAGCCTGTCACCTTCATACACAACACAACACACAACAAAACAACACAACACAACTCCAAACAAATCCACACTACACCACTCAACACCACACCACAAAACATCACACCACCACACAATATTTCGCTTCACAGTGTCATCCTCCACTGTGTCACACCGAGAAATTCATTCCACCTACACGTTCATCGGCCAATTGGAAATGTCGGCCATCCACCGAGTGTCAATTCTCTCCTCACATCTCTACTCCACGGACACGTCAATTCACCCAGTCTCACACACACCCACCCTCTCACAAGAAATAACTCACACACAAACACAAAAACACAGACTCCCACTCAAACTGACGTACATTCTCTCACGCTCACTCACTCACACCATCAATCACTCTCGGACTCACTCACAAACACAATCACTCACTCACTCACTCACTCACACAGCCCTTCTCATCACAAGCCTCACTGAGACCACCAACAAGTTGTGTCCACTCACACCAGCCTCATCAGTCCACACACGTAAACCTATCATCTCATCTCATCTCATACCAACTCAAATCAACTCAACCCATTTCTTTTCACCACAACTCAACTAAAAGCATATCATCTAATCTCGTCCAATCCCTTCACATCACATCACATCACATCACATCACATCCCCTCCAATCCCATGCCATCTCGTCTTGTCTCATTCTCGACAAGACTTCCACTAAGCAAATGAATACACGGAGAAGCTCACCTGTCCATCTCCACCCGTCACCGTCTTCTTCCTAGCCTTGTCCACATCGCCAACAACACGATCATCGTCCGTCAACAAGTCACCCTCTTCGGAATCCTCCTTTCTCACACCTCCCACCACGCCTCCACCTCTCGACGATGCCCTGTCTTCTTCTTCACTTGACACCTGAAAGTGCAGAATACAAGACAGCCTGTCACCTTCATACACAACACAACACACCACAAAACAACACAACACAACTCCAAACAAATCCACACTACACCACTCAACACCACACCACAAAACATCACACCACCACACAATATTTCGCTTCACAGTGTCATCCTCCACTGTGTCACACCGAGAAATTCATTCCACCTACACGTTCATCGGCCAATTGGAAATGTCGGCCATCCACCGGGTGTCAACTCTCTCCTCACATCTCCACTCCACGGACACGTCAATTCACCCAGTCTCACACACACCCACCCTCTCACAAGAAATAACTCACACACAAACACGAAAACACAGACTCCCACTCAAACTGACGTACATTCTCTCACGCTCACTCACTCACACCATCAATCACTCTCGGACTCACTCACAAACACTAACACAATCACACACTCACTCACTCACTCACACAGCCCTTCTCATCACAAGCCTCACTGAGACCACCAACAAGTTGTGTACACTCACACCAGCCTCATCAGTCCACACACGTAAACCTATCATCTCATCTCAACTCAAATCAACTCAACCCATTTCTTTTCACCTCAACTCAACTAAAAACATATCATCTAATCTCGTCCAATCCCTTCACATCACATCACATCACATCACATCACATCCCCTCCAATCCCATGCCATCTCGTCTTGTCTCATTCTCGACAAGACTTCCACTAAGCAAATGAATACACGGAGAAGCTCACCTGTCCATCTCCACCCGTCACCGTCTTCTTCCTAGCCTTGTCCACATCGCCAACAACACGATCATCGTCCGTCAACAAGTCACCCTCTTCGGAATCCTCCTTTCTCACACCTCCCACCACGCCTCCACCTCTCGACGATGCCCTGTCATCTTCTTCACTTGACACCTGAAAGTGCAGAATACAAGACAGCCTGTCACCTTCATACACAACACAACACACCACAAAACAACACAACACAACTCAAAACAAATACACACTACACCACTCAACACCACACCACAAAACATCACACCACCACACAATATTTCGCTTCACAGTGTCATCCTCCACTGTGTCACACCGAGAAATTCATTCCACCTACACGTTCATCGGCCAATTGGAAATGTCGGCCATCCACCGGGTGTCAGTTCTCTCCTCATATATCTACTCCACGGACACGTCAATTCACCCAGTCTCACACACACCCACCCTCTCACAAGAAATAACTCACACACAAACACGAAAACACAGACTCCCACTCAAACTGACGTACATTCTCTCACGCTCACTCACTCACACCATCAATCACTCTCGGACTCACTCACAAACACAAACACAATCACACACTCACTCACTCACTCACACAGCCCTTCTCATCACAAGCCTCACTGAGACCACCAACAAGTTGTGTCCACTCACACCAGCCTCATCAGTCCACACACGTAAACCTATCATCTCATCTCATCTCATCCCAACTCAAATCAACTCAACCCATTTCTTTTCAACTCAACTGAACTAAAAGCATATCATCTAATCTCGTCCAATCCCTTCACATCACATCACATCACATCACATCACATCCCCTCCAATCTCATGCCATCTCGTCTTGTCTCATTCTCGACAAGACTTCCACTAAGCAAATGAATACACGGAGAAGCTCACCTGTCCATCTCCACCCGTCACCGTCTTCTTCCTAGCCTTGTCCACATCGCCAACAACACGATCATCGTCCGTCAACAAGTCACCCTCTTCGGAATCCTCCTTTCTCACACCTCCCACCACGCCTCCACCTCTCGACGATGCCCTGTCTTCTTCTTCACTTGACACCTGAAAGTGCAGAATACAAGACAGCCTGTCACCTTCATACACAACACAACACACCAGAAAACAACACAACACAAAAAAAAAAAAAAAAAAAAAAAAAAAAAAAAAAAAAAAAAAAAAAAAAAAAAAAAAAAACACAATATTTCGCTTCACAGTGTCATCCTCCACTGTGTCACACCGAGAAATTCATTCCACCTACACGTTCATCGGCCAATTGGAAATGTCGGCCATCCACCGGGTATCAATTTTCTCCTCACATTTCTACTCCACGGACACGTCAATTCACCCAGTCTCACACACACCCACCCTCTCACAAGAAATAACTCACACACAAACACGAAAACACAGACTCCCACTCAAACTGACGTACATTCTCTCACGCTCACTCACTCACACCATCAATCACTCTCGGACTCACTCACAAACACAAACACAATCACACACTCACTCACTCACTCACACAGCCCTTCTCATCACAAGCCTCACTGAGACCACCAACAAGTTGTGTACACTCACACCAGCCTCATCAGTCCACACACGTAAACCTATCATCTCATCTCATCTCATCTCAACTCAAATCAACTCAACCCATTTCTTTCACCTCAACTCAACTAAAAACATATCACCTAATCTCGTCCAATCCCTTCACATCACATCACATCACATCACATCACATCCCCTCCAATCCCATGCCATCTCGTCTTGTCTCATTCTCGACAAGACTTCCACTAAGCAAATGAATACACGGAGAAGCTCACCTGTCCATCTCCACCCGTCACCGTCTTCTTCCTAGCCTTGTCCACATCGCCAACAACACGATCATCGTCCGTCAACAAGTCACCCTCTTCGGAATCCTCCTTTCTCACACCTCCCACCACGCCTCCACCTCTCGACGATGCCCTGTCTTCTTCTTCACTTGACACCTGAAAGTGCAGAATACAAGACAGCCTGTCACCTTCATACACAACACAACACACCACAAAACAACACAACACAACTCAAAACAAATACACACTACACCACTCAACACCACACCACAAAACATCACACCACCACACAATATTTCGCTTCACAGTGTCATCCTCCACTGTGTCACACCGAGAAATTCATTCCACCTACACGTTCATCGGCCAATTGGAAATGTCGGCCATCCACCGGGTATCAATTTTCTCCTCACATTTCTACTCCACGGACACGTCAATTCACCCAGTCTCACACACACCCACCCTCTCACAAGAAATAACTCACACACAAACACAAAAACACAGACTCCCACTCAAACTGACGTACATTCTCTCACGCTCACTCACTCACACCATCAATCACTCTCGGACTCACTCACAAACACAATCACTCACTCACTCACTCACACAGCCCTTCTCATCACAAGCCTCACTGAGACCACCAACAAGTTGTGTCCACTCACACCAGCCTCATCAGTACACACACGTAAACCTATCATCTCATCTCATCTCATCTCAACTCAAATCAACTCAACCCATTTCTTTCACCTCAACTCAACTAAAAACATATCACCTAATCTCGTCCAATCCCTTCACATCACATCACATCACATCCCCTCCAATCCCATGCCATCTCGTCTTGTCTCATTCTCGACAAGACTTCCACTAAGCAAATGAATACACGGAGAAGCTCACCTGTCCATCTCCACCCGTCACCGTCTTCTTCCTAGCCTTGTCCACATCGCCAACAACACGATCATCGTCCGTCAACAAGTCACCCTCTTCGGAATCCTCCTTTCTCACACCTCCCACCACGCCTCCACCTCTCGACGATGCCCTGTCTTCTTCTTCACTTGACACCTGAAAGTGCAGAATACAAGACAGCCTGTCACCTTCATACACAACACAACACACCACAAAACAACACAACACAACTCCAAACAAATCCACACTACACCACTCAACACCACACCACAAAACATCACACCACCACACAATATTTCGCTTCACAGTGTCATCCTCCACTGTGTCACACCGAGAAATTCATTCCACCTACACGTTCATCGGCCAATTGGAAATGTCGGCCATCCACCGGGTGTCAACACTCTCCACACATCTCTACTCCACGGACACGTCAATTCACCCAGTCTCACACACACCCACCCTCTCACAAGAAATAACTCACACACAAACACGAAAACACAGACTCCCACTCAAACTGACGTACATTCTCTCACGCTCACTCACTCACACCATCAATCACTCTCGGACTCACTCACAAACACTAACACAATCACACACTCACTCACTCACTCACTCACACAGCCCTTCTCATCACAAGCCTCACTGAGACCACCAACAAGTTGTGTACACTCACACCAGCCTCATCAGTACACACACGTAAACCTATCATCTCATCTCATCTCATCTCAACTCAAATCAACTCAACCCATTTCTTTTCACCTCAACTCAACTAAAAACATATCATCTAATCTCGTCCAATCCCTTCACATCACATCACATCACATCACATCACATCCCCTCCAATCCCATGCCATCTCGTCTTGTCTCATTCTCGACAAGACTTCCACTAAGCAAATGAATACACGGAGAAGCTCACCTGTCCATCTCCACCCGTCACCGTCTTCTTCCTAGCCTTGTCCACATCGCCAACAACACGATCATCGTCCGTCAACAAGTCACCCTCTTCGGAATCCTCCTTTCTCACACCTCCCACCACGCCTCCACCTCTCGACGATGCCCTGTCTTCTTCTTCACTTGACACCTGAAAGTGCAGAATACAAGACAGCCTGTCACCTTCATACACAACACAACACACCACAAAACAACACAACACAACTCCAAACAAATCCACACTACACCACTCAACACCACACCACAAAACATCACACCACCACACAATATTTCGCTTCACAGTGTCATCCTCCACTGTGTCACACCAAGAAATTCATTCCACCTACACGTTCATCGGCCAATTGGAAATGTCGGCCATCCACCGGGTATCAATTTTCTCCTCACATTTCTACTCCACGGACACGTCAATTCACCCAGTCTCACACACACCCACACTCTCACAAGAAATAACTCACACACAAACACAAAAACACAGACTCCCACTCAAACTGACGTACATTCTCTCACGCTCACTCACTCACACCATCAATCACTCTCGGACTCACTCACAAACACTAACACAATCACACACTCACTCACTCACTCACACAGCCCTTCTCATCACAAGCCTCACTGAGACCACCAACAAGTTGTGTACACTCACACCAGCCTCATCAGTACACACACGTAAACCTATCATCTCATCTCATCTCATCTCAACTCAAATCAACTCAACCCATTTCTTTTCACCTCAACTCAACTAAAAACATATCATCTAATCTCGTCCAATCCCTTCACATCACATCACATCACATCACATCACATCCCCTCCAATCCCATGCCATCTCGTCTTGTCTCATTCTCGACAAGACTTCCACTAAGCAAATGAATACACGGAGAAGCTCACCTGTCCATCTCCACCCGTCACCGTCTTCTTCCTAGCCTTGTCCACATCGCCAACAACACGATCATCGTCCGTCAACAAGTCACCCTCTTCGGAATCCTCCTTTCTCACACCTCCCACCACGCCTCCACCTCTCGACGATGCCCTGTCTTCTTCGCCACTTGACACCTGAAAGTGCAGAATACAAGACAGCCTGTCACCTTCATACACAACACAACACACCACAAAACAACACAACACAACTCCAAACAAATCCACACTACACCACTCAACACCACACCACAAAACATCACACCACCACACAATATTTCGCTTCACAGTGTCATCCTCCACTGTGTCACACCGAGAAATTCATTCCACCTACACGTTCATCGGCCAATTGGAAATGTCGGCCATCCACCGGGTATCAATTTTCTCCTCACATTTCTACTCCACGGACACGTCAATTCACCCAGTCTCACACACACCCACACTCTCACAAGAAATAACTCACACACAAACACAAAAACACAGACTCCCACTCAAACTGACGTACATTCTCTCACGCTCACTCACTCACACCATCAATCACTCTCGGACTCACTCACAAACACTAACACAATCACACACTCACTCACTCACTCACACAGCCCTTCTCATCACAAGCCTCACTGAGACCACCAACAAGTTGTGTACACTCACACCAGCCTCATCAGTAAACACACGTAAACCTATCATCTCATCTCATCTCATCTCAACTCAAATCAACTCAACCCATTTCTTTTCACCTCAACTCAACTAAAAGCATATCATCTAATCTCGTCCAATCCTTTCACATCACATCACATCACATCACATCACATCCTCTCCAATCCCATGCCATCTCGTCTTGTCTCATTCTCGACAAGACTTCCACTAAGCAAATGAATACACGGAGAAGCTCACCTGTCCATCTCCACCCGTCACCGTCTTCTTCCTAGCCTTGTCCACATCGCCAACAACACGATCATCGTCCGTCAACAAGTCACCCTCTTCGGAATCCTCCTTTCTCACACCTCCCACCACGCCTCCACCTCTCGACGATGCCCTGTCTTCTTCTTCACTTGACACCTGAAAGTGCAGAATACAAGACAGCCTGTCACCTTCATACACAACACAACACACCACAAAACAACACAACACAACTCCAAACAAATCCACACTACACCACTCAACACCACACCACAAAACATCACACCACCACACAATATTTCGCTTCACAGTGTCATCCTCCACTGTGTCACACCAAGAAATTCATTCCACCTACACGTTCATCGGCCAATTGGAAATGTCGGCCATCCACCGGGTATCAATTTTCTCCTCACATTTCTACTCCACGGACACGTCAATTCACCCAGTCTCACACACACCCACACTCTCACAAGAAATAACTCACACACAAACACAAAAACACAGACTCCCACTCAAACTGACGTACATTCTCTCACGCTCACTCACTCACACCATCAATCACTCTCGGACTCACTCACAAACACTAACACAATCACACACTCACTCACTCACTCACTCACACAGCCCTTCTCATCACAAGCCTCACTGAGACCACCAACAAGTTGTGTACACTCACACCAGCCTCATCAGTACACACACGTAAACCTATCATCTCATCTCATCTCATCTCAACTCAAATCAACTCAACCCATTTCTTTTCACCTCAACTCAACTAAAAACATATCATCTAATCTCATCCAATCCCTTCACATCACATCACATCCCCTCCAATCCCATGCCATCTCGTCTTGTCTCATTCTCGACAAGACTTCCACTAAGCAAATGAATACACGGAGAAGCTCACCTGTCCATCTCCACCCGTCACCGTCTTCTTCCTAGCCTTGTCCACATCGCCAACAACACGATCATCGTCCGTCAACAAGTCACCCTCTTCGGAATCCTCCTTTCTCACACCTCCCACCACGCCTCCACCTCTCGACGATGCCCTGTCTTCTTCTTCACTTGACACCTGAAAGTGCAGAATACAAGACAGCCTGTCACCTTCATACACAACACAACACACCACAAAACAACACAACACAACTCCAAACAAATCCACACTACACCACTCAACACCACACCACAAAACATCACACCACCACACAATATTTCGCTTCACAGTGTCATCCTCCACTGTGTCACACCGAGAAATTCATTCCACCTACACGTTCATCGGCCAATTGGAAATGTCGGCCATCCACCGGGTATCAATTTTCTCCTCACATTTCTACTCCACGGACACGTCAATTCACCCAGTCTCACACACACCCACACTCTCACAAGAAATAACTCACACACAAACACGAAAACACAGACTCCCACTCAAACTGACGTACATTCTCTCACGCTCACTCACTCACACCATCAATCACTCTCGGACTCACTCACAAACACTAACACAATCACACACTCACTCACTCACTCACACAGCCCTTCTCATCACAAGCCTCACTGAGACCACCAACAAGTTGTGTCCACTCACACCAGCCTCATCAGTCCACACACGTAAACCTATCATCTCATCTCATCTCAACTCAAATCAACTCAACCCATTTCTTTTCACCTCAACTCAACTAAAAACATATCATCTAATCTCATCCAATCCCTTCACATCACATCACATCACATCCTCTCCAATCCCATCCCATCTCGTCTTGTCTCATTCTCGACAAGACTTCCACTAAGCAAATGAATACACGGAGAAGCTCACCTGTCCATCTCCACCCGTCACCGTCTTCTTCCTAGCCTTGTCCACATCGCCAACAACACGATCATCGTCCGTCAACAAGTCACCCTCTTCGGAATCCTCCTTTCTCACACCTCCCACCACGCCTCCACCTCTCGACGATGCCCTGTCTTCTTCTTCACTTGACACCTGAAAGTGCAGAATACAAGACAGCCTGTCACCTTCATACACAACACAACACACCACAAAACAACACAACACAACTCCAAACAAATCCACACTACACCACTCAACACCACACCACAAAACATCACACCACCACACAATATTTCGCTTCACAGTGTCATCCTCCACTGTGTCACACCGAGAAATTCATTCCACCTACACGTTCATCGGCCAATTGGAAATGTCGGCCATCCACCGGGTATCAATTTTCTCCTCACATTTCTACTCCACGGACACGTCAATTCACCCAGTCTCACACACACCCACACTCTCACAAGAAATAACTCACACACAAACACAAAAACACAGACTCCCACTCAAACTGACGTACATTCTCTCACGCTCACTCACTCACACCATCAATCACTCTCGGACTCACTCACAAACACTAACACAATCACACACTCACTCACTCACTCACACAGCCCTTCTCATCACAAGCCTCACTGAGACCACCAACAAGTTGTGTCCACTAACACCAGCCTCATCAGTCCACACACGTAAACCTATCATCTCATCACATCTCATCTCAACTCAAATCAACTCAACCCATTTCTTTTCACCTCAACTCAACTAAAAACATATCATCTAATCTCGTCCAATCCCTTCACATCACATCACATCACATCACATCACATCCCCTCCAATCCCATGCCATCTCGTCTTGTCTCATTCTCGACAAGACTTCCACTAAGCAAATGAATACACGGAGAAGCTCACCTGTCCATCTCCACCCGTCACCGTCTTCTTCCTAGCCTTGTCCACATCGCCAACAACACGATCATCGTCCGTCAACAAGTCACCCTCTTCGGAATCCTCCTTTCTCACACCTCCCACCACGCCTCCACCTCTCGACGATGCCCTGTCTTCTTCTTCACTTGACACCTGAAAGTGCAGAATACAAGACAGCCTGTCACCTTCATACACAACACAACACACCACAAAACAACACAACACAACTCCAAACAAATCCACACTACACCACTCAACACCACACCACAAAACATCACACCACCACACAATATTTCGCTTCACAGTGTCATCCTCCACTGTGTCACACCGAGAAATTCATTCCACCTACACGTTCATCGGCCAATTGGAAATGTCGGCCATCCACCGGGTATCAATTTTCTCCTCACATTTCTACTCCACGGACACGTCAATTCACCCAGTCTCCCACACACCCACCCTCTCACAAGAAATAACTCACACACAAACACGAAAACACAGACTCCCACTCAAACTGACGTACATTCTCTCACGCTCACTCACTCACACCATCAATCACTCTCGGACTCACTCACAAACACTAACACAATCACACACTCACTCACTCACTCACTCACACAGCCCTTCTCATCACAAGCCTCACTGAGACCACCAACAAGTTGTGTCCACTCACACCAGCCTCATCAGTACACACACGTAAACCTATCATCTCATCTCATCTCATCTCAACTGAAATCAACTCAACACATTTCTTTTCACCTCAACTCAACTAAAAACATATCATCTAATCTCGTCCAATCCCTTCACATCACATCACATCACATCACATCCTCTCTAATCCCATGCCATCTCGTCTTGTCTCATTCTCGACAAGACTTCCACTAAGCAAATGAATACACGGAGAAGCTCACCTGTCCATCTCCACCCGTCACCGTCTTCTTCCTAGCCTTGTCCACATCGCCAACAACACGATCATCGTCCGTCAACAAGTCACCCTCTTCGGAATCCTCCTTTCTCACACCTCCCACCACGCCTCCACCTCTCGACGATGCCCTGTCTTCTTCTTCACTTGACACCTGAAAGTGCAGAATACAAGACAGCCTGTCACCTTCATACACAACACAACACACCACAAAACAACACAACACAACTCCAAACAAATCCACACTACACCACTCAACACCACACCACAAAACATCACACCACCACACAATATTTCGCTTCACAGTGTCATCCTCCACTGTGTCACACCGAGAAATTCATTCCACCTACACGTTCATCGGCCAATTGGAAATGTCGGCCATCCACCGGGTATCAATTTTCTCCTCACATTTCTACTCCACGGACACGTCCATTCACCCAGTCTCACACACACCCACCCTCTCACAAGAAATAACTCACACACAAACACGAAAACACAGACTCCCACTCAAACTGACGTCCATTCTCTCACGCTCACTCACTCACACCATCAATCACTCTCGGACTCACTCACAAACACTAACACAATCACACACTCACTCACTCACTCACACAGCCCTTCTCATCACAAGCCTCACTGAGACCACCAACAAGTTGTGTACACTCACACCAGCCTCATCAGTCCACACACGTAAACCTATCATCTCATCTCATCTCATCTCAACTCAAATCAACTCAACACATTTCTTTTCACCTCAACTCAACTAAAAACATATCATCTAATCTCGTCCAATCCCTTCACATCACATCACATCACATCACATCCTCTCCAATCCCATGCCATCTCGTCTTGTCTCATTCTCGACAAGACTTCCACTAAGCAAATGAATACACGGAGAAGCTCACCTGTCCATCTCCACCCGTCACCGTCTTCTTCCTAGCCTTGTCCACATCGCCAACAACACGATCATCGTCCGTCAACAAGTCACCCTCTTCGGAATCCTCCTTTCTCACACCTCCCACCACGCCTCCACCTCTCGACGATGCCCTGTCTTCTTCTTCACTTGACACCTGAAAGTGCAGAATACAAGACAGCCTGTCACCTTCATACACAACACAACACACCACAAAACAACACAACACAACTCCAAACAAATCCACACTACACCACTCAACACCACACCACAAAACATCACACCACCACACAATATTTCGCTTCACAGTGTCATCCTCCACTGTGTCACACCGAGAAATTCATTCCACCTACACGTTCATCGGCCAATTGGAAATGTCGGCCATCCACCGGGTGTAAATTCTCTCCTCACATTTCTACTCCACGGACACGTCAATTCACCCAGTCTCACACACACCCACCCTCTCACAAGAAATAACTCACACACAAACACAAAAACACAGACTCCCACTCAAACTGACGTACATTCTCTCACGCTCACTCACTCACACCATCAATCACTCTCGGACTCACTCACAAACACTAACACAATCACACACTCACTCACTCACTCACACAGCCCTTCTCATCACAAGCCTCACTGAGACCACCAACAAGTTGTGTCCACTCACACCAGCCTCATCAGTCCACACACGTAAACCTATCATCTCATCTCAACTCAAATCAACTCAACCCATTTCTTTTCACCTCAACTCAACTAAAATCATATCATCTAATCTCGTCCAATCCCTTCACAACACATCACATCACATCACATCACATCTCACATCACATCCCCTCCAATCCCATGCCATCTCGTCTTGTCTCATTCTCGACAAGACTTCCACTAAGCAAATGAATACACGGAGAAGCTCACCTGTCCATCTCCACCCGTCACCGTCTTCTTCCTAGCCTTGTCCACATCGCCAACAACACGATCATCGTCCGTCAACAAGTCACCCTCTTCGGAATCCTCCTTTCTCACACCTCCCACCACGCCTCCACCTCTCGACGATGCCCTGTCTTCTTCTTCACTTGACACCTGAAAGTGCAGAATACAAGACAGCCTGTCACCTTCATACACAACACAACACACCACAAAACAACACAACACAACTCCAAACAAATCCACACTACACCACTCAACACCACACCACAAAACATCACACCACCACACAATATTTCGCTTCACAGTGTCATCCTCCACTGTGTCACACCGAGAAATTCATTCCACCTACACGTTCATCGGCCAATTGGAAATGTCGGCCATCCACCGGGTGTCAGTTCTCTCCTCACATTTCTACTCCACGGACACGTCAATTCACCCAGTCTCCCACACACACCCACCCTCTCACAAGAAATAACTCACACACAAACACGAAAACACAGACTCCCACTCAAACTGACGTACATTCTCTCACGCTCACTCACTCACACCATCAATCACTCTCGGACTCACTCACAAACACTAACACAATCACACACTCACTCACTCACTCACTCACACAGCCCTTCTCATCACAAGCCTCACTGAGACCACCAACAAGTTGTGTCCACTCACACCAGCCTCATCAGTACACACACGTAAACCTATCATCTCATCTCATCTCATCTCAACTCAAATCAACTCAACCCATTTCTTTTCACCTCAGTTCAACTAGAAAGCTATCATGGGATCCCTCATAATCACATCACATCGCATCACATCCCCTCCAATCCCATGCCATCTCGTCTTGTCTCATTCTCGACAAGACTTCCACTAAGCAAATGAATACACGGAGAAGCTCACCTGTCCATCTCCACCCGTCACCGTCTTCTTCCTAGCCTTGTCCACATCGCCAACAACACGATCATCGTCCGTCAACAAGTCACCCTCTTCGGAATCCTCCTTTCTCACACCTCCCACCACGCCTCCACCTCTCGACGATGCCCTGTCTTCTTCTTCACTTGACACCTGAAAGTGCAGAATACAAGACAGCCTGTCACCTTCATACACAACACAACACACCACAAAACAACACAACACAACTCCAAACAAATCCACACTACACCACTCAACACCACACCACAAAACATCACACCACCACACAATATTTCGCTTCACAGTGTCATCCTCCACTGTGTCACACCGAGAAATTCATTCCACCTACACGTTCATCGGCCAATTGGAAATGTCGGCCATCCACCGGGTGTCAGTTCTCTCCTCACATTTCTACTCCACGGACACGTCAATTCACCCAGTCTCACACACACCCACCCTCTCACAAGAAATAACTCACACACAAACACAAAAACACAGACTCCCACTCAAACTGACGTACATTCTCTCACGCTCACTCACTCACACCATCAATCACTCTCGGACTCACTCACAAACACTAACACAATCACACACTCACTCACTCACTCACACAGCCCTTCTCATCACAAGCCTCACTGAGACCACCAACAAGTTGTGTACACTCACACCAGCCTCATCAGTACACACACGTAAACCTATCATCTCATCTCATCTCATCTCAACTCAAATCAACTCAACTCAACTCAACCCATTTCATTTCAGCTCAATTCAACTAAAAACATATCATCTAATCTCATCCAATCCCTTCATATCACATCAAAAACCCTCCAATCCCATGCCATCTCGTCTTGTCTCATTCTCGACAAGACTTCCACTAAGCAAATGAATACACGGAGAAGCTCACCTGTCCATCTCCACCCGTCACCGTCTTCTTCCTAGCCTTGTCCACATCGCCAACAACACGATCATCGTCCGTCAACAAGTCACCCTCTTCGGAATCCTCCTTTCTCACACCTCCCACCACGCCTCCACCTCTCGACGATGCCCTGTCTTCTTCTTCACTTGACACCTGAAAGTGCAGAATACAAGACAGCCTGTCACCTTCATACACAACACAACACACCACAAAACAACACAACACAACTCCAAACAAATCCACACTACACCACTCAACACCACACAAAAAAAAAAAAAAACACACCACAATATTTCGCTTCACAGTGTCATCCTCCACTGTGTCACACCGAGAAATTCATTCCACCTACACGTTCATCGGCCAATTGGAAATGTCGGCCATCCACCGGGTGTCAGTTCTCTCCTCACATCTCTACTCCACGGACACGTCAATTCACCCAGTCTCACACACACCCACCCTCTCACAAGAAATAACTCACACACAAACACGAAAACACAGACTCCCACTCAAACTGACGTACATTCTCTCACGCTCACTCACTCACACCATCAATCACTCTCGGACTCACTCACAAACACAAACACAATCACACACTCACTCACTCACTCACTCACACAGCCCTTCTCATCACAAGCCTCACTGAGACCACCAACAAGGTGTGTACACTCACACCAGCCTCATCAGTCCACACACGTAAACCTATCATCTCATCTCAACTCAAGTCAAATCAACTCAACTCAACCCATTTCATTTCAGCTCAACTCAACTAAAAACATATCATCTAATCTCATCCAATCGCATCACATCACATCCCCTCCAATCCCATGCCATCTCGTCTTGTCTCATTCTCGACAAGACTTCCACTAAGCAAATGAATACACGGAGAAGCTCACCTGTCCATCTCCACCCGTCACCGTCTTCTTCCTAGCCTTGTCCACATCGCCAACAACACGATCATCGTCCGTCAACAAGTCACCCTCTTCGGAATCCTCCTTTCTCACACCTCCCACCACGCCTCCACCTCTCGACGATGCCCTGTCTTCTTCTTCACTTGACACCTGAAAGTGCAGAATACAAGACAGCCTGTCACCTTCATACACAACACAACACACCACAAAACAACACAACACAACTCCAAACAAATCCACACTACACCACTCAACACCACACCACAAAACATCACACCACCACACAATATTTCGCTTCACAGTGTCATCCTCCACTGTGTCACACCAAGAAATTCATTCCACCTACACGTTCATCGGCCAATTGGAAATGTCGGCCATCCACCGAGTGTCAATTCTCTCCTCACATTTCTACTCCACGGACACGTCAATTCACCCAGTCTCACACACACACCCACCCTCTCACAAGAAATAACTCACACACAAACACGAAAACACAGACTCCCACTCAAACTGACGTACATTCTCTCACGCTCACTCGCTCACATCATCAATCACTCTCGGACTCACTCACAAACACAAACACAATCACACACTCACTCACTCACTCACACAGCCCTTCTCATCACAAGCCTCACTGAGACCACCAACAAGTTGTGTCCACTCACACCAGCCTCATCAGTCCACACACGTAAACCTATCATCTCATCACATCTCATCTCAACTGAAATCAACTCAACCCATTTCTTTTCACCTCAACTCAACTAAAAGCATATCATCTAATCTCGTCCAATCCCTTCACATCACATCACATCACATCACATCACATCCTCTCCAATCCCATGCCATCTCGTCTTGTCTCATTCTCGACAAGACTTCCACTAAGCAAATGAATACACGGAGAAGCTCACCTGTCCATCTCCACCCGTCACCGTCTTCTTCCTAGCCTTGTCCACATCGCCAACAACACGATCATCGTCCGTCAACAAGTCACCCTCTTCGGAATCCTCCTTTCTCACACCTCCCACCACGCCTCCACCTCTCGACGATGCCCTGTCTTCTTCTTCACTTGACACCTGAAAGTGCAGAATACAAGACAGCCTGTCACCTTCATACACAACACAACACACCACAAAACAACACAACACAACTCCAAACAAATCCACACTACACCACTCAACACCACACCACAAAACATCACACCACCACACAATATTTCGCTTCACAGTGTCATCCTCCACTGTGTCACACCGAGAAATTCATTCCACCTACACGTTCATCGGCCAATTGGAAATGTCGGCCATCCACCGGGTGTCAGTTCTCTCCTCACATTTCTACTCCACGGACACGTCAATTCACCCAGTCTCACACACACCCACCCTCTCACAAGAAATAACTCACACACAAACACAAAAACACAGACTCCCACTCAAACTGACGTACATTCTCTCACGCTCACTCACTCACACCATCAATCACTCTCGGACTCACTCACAAACACAAACACAATCACACACTCACTCACTCACTCACACAGCCCTTCTCATCACAAGCCTCACTGAGACCACCAACAAGTTGTGTCCACTCACACCAGCCTCATCAGTCCACACACGTAAACCTATCATCTCATCTCATCTCATCTCATCTCAAATCAACTCAACTCAACCCATTTCATTTCAGCTCAACTCAACTAAAAACATATCATCTAATCTCATCCAATCCCTTCACATCACATCACATCACATCACATCCTCTCCAATCCCATGCCATCTCGTCTTGTCTCATTCTCGACAAGACTTCCACTAAGCAAATGAATACACGGAGAAGCTCACCTGTCCATCTCCACCCGTCACCGTCTTCTTCCTAGCCTTGTCCACATCGCCAACAACACGATCATCGTCCGTCAACAAGTCACCCTCTTCGGAATCCTCCTTTCTCACACCTCCCACCACGCCTCCACCTCTCGACGATGCCCTGTCTTCTTCTTCACTTGACACCTGAAAGTGCAGAATACAAGACAGCCTGTCACCTTCATACACAACACAACACACCACAAAACAACACAACACAACTCCAAACAAATCCACACTACACCACTCAACACCACACCACAAAACATCACACCACCACACAATATTTCGCTTCACAGTGTCATCCTCCACTGTGTCACACCGAGAAATTCATTCCACCTACACGTCCATCGGCCAATTGGAAATGTCGGCCATCCACCGGGTGTCAACTCTCGCCTCACATCTCTACTCCACGGACACGTCAATTCACCCAGTCTCACACACACCCACCCTCTCACAAGAAATAACTCACACACAAACACGAAAACACAGACTCCCACTCAAACTGACGTACATTCTCTCACGCTCACTCACTCACACCATCAATCACTCTCGGACTCACTCACAAACACAAACACAATCACACACTCACTCACTCACTCACACAGCCCTTCTCATCACAAGCCTCACTGAGACCACCAACAAGGTGTGTACACTCACACCAGCCTCATCAGTACACACACGTAAACCTATCATCTCATCTCATCTCATCTCATCTCAACTCAAATCAAATCAACTCAACTCAACCCATTTCATTTCAGCTCAACTCAACTAAAATCATATCATCTAATCTCGTCCAATCCCTTCACAATCACATCACATCACATCACATCCCCTCCAATCCCATGCCATCTCGTCTTGTCTCATTCTCGACAAGACTTCCACTAAGCAAATGAATACACGGAGAAGCTCACCTGTCCATCTCCACCCGTCACCGTCTTCTTCCTAGCCTTGTCCACATCGCCAACAACACGATCATCGTCCGTCAACAAGTCACCCTCTTCGGAATCCTCCTTTCTCACACCTCCCACCACGCCTCCACCTCTCGACGATGCCCTGTCTTCTTCTTCACTTGACACCTGAAAGTGCAGAATACAAGACAGCCTGTCACCTTCATACACAACACAACACACCACAAAACAACACAACACAACTCCAAACAAATCCACACTACACCACTCAACACCACACCACAAAACATCACACCACCACACAATATTTCGCTTCACAGTGTCATCCTCCACTGTGTCACACCGAGAAATTCATTCCACCTACACGTTCATCGGCCAATTGGAAATGTCGGCCATCCACCGGGTGTCAGTTCTCTCCTCACATTTCTACTCCACGGACACGTCAATTCACCCAGTCTCCCACACACACCCACCCTCTCACAAGAAATAACTCACACACAAACACAAAAACACAGACTCCCACTCCAATTGACGTCCATTCTCTCACGCTCACTCACTCACACCATCAATCACTCTCGGACTCACTCACAAACACAAACACAATCACACACTCACTCACTCACTCACTCACACAGCCCTTCTCATCACAAGCCTCACTGAGACCACCAACAAGTTGTGTACACTCACACCAGCCTCATCAGTCCACACACGTAAACCTATCATCTCATCTCATCTCATCTCAACTCAAATCAAATCAACTCAACTCAACCCATTTCATTTCAGCTCAACTCAACTAAAAACATATCATCTAATCTCATCCAATCGCATCACATCACATCACATCCCCTCCAATCCCATGCCATCTCGTCTTGTCTCATTCTCGACAAGACTTCCACTAAGCAAATGAATACACGGAGAAGCTCACCTGTCCATCTCCACCCGTCACCGTCTTCTTCCTAGCCTTGTCCACATCGCCAACAACACGATCATCGTCCGTCAACAAGTCACCCTCTTCGGAATCCTCCTTTCTCACACCTCCCACCACGCCTCCACCTCTCGACGATGCCCTGTCTTCTTCTTCACTTGACACCTGAAAGTGCAGAATACAAGACAGCCTGTCACCTTCATACACAACACAACACACCACAAAACAACACAACACAACTCCAAACAAATCCACACTACACCACTCAACACCACACCACAAAACATCACACCACCACACAATATTTCGCTTCACAGTGTCATCCTCCACTGTGTCACACCGAGAAATTCATTCCACCTACACGTTCATCGGCCAATTGGAAATGTCGGCCATCCACCGGGTGTCAGTTCTCTCCTCACATTTCTACTCCACGGACACGTCAATTCACCCAGTCTCCCACACACACCCACCCTCTCACAAGAAATAACTCACACACAAACACAAAAACACAGACTCCCACTCCAATTGACGTCCATTCTCTCACGCTCACTCACTCACACCATCAATCACTCTCGGACTCACTCACAAACACAAACACAATCACACACTCACTCACTCACTCACACAGCCCTTCTCATCACAAGCCTCACTGAGACCACCAACAAGTTGTGTACACTCACACCAGACTCATCAGTCCACACACGTAAACCTATCATCTCATCTCATCTCATCTCAACTCAAATCAAATCAACTCAACTCAACCCATTTCATTTCAGCTCAACTCAACTAAAAACATATCATCTAATCTCATCCAATCGCATCACATCACATCACATCCCCTCCAATCCCATGCCATCTCGTCTTGTCTCATTCTCGACAAGACTTCCACTAAGCAAATGAATACACGGAGAAGCTCACCTGTCCATCTCCACCCGTCACCGTCTTCTTCCTAGCCTTGTCCACATCGCCAACAACACGATCATCGTCCGTCAACAAGTCACCCTCTTCGGAATCCTCCTTTCTCACACCTCCCACCACGCCTCCACCTCTCGACGATGCCCTGTCTTCTTCTTCACTTGACACCTGAAAGTGCAGAATACAAGACAGCCTGTCACCTTCATACACAACACAACACACCACAAAACAACACAACACAACTCCAAACAAATCCACACTACACCACTCAACACCACACCACAAAACATCACACCACCACACAATATTTCGCTTCACAGTGTCATCCTCCACTGTGTCACACCGAGAAATTCATTCCACCTACACGTTCATCGGCCAATTGGAAATGTCGGCCATCCACCGGGTGTCAACTCTCTCCTCACATTTCTACTCCACGGACACGTCAATTCACCCAGTCTCACACACACCCACCCTCTCACAAGAAATAACTCACACACAAACACAAAAACACAGACTCCCACTCAAACTGACGTACATACTCTCACGCTCACTCACTCACACCATCAATCACTCTCGGACTCACTCACAAACACAAACACAATCACACACTCACTCACTCACTCACTCACACAGCCCTTCTCATCACAAGCCTCACTGAGACCACCAACAAGTTGTGTACACTCACACCAGCCTCATCAGTCCACACACGTAAACCTATCATCTCATCTCATCTCATCTCAACTCAAATCAAATCAACTCAACTCAACCCATTTCATTTCAGCTCAACTCAACTAAAAACATATCATCTAATCTCATCCAATCGCATCACATCACATCACATCCCCTCCAATCCCATGCCATCTCGTCTTGTCTCATTCTCGACAAGACTTCCACTAAGCAAATGAATACACGGAGAAGCTCACCTGTCCATCTCCACCCGTCACCGTCTTCTTCCTAGCCTTGTCCACATCGCCAACAACACGATCATCGTCCGTCAACAAGTCACCCTCTTCGGAATCCTCCTTTCTCACACCTCCCACCACGCCTCCACCTCTCGACGATGCCCTGTCTTCTTCTTCACTTGACACCTGAAAGTGCAGAATACAAGACAGCCTGTCACCTTCATACACAACACAACACACCACAAAACAACACAACACAACTCCAAACAAATCCACACTACACCACTCAACACCACACCACAAAACATGACACCACCACACAATATTTCGCTTCACAGTGTCATCCTCCACTGTGTCACACCGAGAAATTCATTCCACCTACACGTTCATCGGCCAATTGGAAATGTCGGCCATCCACCGGGTATCAATTTTCTCCTCACATTTCTACTCCACGGACACGTCAATTCACCCAGTCTCCCACACACACCCACCCTCTCACAAGAAATAACTCACACACAAACACAAAAACACAGACTCCCACTCCAATTGACGTCCATTCTCTCACGCTCACTCACTCACACCATCAATCACTCTCGGACTCACTCACAAACACAAACACAATCACACACTCACTCACTCACTCACACAGCCCTTCTCATCACAAGCCTCACTGAGACCACCAACAAGTTGTGTACACTCACACCAGCCTCATCAGTCCACACACGTAAACCTATCATCTCATCTCATCTCAACTCAAATCAAATCAACTCAACTCAACCCATTTCATTTCAGCTCAACTCAACTAAAAACATATCATCTAATCTCATCCAATCGCATCACATCACATCACATCCCCTCCAATCCCATGCCATCTCGTCTTGTCTCATTCTCGACAAGACTTCCACTAAGCAAATGAATACACGGAGAAGCTCACCTGTCCATCTCCACCCGTCACCGTCTTCTTCCTAGCCTTGTCCACATCGCCAACAACACGATCATCGTCCGTCAACAAGTCACCCTCTTCGGAATCCTCCTTTCTCACACCTCCCACCACGCCTCCACCTCTCGACGATGCCCTGTCTTCTTCTTCACTTGACACCTGAAAGTGCAGAATACAAGACAGCCTGTCACCTTCATACACAACACAACACACCACAAAACAACACAACACAACTCCAAACAAATCCACACTACACCACTCAACACCACACCACAAAACATCACACCACCACACAATATTTCGCTTCACAGTGTCATCCTCCACTGTGTCACACCGAGAAATTCATTCCACCTACACGTTCATCGGCCAATTGGAAATGTCGGCCATCCACCGGGTGTCAGTTCTCTCCTCACATTTCTACTCCACGGACACGTCAATTCACCCAGTCTCCCACACACACCCACCCTCTCACAAGAAATAACTCACACACAAACACAAAAACACAGACTCCCACTCCAATTGACGTCCATTCTCTCACGCTCACTCACTCACACCATCAATCACTCTCGGACTCACTCACAAACACAAACACAATCACACACTCACTCACTCACTCACACAGCCCTTCTCATCACAAGCCTCACTGAGACCACCAACAAGTTGTGTACACTCACACCAGCCTCATCAGTCCACACACGTAAACCTATCATCTCATCTCATCTCATCTCAACTCAAATCAAATCAACTCAACTCAACCCATTTCATTTCAGCTCAACTCAACTAAAAACATATCATCTAATCTCATCCAATCGCATCACATCACATCACATCCCCTCCAATCCCATGCCATCTCGTCTTGTCTCATTCTCGACAAGACTTCCACTAAGCAAATGAATACACGGAGAAGCTCACCTGTCCATCTCCACCCGTCACCGTCTTCTTCCTAGCCTTGTCCACATCGCCAACAACACGATCATCGTCCGTCAACAAGTCACCCTCTTCGGAATCCTCCTTTCTCACACCTCCCACCACGCCTCCACCTCTCGACGATGCCCTGTCTTCTTCTTCACTTGACACCTGAAAGTGCAGAATACAAGACAGCCTGTCACCTTCATACACAACACAACACACCACAAAACAACACAACACAACTCCAAACAAATCCACACTACACCACTCAACACCACACCACAAAACATCACACCACCACACAATATTTCGCTTCACAGTGTCATCCTCCACTGTGTCACACCGAGAAATTCATTCCACCTACACGTTCATCGGCCAATTGGAAATGTCGGCCATCCGCCGGGTGTCAACTCTCGCCTCACATCTCTACTCCACGGACACGTCAATTCACCCAGTCTCCCACACACACCCACCCTCTCACAAGAAATAACTCACACACAAACACAAAAACACAGACTCCCACTCCAATTGACGTCCATTCTCTCACGCTCACTCACTCACACCATCAATCACTCTCGGACTCACTCACAAACACAAACACAATCACACACTCACTCACTCACTCACACAGCCCTTCTCATCACAAGCCTCACTGAGACCACCAACAAGTTGTGTACACTCACACCAGCCTCATCAGTCCACACACGTAAACCTATCATCTCATCTCATCTCATCTCAACTCAAATCAAATCAACTCAACTCAACCCATTTCATTTCAGCTCAACTCAACTAAAAACATATCATCTAATCTCATCCAATCGCATCACATCACATCACATCCCCTCCAATCCCATGCCATCTCGTCTTGTCTCATTCTCGACAAGACTTCCACTAAGCAAATGAATACACGGAGAAGCTCACCTGTCCATCTCCACCCGTCACCGTCTTCTTCCTAGCCTTGTCCACATCGCCAACAACACGATCATCGTCCGTCAACAAGTCACCCTCTTCGGAATCCTCCTTTCTCACACCTCCCACCACGCCTCCACCTCTCGACGATGCCCTGTCTTCTTCTTCACTTGACACCTGAAAGTGCAGAATACAAGACAGCCTGTCACCTTCATACACAACACAACACACCACAAAACAACACAACACAACTCCAAACAAATCCACACTACACCACTCAACACCACACCACAAAACATCACACCACCACACAATATTTCGCTTCACAGTGTCATCCTCCACTGTGTCACACCGAGAAATTCATTCCACCTACACGTTCATCGGCCAATTGCAAATGTCGGCCATCCACCGGGTGTCAGTGCTCTCCTCACATTTCTACTCCACGGACACGTCAATTCACCCAGTCTCACACACACCCACCCTCTCACAAGAAATAACTCACACACAAACACAAAAACACAGACTCCCACTCCAATTGACGTCCATTCTCTCACGCTCACTCACTCACACCATCAATCACTCTCCGACTCACTCACAAACACAAACACAATCACACACTCACTCACTCACTCACACAGCCCTTCTCATCACAAGCCTCACTGAGACCACCAACAAGTTGTGTACACTGACACCAGACTCATCAGTCCACACACGTAAACCTTTCATATCATATCATCTCATCTCAACTCAAATCAAATCAACTCAACTCAACTCAACCCATTTCATTTCAGCTCAACTCAACTAAAAACATATCATCTAATCTCATCCAATCGCATCACATCACATCACATCCCCTCCAATCCCATGCCATCTCGTCTTGTCTCATTCTCGACAAGACTTCCACTAAGCAAATGAATACACGGAGAAGCTCACCTGTCCATCTCCACCCGTCACCGTCTTCTTCCTAGCCTTGTCCACATCGCCAACAACACGATCATCGTCCGTCAACAAGTCACCCTCTTCGGAATCCTCCTTTCTCACACCTCCCACCACGCCTCCACCTCTCGACGATGCCCTGTCTTCTTCTTCACTTGACACCTGAAAGTGCAGAATACAAGACAGCCTGTCACCTTCATACACAACACAACACACCACAAAACAACACAACACAACTCCAAACAAATCCACACTACACCACTCAACACCACACCACAAAACATCACACCACCACACAATATTTCGCTTCACAGTGTCATCCTCCACTGTGTCACACCGAGAAATTCATTCCACCTACACGTTCATCGGCCAATTGGAAATGTCGGCCATCCACCGGGTGTCAGTTCTCTCCTCACATTTCTACTCCACGGACACGTCAATTCACCCAGTCTCCCACACACACCCACCCTCTCACAAGAAATAACTCACACACAAACACAAAAACACAGACTCCCACTCCAATTGACGTCCATTCTCTCACGCTCACTCACTCACACCATCAATCACTCTCGGACTCACTCACAAACACAAACACAATCACACACTCACTCACTCACTCACACAGCCCTTCTCATCACAAGCCTCACTGAGACCACCAACAAGTTGTGTACACTCACACCAGCCTCATCAGTCCACACACGTAAACCTATCATCTCATCTCATCTCATCTCAACTCAAATCAAATCAACTCAACTCAACCCATTTCATTTCAGCTCAACTCAACTAAAAACATATCATCTAATCTCATCCAATCGCATCACATCACATCACATCCCCTCCAATCCCATGCCATCTCGTCTTGTCTCATTCTCGACAAGACTTCCACTAAGCAAATGAATACACGGAGAAGCTCACCTGTCCATCTCCACCCGTCACCGTCTTCTTCCTAGCCTTGTCCACATCGCCAACAACACGATCATCGTCCGTCAACAAGTCACCCTCTTCGGAATCCTCCTTTCTCACACCTCCCACCACGCCTCCACCTCTCGACGATGCCCTGTCTTCTTCTTCACTTGACACCTGAAAGTGCAGAATACAAGACAGTCTGTCACCTTCATACACAACACAACACACCACAAAACAACACAACACAACTCCAAACAAATCCACACTACACCACTCAACACCACACCACAAAACATCACACCACCACACAATATTTCGCTTCACAGTGTCATCCTCCACTGTGTCACACCGAGAAATTCATTCCACCTACACGTTCATCGGCCAATTGGAAATGTCGGCCATCCACCGGGTGTCAGTTCTCTCCTCACATTTCTACTCCACGGACACGTCAATTCACCCAGTCTCACACACACACCCACCCTCTAACAAGAAATAACCCACACACACACACAAAAACACAGACTCCCACTCCAATTGACGTCCATTCTCTCACGCTCACTCACTCACACCATCAATCACTCTCGGACTCACTCACAAACACAAACACAATCACACACTCACTCACTCACTCACACAGCCCTTCTCATCACAAGCCTCACTGAGACCACCAACAAGTTGTGTACACTCACACCAGCCTCATCAGTCCACACACGTAAACCTATCATCTCATCTCAACTCAAATCAAATCAACTCAACTCAACCCATTTCATTTCAGCTCAACTCAACTAAAAACATATCATCTAATCTCATCCAATCGCATCACATCACATCACATCCCCTCCAATCCCATGCCATCTCGTCTTGTCTCATTCTCGACAAGACTTCCACTAAGCAAATGAATACACGGAGAAGCTCACCTGTCCATCTCCACCCGTCACCGTCTTCTTCCTAGCCTTGTCCACATCGCCAACAACACGATCATCGTCCGTCAACAAGTCACCCTCTTCGGAATCCTCCTTTCTCACACCTCCCACCACGCCTCCACCTCTCGACGATGCCCTGTCTTCTTCTTCACTTGACACCTGAAAGTGCAGAATACAAGACAGCCTGTCACCTTCATACACAACACAACACACCACAAAACAACACAACACAACTCCAAACAAATCCACACTACACCACTCAACACCACACCACAAAACATCACACCACCACACAATATTTCGCTTCACAGTGTCATCCTCCACTGTGTCACACCGAGAAATTCATTCCACCTACACGTTCATCGGCCAATTGGAAATGTCGGCCATCCACCGGGTGTCAGTTCTCTCCTCACATCTCTACTCCACGGACACGTCAATTCACCCAGTCTCACACACACACCCACCCTCTCACAAGAAATAACTCACACACAAACACAAAAACACAGACTCCCACTCCAATTGACGTCCATTCTCTCACGCTCACTCACTCACACCATCAATCACTCTCCGACTCACTCACAAACACAAACACAATCACACACTCACTCACTCACTCACACAGCCCTCCTCATCACAAGCCTCACTGAGACCACCAACAAGTTGTGTACACTCACACCAGCCTCATCAGTCCACACACGTAAACCTATCATCTCATCTCATCTCATCTCAACTCAAATCAAATCAACTCAACTCAACCCATTTCATTTCAGCTCAACTCAACTAAAAACATATCATCTAATCTCATCCAATCGCATCACATCACATCACATCCCCTCCAATCCCATGCCATCTCGTCTTGTCTCATTCTCGACAAGACCTCCTTCCACTAAGCAAATGAATACACGGAGAAGCTCACCTGTCCATCTCCACCCGTCACCGTCTTCTTCCTAGCCTTGTCCACATCGCCAACAACACGATCATCGTCCGTCAACAAGTCACCCTCTTCGGAATCCTCCTTTCTCACACCTCCCACCACGCCTCCACCTCTCGACGATGCCCTGTCTTCTTCTTCACTTGACACCTGAAAGTGCAGAATACAAGACAGCCTGTCACCTTCATACACAACACAACACACCACAAAACAACACAACACAACTCCAAACAAATCCACACTACACCACTCAACACCACACCACAAAACATCACACCACCACACAATATTTCGCTTCACAGTGTCATCCTCCACTGTGTCACACCGAGAAATTCATTCCACCTACACGTTCATCGGCCAATTGCAAATGTCGGCCATCCACCGGGTGTCAGTTCTCTCCTCACATTTCTACTCCACGGACACGTCAATTCACCCAGTCTCCCACACACACCCACCCTCTCACAAGAAATAACTCACACACAAACACAAAAACACAGACTCCCACTCCAATTGACGTCCATTCTCTCACGCTCACTCACTCACACCATCAATCACTCTCCGACTCACTCACAAACACAAACACAATCACACACTCACTCACTCACTCACACAGCCCTTCTCATCACAAGCCTCACTGAGACCACCAACAAGTTGTGTACACTCACACCAGCCTCATCAGTCCACACACGTAAACCTATCATCTCATCTCATCTCATCTCATCTCAACTCAAATCAAATCAACTCAACTCAACCCATTTCATTTCAGCTCAACTCAACTAAAAACATATCATCTAATCTCATCCAATCGCATCACATCACATCACATCCCCTCCAATCCCATGCCATCTCGTCTTGTCTCATTCTCGACAAGACTTCCACTAAGCAAATGAATACACGGAGAAGCTCACCTGTCCATCTCCACCCGTCACCGTCTTCTTCCTAGCCTTGTCCACATCGCCAACAACACGATCATCGTCCGTCAACAAGTCACCCTCTTCGGAATCCTCCTTTCTCACACCTCCCACCACGCCTCCACCTCTCGACGATGCCCTGTCTTCTTCTTCACTTGACACCTGAAAGTGCAGAATACAAGACAGCCTGTCACCTTCATACACAACACAACACACCACAAAACAACACAACACAACTCCAAACAAATCCACACTACACCACTCAACACCACACCACAAAACATCACACCACCACACAATATTTCGCTTCACAGTGTCATCCTCCACTGTGTCACACCGAGAAATTCATTCCACCTACACGTTCATCGGCCAATTGGAAATGTCGGCCATCCACCGGGTGTCAGTTCTCTCCTCACATTTCTACTCCACGGACACGTCAATTCACCCAGTCTCACACACACACCCACCCTCTCACAAGAAATAACTCACACACAAACACAAAAACACAGACTCCCACTCCAATTGACGTCCATTCTCTCACGCTCACTCACTCACACCATCAATCACTCTCCGACTCACTCACAAACACAAACACAATCACACACTCACTCACTCACTCACTCACACAGCCCTTCTCATCACAAGCCTCACTGAGACCACCAACAAGTTGTGTACACTCACACCAGCCTCATCAGTCCACACACGTAAACCTATCATCTCATCTCATCTCATCTCAACTCAAATCAAATCAACTCAACTCAACCCATTTCATTTCAGCTCAACTCAACTAAAAACATATCATCTAATCTCATCCAATCGCATCACATCACATCACATCCCCTCCAATCCCATGCCATCTCGTCTTGTCTCATTCTCGACAAGACTTCCACTAAGCAAATGAATACACGGAGAAGCTCACCTGTCCATCTCCACCCGTCACCGTCTTCTTCCTAGCCTTGTCCACATCGCCAACAACACGATCATCGTCCGTCAACAAGTCACCCTCTTCGGAATCCTCCTTTCTCACACCTCCCACCACGCCTCCACCTCTCGACGATGCCCTGTCTTCTTCTTCACTTGACACCTGAAAGTGCAGAATACAAGACAGCCTGTCACCTTCATACACAACACAACGCACCACAAAACAACACAACACAACTCCAAACAAATCCACACTACACCACTCAACACCACACCACAAAACATCACACCACCACACAATATTTCGCTTCACAGTGTCATCCTCCACTGTGTCACACCGAGAAATTCATTCCACCTACACGTTCATCGGCCAATTGGAAATGTCGGCCATCCACCGGGTGTCAGTGCTCTCCTCACATTTCTACTCCACGGACACGTCAATTCACCCAGTCTCACACACACCCACCCTCTCACAAGAAATAACTCACACACAAACACAAAAACACAGACTCCCACTCCAATTGACGTCCATTCTCTCACGCTCACTCACTCACACCATCAATCACTCTCGGACTCACTCACAAACACAAACACAATCACACACTCACTCACTCACTCACTCACACAGCCCTTCTCATCACAAGCCTCACTGAGACCACCAACAAGTTGTGTACACTCACACCAGCCTCATCAGTCCACACACGTAAACCTATCATCTCATCTCATCTCAACTCAAATCAAATCAACTCAACTCAACCCATTTCATTTCAGCTCAACTCAACTAAAAACATATCATCTAATCTCATCCAATCGCATCACATCACATCACATCCCCTCCAATCCCATGCCATCTCGTCTTGTCTCATTCTCGACAAGACTTCCACTAAGCAAATGAATACACGGAGAAGCTCACCTGTCCATCTCCACCCGTCACCGTCTTCTTCCTAGCCTTGTCCACATCGCCAACAACACGATCATCGTCCGTCAACAAGTCACCCTCTTCGGAATCCTCCTTTCTCACACCTCCCACCACGCCTCCACCTCTCGACGATGCCCTGTCTTCTTCTTCACTTGACACCTGAAAGTGCAGAATACAAGACAGCCTGTCACCTTCATACACAACACAACACACCACAAAACAACACAACACAACTCCAAACAAATCCACACTACACCACTCAACACCACACCACAAAACATCACACCACCACACAATATTTCGCTTCACAGTGTCATCCTCCACTGTGTCACACCGAGAAATTCATTCCACCTACACGTTCATCGGCCAATTGGAAATGTCGGCCATCCACCGGGTGTCAGTTCTCTCCTCACATTTCTACTCCACGGACACGTCAATTCACCCAGTCTCACACACACACCCACCCTCTCACAAGAAATAACTCACACACAAACACAAAAACACAGACTCCCACTCCAATTGACGTCCATTCTCTCACGCTCACTCACTCACACCATCAATCACTCTCCGACTCACTCACAAACACAAACACAATCACACACTCACTCACTCACTCACTCACACAGCCCTTCTCATCACAAGCCTCACTGAGACCACCAACAAGTTGTGTACACTCACACCAGCCTCATCAGTCCACACACGTAAACCTATCATCTCATCTCATCTCAACTCAAATCAAATCAACTCAACTCAACCCATTTCATTTCAGCTCAACTCAACTAAAAACATATCATCTAATCTCATCCAATCGCATCACATCACATCACATCCCCTCCAATCCCATGCCATCTCGTCTTGTCTCATTCTCGACAAGACTTCCACTAAGCAAATGAATACACGGAGAAGCTCACCTGTCCATCTCCACCCGTCACCGTCTTCTTCCTAGCCTTGTCCACATCGCCAACAACACGATCATCGTCCGTCAACAAGTCACCCTCTTCGGAATCCTCCTTTCTCACACCTCCCACCACGCCTCCACCTCTCGACGATGCCCTGTCTTCTTCTTCACTTGACACCTGAAAGTGCAGAATACAAGACAGCCTGTCACCTTCATACACAACACAACACACAACAAAACAACACAACACAACTCCAAACAAATCCACACTACACCACTCAACACCACACCACAAAACATCACACCACCACACAATATTTCGCTTCACAGTGTCATCCTCCACTGTGTCACACCGAGAAATTCATTCCACCTACACGTTCATCGGCCAATTGGAAATGTCGGCCATCCACCGGGTGTCAGTTCTCTCCTCACATTTCTACTCCACGGACACGTCAATTCACCCAGTCTCACACACACACCCACCCTCTCACAAGAAATAACTCACACACAAACACAAAAACACAGACTCCCACTCCAATTGACGTCCATTCCCTCACGCTCACTCACTCACACCATCAATCACTCTCGGACTCACTCACAAACACAAACACAATCACACACTCACTCACTCACTCACACAGCCCTTCTCATCACAAGCCTCACTGAGACCACCAACAAGTTGTGTACACTCACACCAGCCTCATCAGTCCACACACGTAAACCTATCATCTCATCTCATCTCATCTCAACTCAAATCAAATCAACTCAACTCAACCCATTTCATTTCAGCTCAACTCAACTAAAAACATATCATCTAATCTCATCCAATCGCATCACATCACATCACATCCCCTCCAATCCCATGCCATCTCGTCTTGTCTCATTCTCGACAAGACTTCCACTAAGCAAATGAATACACGGAGAAGCTCACCTGTCCATCTCCACCCGTCACCGTCTTCTTCCTAGCCTTGTCCACATCGCCAACAACACGATCATCGTCCGTCAACAAGTCACCCTCTTCGGAATCCTCCTTTCTCACACCTCCCACCACGCCTCCACCTCTCGACGATGCCCTGTCTTCTTCTTCACTTGACACCTGAAAGTGCAGAATACAAGACAGCCTGTCACCTTCATACACAACACAACACACCACAAAACAACACAACACAACTCCAAACAAATCCACACTACACCACTCAACACCACACCACAAAACATCACACCACCACACAATATTTCGCTTCACAGTGTCATCCTCCACTGTGTCACACCGAGAAATTCATTCCACCTACACGTTCATCGGCCAATTGGAAATGTCGGCCATCCACCGGGTGTCAATTCTCTCCTCATATCTCTACACCGCGGACACGTCAATTCACCCAGTCTCCCACACACACCCACCCTCTCACAAGAAATAACTCACACACAAACACAAAAACACAGACTCCCACTCCAATTGACGTCCATTCTCTCACGCTCACTCACTCACACCATCAATCACTCTCGGACTCACTCACAAACACAAACACAATCACACACTCACTCACTCACTCACTCACACAGCCCTTCTCATCACAAGCCTCACTGAGACCACCAACAAGTTGTGTACACTCACACCAGCCTCATCAGTCCACACACGTAAACCTATCATCTCATCTCATCTCAACTCAAATCAAATCAACTCAACTCAACCCATTTCATTTCAGCTCAACTCAACTAAAAACATATCATCTAATCTCATCCAATCGCATCACATCACATCACATCCCCTCCAATCCCATGCCATCTCGTCTTGTCTCATTCTCGACAAGACTTCCACTAAGCAAATGAATACACGGAGAAGCTCACCTGTCCATCTCCACCCGTCACCGTCTTCTTCCTAGCCTTGTCCACATCGCCAACAACACGATCATCGTCCGTCAACAAGTCACCCTCTTCGGAATCCTCCTTTCTCACACCTCCCACCACGCCTCCACCTCTCGACGATGCCCTGTCTTCTTCTTCACTTGACACCTGAAAGTGCAGAATACAAGACAGCCTGTCACCTTCATACACAACACAACACACCACAAAACAACACAACACAACTCCAAACAAATCCACACTACACCACTCAACACCACACCACAAAACATCACACCACCACACAATATTTCGCTTCACAGTGTCATCCTCCACTGTGTCACACCGAGAAATTCATTCCACCTACACGTTCATCGGCCAATTGGAAATGTCGGCCATCCACCGGGTGTCAGTTCTCTCCTCACATTTCTACTCCACGGACACGTCAATTCACCCAGTCTCCCACACACACCCACCCTCTCACAAGAAATAACTCACACACAAACACAAAAACACAGACTCCCACTCCAATTGACGTCCATTCTCTCACGCTCACTCACTCACACCATCAATCACTCTCGGACTCACTCACAAACACAAACACAATCACACACTCACTCACTCACTCACACAGCCCTTCTCATCACAAGCCTCACTGAGACCACCAACAAGTTGTGTACACTCACACCAGCCTCATCAGTCCACACACGTAAACCTATCATCTCATCTCATCTCATCTCAACTCAAATCAAATCAACTCAACTCAACCCATTTCATTTCAGCTCAACTCAACTAAAAACATATCATCTAATCTCATCCAATCGCATCACATCACATCACATCCCCTCCAATCCCATGCCATCTCGTCTTGTCTCATTCTCGACAAGACTTCCACTAAGCAAATGAATACACGGAGAAGCTCACCTGTCCATCTCCACCCGTCACCGTCTTCTTCCTAGCCTTGTCCACATCGCCAACAACACGATCATCGTCCGTCAACAAGTCACCCTCTTCGGAATCCTCCTTTCTCACACCTCCCACCACGCCTCCACCTCTCGACGATGCCCTGTCTTCTTCTTCACTTGACACCTGAAAGTGCAGAATACAAGACAGCCTGTCACCTTCATACACAACACAACACACCACAAAACAACACAACACAACTCCAAACAAATCCACACTACACCACTCAACACCACACCACAAAACATCACACCACCACACAATATTTCGCTTCACAGTGTCATCCTCCACTGTGTCACACCGAGAAATTCATTCCACCTACACGATCATCGGCCAATTGGAAATGTCGGCCATCCACCGGGTGTCAATTCTCTCCTCATATCTCTACACCGCGGACACGTCAATTCACCCAGTCTCCCACACACACCCACCCTCTCACAAGAAATAACTCACACACAAACACAAAAACACAGACTCCCACTCCAATTGACGTCCATTCTCTCACGCTCACTCACTCACACCATCAATCACTCTCGGACTCACTCACAAACACAAACACAATCACACACTCACTCACTCACTCACACAGCCCTTCTCATCACAAGCCTCACTGAGACCACCAACAAGTTGTGTACACTCACACCAGCCTCATCAGTCCACACACGTAAACCTATCATCTCATCTCATCTCATCTCATCTCAACTCAAATCAAATCAACTCAACTCAACCCATTTCATTTCAGCTCAACTCAACTAAAAACATATCATCTAATCTCATCCAATCGCATCACATCACATCACATCCCCTCCAATCCCATGCCATCTCGTCTTGTCTCATTCTCGACAAGACTTCCACTAAGCAAATGAATACACGGAGAAGCTCACCTGTCCATCTCCACCCGTCACCGTCTTCTTCCTAGCCTTGTCCACATCGCCAACAACACGATCATCGTCCGTCAACAAGTCACCCTCTTCGGAATCCTCCTTTCTCACACCTCCCACCACGCCTCCACCTCTCGACGATGCCCTGTCTTCTTCTTCACTTGACACCTGAAAGTGCAGAATACAAGACAGCCTGTCACCTTCATACACAACACAACACACCACAAAACAACACAACACAACTCCAAACAAATCCACACTACACCACTCAACACCACACCACAAAACATCACACCACCACACAATATTTCGCTTCACAGTGTCATCCTCCACTGTGTCACACCGAGAAATTCATTCCACCTACACGTTCATCGGCCAATTGGAAATGTCGGCCATCCACCGGGTGTCAGTTCTCTCCTCACATTTCTACTCCACGGACACGTCAATTCACCCAGTCTCACACACACACCCACCCTCTCACAAGAAATAACTCACACACAAACACAAAAACACAGACTCCCACTCCAATTGACGTCCATTCTCTCACGCTCACTCACTCACACCATCAATCACTCTCGGACTCACTCACAAACACAAACACAATCACACACTCACTCACTCACTCACACAGCCCTTCTCATCACAAGCCTCACTGAGACCACCAACAAGTTGTGTACACTCACACCAGCCTCATCAGTCCACACACGTAAACCTATCATCTCATCTCAACTCAAATCAAATCAACTCAACTCAACCCATTTCATTTCAGCTCAACTCAACTAAAAACATATCATCTAATCTCATCCAATCGCATCACATCACATCACATCCCCTCCAATCCCATGCCATCTCGTCTTGTCTCATTCTCGACAAGACTTCCACTAAGCAAATGAATACACGGAGAAGCTCACCTGTCCATCTCCACCCGTCACCGTCTTCTTCCTAGCCTTGTCCACATCGCCAACAACACGATCATCGTCCGTCAACAAGTCACCCTCTTCGGAATCCTCCTTTCTCACACCTCCCACCACGCCTCCACCTCTCGACGATGCCCTGTCTTCTTCTTCACTTGACACCTGAAAGTGCAGAATACAAGACAGCCTGTCACCTTCATACACAACACAACACACCACAAAACAACACAACACAACTCCAAACAAATCCACACTACACCACTCAACACCACACCACAAAACATCACACCACCACACAATATTTCGCTTCACAGTGTCATCCTCCACTGTGTCACACCGAGAAATTCATTCCACCTACACGTTCATCGGCCAATTGGAAATGTCGGCCATCCACCGGGTGTCAATTCTCTCCTCATATCTCTACACCGCGGACACGTCAATTCACCCAGTCTCACACACACCCACCCTCTCACAAGAAATAACTCACACACAAACACAAAAACACAGACTCCCACTCCAATTGACGTCCATTCTCTCACGCTCACTCACTCACACCATCAATCACTCTCGGACTCACTCACAAACACAAACACAATCACACACTCACTCACTCACTCACACAGCCCTTCTCATCACAAGCCTCACTGAGACCACCAACAAGTTGTGTACACTCACACCAGCCTCATCAGTCCACACACGTAAACCTATCATCTCATCTCATCTCATCTCATCTCAACTCAAATCAAATCAACTCAACTCAACCCATTTCATTTCAGCTCAACTCAACTAAAAACATATCATCTAATCTCATCCAATCGCATCACATCACATCACATCCCCTCCAATCCCATGCCATCTCGTCTTGTCTCATTCTCGACAAGACTTCCACTAAGCAAATGAATACACGGAGAAGCTCACCTGTCCATCTCCACCCGTCACCGTCTTCTTCCTAGCCTTGTCCACATCGCCAACAACACGATCATCGTCCGTCAACAAGTCACCCTCTTCGGATTCCTCCTTTCTCACACCTCCCACCACGCCTCCACCTCTCGACGATGCCCTGTCTTCTTCTTCACTTGACACCTGAAAGTGCAGAATACAAGACAGCCTGTCACCTTCATACACAACACAACACACCACAAAACAACACAACACAACTCCAAACAAATCCACACTACACCACTCAACACCACACCACAAAACATCACACCACCACACAATATTTCGCTTCACAGTGTCATCCTCCACTGTGTCACACCGAGAAATTCATTCCACCTACACGATCATCGGCCAATTGGAAATGTCGGCCATCCACCGGGTGTCAATTCTCTCCTCATATCTCTACACCGCGGACACGTCAATTCACCCAGTCTCCCACACACACCCACCCTCTCACAAGAAATAACTCACACACAAACACAAAAACACAGACTCCCACTCCAATTGACGTCCATTCTCTCACGCTCACTCACTCACACCATCAATCACTCTCGGACTCACTCACAAACACAAACACAATCACACACTCACTCACTCACTCACACAGCCCTTCTCATCACAAGCCTCACTGAGACCACCAACAAGTTGTGTACACTCACACCAGCCTCATCAGTCCACACACGTAAACCTATCATCTCATCTCATCTCATCTCATCTCAACTCAAATCAAATCAACTCAACTCAACCCATTTCATTTCAGCTCAACTCAACTAAAAACATATCATCTAATCTCATCCAATCGCATCACATCACATCACATCCCCTCCAATCCCATGCCATCTCGTCTTGTCTCATTCTCGACAAGACTTCCACTAAGCAAATGAATACACGGAGAAGCTCACCTGTCCATCTCCACCCGTCACCGTCTTCTTCCTAGCCTTGTCCACATCGCCAACAACACGATCATCGTCCGTCAACAAGTCACCCTCTTCGGAATCCTCCTTTCTCACACCTCCCACCACGCCTCCACCTCTCGACGATGCCCTGTCTTCTTCTTCACTTGACACCTGAAAGTGCAGAATACAAGACAGCCTGTCACCTTCATACACAACACAACACACCACAAAACAACACAACACAACTCCAAACAAATCCACACTACACCACTCAACACCACACCACAAAACATCACACCACCACACAATATTTCGCTTCACAGTGTCATCCTCCACTGTGTCACACCGAGAAATTCATTCCACCTACACGTTCATCGGCCAATTGGAAATGTCGGCCATCCACCGGGTGTCAGTTCTCTCCTCACATTTCTACTCCACGGACACGTCAATTCACCCAGTCTCCCACACACACCCACCCTCTCACAAGAAATAACTCACACACAAACACAAAAACACAGACTCCCACTCCAATTGACGTCCATTCTCTCACGCTCACTCACTCACACCATCAATCACTCTCGGACTCACTCACAAACACAAACACAATCACACACTCACTCACTCACTCACACAGCCCTTCTCATCACAAGCCTCACTGAGACCACCAACAAGTTGTGTACACTCACACCAGCCTCATCAGTCCACACACGTAAACCTATCATCTCATCTCAACTCAAATCAAATCAACTCAACTCAACCCATTTCATTTCAGCTCAACTCAACTAAAAACATATCATCTAATCTCATCCAATCGCATCACATCACATCACATCCCCTCCAATCCCATGCCATCTCGTCTTGTCTCATTCTCGACAAGACTTCCACTAAGCAAATGAATACACGGAGAAGCTCACCTGTCCATCTCCACCCGTCACCGTCTTCTTCCTAGCCTTGTCCACATCGCCAACAACACGATCATCGTCCGTCAACAAGTCACCCTCTTCGGAATCCTCCTTTCTCACACCTCCCACCACGCCTCCACCTCTCGACGATGCCCTGTCTTCTTCTTCACTTGACACCTGAAAGTGCAGAATACAAGACAGCCTGTCACCTTCATACACAACACAACACACCACAAAACAACACAACACAACTCCAAACAAATCCACACTACACCACTCAACACCACACCACAAAACATCACACCACCACACAATATTTCGCTTCACAGTGTCATCCTCCACTGTGTCACACCGAGAAATTCATTCCACCTACACGTTCATCGGCCAATTGGAAATGTCGGCCATCCACCGGGTGTCAATTCTCTCCTCATATCTCTACACCGCGGACACGTCAATTCACCCAGTCTCACACACACCCACCCTCTCACAAGAAATAACTCACACACAAACACAAAAACACAGACTCCCACTCCAATTGACGTCCATTCTCTCACGCTCACTCACTCACACCATCAATCACTCTCGGACTCACTCACAAACACAAACACAATCACACACTCACTCACTCACTCACTCACACAGCCCTTCTCATCACAAGCCTCACTGAGACCACCAACAAGTTGTGTACACTCACACCAGCCTCATCAGTCCACACACGTAAACCTATCATCTCATCTCATCTCATCTCATCTCAACTCAAATCAAATCAACTCAACTCAACCCATTTCATTTCAGCTCAACTCAACTAAAAACATATCATCTAATCTCATCCAATCGCATCACATCACATCACATCCCCTCCAATCCCATGCCATCTCGTCTTGTCTCATTCTCGACAAGACTTCCACTAAGCAAATGAATACACGGAGAAGCTCACCTGTCCATCTCCACCCGTCACCGTCTTCTTCCTAGCCTTGTCCACATCGCCAACAACACGATCATCGTCCGTCAACAAGTCACCCTCTTCGGAATCCTCCTTTCTCACACCTCCCACCACGCCTCCACCTCTCGACGATGCCCTGTCTTCTTCTTCACTTGACACCTGAAAGTGCAGAATACAAGACAGCCTGTCACCTTCATACACAACACAACACACCACAAAACAACACAACACAACTCCAAACAAATCCACACTACACCACTCAACACCACACCACAAAACATCACACCACCACACAATATTTCGCTTCACAGTGTCATCCTCCACTGTGTCACACCGAGAAATTCATTCCACCTACACGTTCATCGGCCAATTGGAAATGTCGGCCATCCACCGGGTGTCAGTTCTCTCCTCACATTTCTACTCCACGGACACGTCAATTCACCCAGTCTCCTACACACCCACCCTCTCACACCTAATATCTTGCAAACATTATTCCACGGAGTCCAGGCTTTTAACTGACTTTTATTCGCTTTAGTTTTCTTACACTTTCAGTCACTCTCTGACTCGCTGCCTCCCTCACCCTTTTTCTGATCCGATTATTTTTTGTGTCCTTCATACTCTTTCTCAATCGCACCTGTTTCATTTTTGTCCCCACTTTTTTCTTTTTGTATCGTCTTTTCTTCAGTCCTCAAATGTATCCACGTTTATTTCGGGCATTTCTGCTTTTTACTTTCCATTTCTAGTGTTTCTTTATATCATTATTTTTCTTGGTATTTTTTTTCCATTTTTTTATTGCATGTCATTGTTTGGTTTTTTACGTATTTTCTATATTTTACGACGACTGTTCCTCTTCACTTTACTTTCCTTTCTATTACTTCAACTTCTTTTATGCGCTTTTATATAAGCCAATTAAGATTTCTTTCTTTTCTTCAGACACACTGAAATCAAAAACTGTAAAGGTGCCAGTTTCAATACACCCTTCTTTGTATTTCAGTGTTTCAATAACATCTGTAAGGACCTTTTATATTTCAGCCCTAACTATTTCTAACTACGCAACAAATGTGTTTAATGGCTGCCAAATATTTTTCAAAACAGCCAGTGAAAAAGTACTAATGACCACATTTCAGGAATAATAAAATATTGGTAAACTGATGAACACATCTTTTGGTATATTTGTATCTAAAGCAGATGCATGAAATATATATCTACAATTATAAAAATGTTACAAATTTAAATGAGTTCCAGATATAGTTTTTTTTTTCACTTAGACGTTATGTTTTGGCAAGGCCTTCATTTAAAAATATTCATTTACATTTGTCTAGTCTTTCGTTGATATTTCTGAAGTGAATTCACCATTCTCAGTTTTGTACATTGGATTTCGAAAAGAACTCTTCGAAATGACCATAATTATAAACTTGCAAATTATGCTGGTTGTATTAGATGTGGTTCTAACGGTGTTTGAAGAGAAGGGTTCTAGATTCCTATCTCAATCACCTACAGAAGAGCAAGCAGGTTTTGGTGACTATCCTCAGAAGATGGCAAATCCTGCACTATCTGTTCCAATGGTGCCCAAGTTAAACTTTAAGCACCACTAACTGCCAATGGAGTTGGACTGCACTAGTGACCTTGAGACGTTCACTGGGCAAGTTAGTGAATCCTGGCAAATAATGTTGTCAGCAATAAAATGTGCTCATCGAAGTGTTATGCTATTTATTTAGTGGGATTTCTGGCAAGTTACGCTTTAAGCCAATGCCGAGTTAGGGTCAGGTTAACCTAATAAACGCAACGTTTGGGTCGGTTCGAGTTAGATTACAGTTAGTTGAGGGATATTTTCACATTAGGGTTAGGTTCAGGAAAGATTAGGGTTATTGTAAGGTTTAGAAAATCTAAATAATTGCATGCATAGAATGTGGTTAAATTACACTGTTGATATAAGAATAGAACTTGTGGACTGTGGTAGAGTATAATTCCACTGTGGATAACATTTATTTTGTTAATGTCTCACAGAGTTATACAGAAAGTAATATTTACTGGTGACCACGTTTCGAGCACAATTTACTGCTCAGGAATTATAACTGTATAACACTATGAGACTTTATCAAAATAAATTTTACCCACAATGGAATTATACTCTGTTAATACTCCAGCCAAAAAGTGGGAGCTATTTCTATCACATATGAGAGGAAGGTATCCTCTATAACACTTTTATACAGCTTTTATGCATTTTTTTCAAAAATGTATATTTATTCCATATACAAAAATGCCTCATTCATTTGATTGATGCGTTCTAGGTCATTTGCTGATTGGTGCTTAGAGTTTAACTTTGCCCCAATGGTTATCGTTATCAAAATGCATAGCTCACTTGATTTTTTTGATCACTTAATTTTCGATCGTATTACCGATGATATTTTTGATTGTGGTGAACTGTTTTATACAACTGATCGTGGGGAACAAGAAGACAGCGATACTTTGGGTAGATAAGAAGACTCTAGCAGGTCTGAACTTTCGGATGATTTATGTTTAACGACACAAAGACTTGAAGATCCACAAGGAAAAACCAACAAAATGGCAGAAGAACCAGTGGAAATAGGAGTAGGGAAATAAAAATAGAGAAGGAAGAGGTGATGAAAAGCGCCAGTCACTGTCATTGAGAGAAATCTAGGGGAACTGACTTCTTTCATTCATCTTGGCAGGCAGAATAGACAAAGATGTCAAAACACAGTTTTTTGTTCAGTGAAGAAATTTCTTTTCAGCGACTTCATTTTCAAGCTGTACAGTCCTATTTATATTGCAGAAAAAAGGTTATTAAGTGGCACTAAATAATTGCCTAGTCAATATACATATATAAGTGATAAGAATAACGATAATTCAAATGTTATAAGGGTTGTTAGCGTACTCTCCGAAAGCGTGTAACTGAACACTATCCGGCTTGGTTAACGAAAGGCGAACGTAGAACTGCAAAGTCGTCTATTTGTGATCACTTGTTAGAGTCAGATCACTTAGCCTCATGTAATTCATCCTTCAAGGTCATCTACATGGCAAAATCGAATCGATCCAAAAGTTTACTTTTTCTTCACTTATGCATAGTCGAAGCTTTAGCTATACATGAACAGAAACCTAAATTATGTGTTCAAAGACGTTTTGTCGAGCCCCTTTCTTTACCTTGATCATAGTAATGTTCTTTCTAGTTTTTACTTTATTTTATTTTACCACTTGAATTCTTTCCACTTCACTCCACAACTTCATTCTTATCGTAATCGTACTCCTAATTTTTTAAAATATTTAGACAACGCTTGACATTTTTAAAACATTTTTGATTTCAATTCACTTATAAAACAATCTTTAATAATTTTGTAATTTATCCACTTCAACTCTACCCCTTATAACATTTTAATTATCGTTATTCTTATCACTTATATGTATATTGACTAAGCAATTATTTAGTGCCACTTAATAACCTTTTTTCTGTAATATAAATAAGACTGTACAGCTTGAAAATGAAGTCGTTGAAAAGAAATCTCTTCACTGAACAAAAAACTGTTTTTACTTATGAATAAATGGGTATTTTTCGTGATATAAAGATGTCAAAGCCAGGATTGGTATAGCAAGACAGGCATTCATTGCTGTGAAATCAGTGTTGAAATGTGCTTCATTCAGCATACGGAACACGATTTGGATTTTCAACACCAATTGTAAAGTTTCTTCCTTTATGTGAGTCAGGGGATCGTAGCGTCATCAACAACTACCTTCCCCATCTTAATACCGAAGATCAGATGCCCACGGGGGATGAGCAACAAGGAACTCCGCCAACAAACTAAATAACAACTTTATATCAATAATAGTAATAGTAATTTGCTTTATTCCAAAACAGTACTTGTGATACAGAATGGAATTCTCAGCATTTTTACTACAGTATTGTATCCAGTTAGTACATCATCAATAAATAAAATTCTACATAGGAAATCTCAGTTCATTATGACAACAACATTTCGGCATTTCGGTAGCAAAGCCAAAGCTGAACAGTGTTTGAAGGTGTCAGAAAAGCAGGTGCCATCATATTTACTGGCGTAAGCGGAAGAAAGAAACAAAGCAGCACATAACATAAAAAAGAGAAAAGGGAAAGAAAGAAAGAAAACGTTGTACCTATAAATGATATGAGTTGGAAAGACGAAATCCATTTGTTCTACTGACTATTTAATGAATTATAGGTGTCACGCCTAATGCTTTCTTTATCACACAAAACACGTGCTAAGTAGGGTATGGTTGAGTTTTAGTACTTGCTGGTGCGAGCATATAGTTTTCTATATAGGCTTCTGGTTTTGCCTGATGAGATGCAAGGGGAGAGTTTTGAGTGAAGAGGGTGGTGTGAGTTAGATACAATGGATTTGGCCCATTTTTCACATGAGTCCATGTGCCTGTCAACTAGAATATTAACAAGCTGGTTAAGTGGCATGTTGCTTACCCTGCCGACAACCTTTAACATCCTGCGTAATATGTTATAGTCTTTCTTCAGTAGCCCGGAAAAACTAAGGGGGAACAATAGAGAATAATAGGCAGAATGTGAGAGTTAATGAATTGTAGGAGTAAAGGTTGGGTTATACCAGAATTTATTAACTTCTTGATGTAGAAGGTAAGATGGAATATTTTCTTAGAAATCGCCAAGATATGAGACGACCAGGAAAGATCGGCAGATAGAATGACGCCTAGGTATTTAATTTCGGATAAATATGCAAGAGAAAATCGAAATGGATCGGTTATACACTGATGAGAGCTATGAGTGACATTGCCCTCAAGACAGATTCTCAAGTGGAATCTGACTGGCGATTAGCACCAACAAATGTCATCGGTGAGACATCCATCCTCACACTAGACTGGATGGACCTCACTCGTCACGACTTCTCAATAGAACTCAAGGAAGCTGCGTCCTGTAGCAAGTCACTAGCGATCGTCAAATATTGGTTGGTGGTCACGCTAAATGGCAAATCGGTAGAAGTTAGAAGTTCATGGGCTGGCTATTGAATCGGGTGCCAGCAGTCGCGGAATGGTATACGAGTTTGCCTTGTAAACGGAAGGTCCTGGGTTCGAACCCTAGCAGTGACTGAGTACTGCCAATAATTCCCAAACGAGGATGAACCAGGTGGCTGTGGGTTTTCAATGGT